TCTCGATCTGTGCTTTGGTTATCAAATCTTGTCCAGAGGACTTAGTTCGTCGAATGAACTTTCGTGGCCTGTGTAATTCGTCAAGCCATTCCAAGGCCCAGCACCTTTCTGCTTTTTGCATTTCTGTGATCATATCATCGATCACCTCTTCGACTCGGGTTTTGTGTACCCAATTTTTGAGTATGGCTGCTGCTGCTGTTTCATCTTTTGCATCTTTAATTGCCTGCCAAGTCTATTCAGTATCGAATGGCTTGAGCCAGGCTGTGGGGCTCACTACCCCTGTTCGGCCTGAAGACAATTGAGTCTGTTTCATATCTTTAGTTTGATGAACTTCTAATGATGATGTACCTTTATTAGGGCTCTCTGCCCTTCTTCAGCCCTTCATCAGTGCTTGAGTTCTAGAAGTCGGTTCCTTAGGTGATTCTGGTTTCTGAGTAAAGGGGTCGGGTATATTCGAATGCATGCATAATTTAGACATAGGTGGTAATACTAGAGAAGATAAAATGTCAGTCTGTCCAGCAGATTGTGCCCCATTACTCGTTTCTTTGGCCAAGGCAGTTGAATCACCTACTGCTTGGCTCCATCTTTTACCTCCTCGGGTTTGTCATCATCCCTGAGGTCCTGCGCTTCCTTTGTTAATTCGGCAATCTGTGCCCTGATATCTTCCCGCATATGCTTGTTTTTCTTCTCCAGACAGTTCCTCACTATGTGGCCTGGTTGGCTGCAATTGAAGCACTTCCCCTCCTTCTTGAGGTGATCCATGTCGATCTGCTTGTCTGTTCTGGTACTTGGGCCCTTACCAGTTTGCTTCCCATCATTCTTGGAAGTTGAGGCTGAGCCGCCAGGCCTGGCAGATGTGGTCACATGAGAAGTGGAGGGCTTCAAGCCCTGTCCCTGGTACCTGTGTTGATCCCACTGGTTTGTTGCTTCTGCCTTCTGTCGCTGTCATTCTTGCCACATCAAGATAATTCGGGCCTTCCAATTGTCATAGCCGATCGGCACACTATGGCTGAGGTCTGAGATGGTCTTCAAGTAATGAGGTGGTACTCCCTGCTTCATATACTCGACTATTCGTCCTGAGTCGGTGATGTCCTCCCAGATCCCCACGAGTTTTCCGAGTCATTCCAATTCGTCAAAGTAATCAGGCACTGCTTTGTCACCTATCCTGTACTCCTTCATCTTCAACTTGTGGACTTCTCGTATGGCAGGATCCGTGAACTTGTCACAGATCATCTGCTTTAGTACCGCCCAGGCGGGGTACCGATTGTGTTGTCATGTGATTGACCAGAGGTTAGGGGCCAGTAGTACCCACTATACTTTTGCTTTGTCTTCAAAGTAGGTGGTGGCATAGTTTACCTTGTACATATCGTGAAGGAAGTACAAGGCAAAAACCTGGAAATATTGGTCGCAGTCCATGAGGAAGCAGTCAATATCATCTGAAGCCCCTTTAAAAAGAAGGGGCTCCTGCCCGAGTGTTGGTCTGACATTTAGTATATGTGCCTTCGGATCGAGAGGTGACATCAGATTCGGGAGTTCCCCCTCAGAGAGACTGGCCCAATCTGTCAGGGGCCCTGGAAAGGAATACAAGGACCCATCATCGGCTATGGAGCTTCTTGAGGTCGGTGGCCCTTCCTTCTTGACGATTCGTCTGTTTTTGATTGTCCACCCTTATGCCATTGCCTCGGAGTCATCCTTCTTCTCATCAGTCAGAACTGATCCAGATGCTTCATCGGGAGGTGGCTGTCCTCCTAGCAGTCAGCTTTCTGTGCCAGTCCAGGGATTTGGGTGATATATCCTCAGCTGACCATAGGATCAGGTCAGCCATGATGCCATGCTGTGGACAGCCGACATGGTGAGTGAGTATCTTGATGTCGCTGTTCGAATTGAAGATACCGTGTTCACCATTTTGGGTGGCATCACACTTGGTGTCCACGGCATTGGTGGTTCTCATTTGCCAAACCTTGATCGATATGGTGGCATTGCCATCATCTGATAATGTAAGAAGCATTGATTGAAATTAAAAATCACGTACTTTGTCATGGCATACTGTAAAATCTCCTCCTGTTCAATGGGATCTGCAGTGGTATACCTTTGCCCCAGGGATGATCATAGCCAGAGATCGTCCCTTCATAATTCAGCTACTTGCTCTTGATATAGCTGAATAAACTCCTCCTCCCATGCCTCTCGTTCTCGTCGCTTCTTCTCCTGTTCCTGATGCGTGGTCATACTGATGATACTCCCTCATTCAAGGATGGGGTCCACCACTTGGCCCTCTTGGTCCTCCTCCTTGGCCTCATCGTCCCCTTCAGCCCCCTTGTCAGTGATCCCCCCGAAGAGGGAACTGCCTTGTGGGCCATAGGTTTCCAGGGCGGGGAGGTTGGGGCTGAGTGCTTGACTTGGCATCATCGGGTCTGGGCTGAGGAGCAGGCTCCTGGTCAGACTGCTTCTCTTCTCCTTTTGCTGGCAGTGCCACTGCTCTGCGATACCAGTGGAAGTTTCTGTAGAAATGGGAGCAGAGGAAGAGAGCAGCGATTGGCCCATCAAGGACCCTTTTGAGGTCCCTGATGGGATCAATATGTTCGTCGTTGCCCCTGATTGATCTGAGGTCTGATAATATCCTATCTCCTCAGATGGAGATATCGTCAGTTTGGGCGATAGTGTCTGTCCTGTATGATAATGGGCAGTCATCACTGAGGAGTGTCGGCTCCCTATGGTAGTAGTCGTCAGCATGGACAGCTCTGGCTGGTCTAGTCCAGGGGTCGGATTCACTGATAGGAGTGGCTGGTTCCCAGAACGGAGAGTCAAAAGTGCCGACTGTGGTATCGAGGTAGCTGGCAAGGGAGTGGGGGATCGGCCATATTGGGTTTGGTACCACTGGACCATCCCTTGGTAGGCGGGTTCCTTCTCCTTGTTCCAATCTGCTGGCAGCTTTTGACGCTGCTTGCCAGTATCGGACCTCGTTTCTGTTGGTGTCATCAAAGAAGAGATTGAGACTACTGACCCTTGTTCCTCTTCCACTGCTTCTTGTGATACTTCTGGCTGCTGGAGCCATCCGAACAGCATTCAAGGAGTCTCTAGCCTGATGCCCAATTCCAGACTGGGTGATGGTTGTCCTTGACATGTTGACGCTGCACTCAGAGGCGGGGAGGGAGGTGTTGGGTCGGAATCGTCGAAACTCTATAGCCCAAGGGTTTCCAGGGTCTTAGATGACTGCTGACAGGAGTCTTGGAGGGTATCTGTATGGCTGCTGCTGCTCCTCCTCTTTCTTAGAATGCCTTTGAGTCAAGCTCCCAGGCTCATCTTCTGTTTCTTTGGGGTGTCGGACAGAGTTTTAGACAGAGGGAGGGATGTCATGGAGGAGGAGGTCTGGCATGACATTTCAGAGGATTGTGTGAATGCGTTGGAATTCTTAGTAGTGTCAAATGGCCCAGGCAGTAATAGATTGGTGTCCACGGCACAGCTGTATGATCACCAATAAACTGATCAAGGTTCCAATGATAGAAGTCAAGAGTTCAAAGAACTCATGTGTAAAGTTTGGATCAGACAGATTTAGAGCAGGGGGCATTCGGTTTCTCAGCACAAATAGGCTTGAGAAAAGGAAGTGAGAAGTCTCAAACTAATTGTTAAGCCCAAATTTCACATGACTAGAAACACATGATAAACTGATAGAACCTCACACTTCGGGTTATACTGTCAGAGTCCACTCATGTGTGACTAGCATTGTGTAGTCAAGGCATTTGCAGTTTGCTCGAGATAAGATGATGAAGTAAAACTTTAGTTTGAGACTGGGATGTTACAGCGAGAACTAAACTACTTAAATACTGTTCTGTTATTGCATTATAAATAACTGTTCACAAAAGATATTGTCTGCTGTAGAGCTGTTTCCCCTACTGTTGCCAGGCTCTCCACAAAAGCTGTTGTCTTACTGTGGAACTGTGGTCGTGTACTGCAATTTGGGGACAAAAGGAGCATTGTCTCTCCCTTCACAGCACACAGCAGTGCAATAGGAGAATGACCGACTGGGCTGCTGAGCTAAGCGCTCCCACGGTTATAAGCACTGGCCTAAGCACCCTGACTAAGCAAAGATAGGAGTTATTTCCAAAGGAAAAGAAAGAAAAATAGGAAGAAAATAGGAAAAATCGTAACACCTCAGGGCTTCTTCATCTGTATCTTTGCTTGCCCTCTTGAGATATTGTTCATATGGATATGATCCCTCACTGTCCTCATTGTCCTCCTCATCGCTCTCATCCCTGCTGTCCCCTTCCCCAAGGAGAGAACTGACAGGTGGGTTATAAATGGACGGCATGGCTGATCATAGGGTCACTGGGGACTCCTGCACTGTCCTGGATGCTGGGTCTGGCATTACTAGAGCTGGCTCCTGTGCTTGTTTGATGAATGGGAGGGTTACTGAGCCGGCTATATCATGTCCCTTCACACACTCTCATCTCCTCCAGTTCTTGGCTATAAAGGCTGAAGTAATGTTAGAACTCGAGATTGAGGAACTGGTGAGTAACCCTGCTTTCCAGGAATCACTGGAGAGCCTGGTTGGAGACGTGAGCATTGTCTGGTACTCAGAGCCTATAGGCTCCAAGAATGGAGTCAGCATCCAAGAAAATGGTGTCGGTTTGAGCAGGATACTAAGGGGTGGAAGGTCGACTGTTATCGGTCCTGCCTCATCTGATGGCCTCGATGCTGGCAGGCCCTGTCCACAGGTTGGTGTCTGAATCAGGCTTCCTGAATAGGGATCCTGAGTCGGTGCAGAGTCTATACCAGCCTGAAGAGGCTGATCCCATCCTTTCAGCTTCTGCTCTCCTTCTTTGCTCTCTTCTCTGTCGATCATACTCCATGGCTTTGTACTGCTCTTGGGCTTTATTTCATATATACTCAGCAAGCTCTTCTTGGGCTCACCTGATTTCTACCTGTCTGGCTTGGTTCTGCTGCTGCTGCTGTACTGCGTCATTGTAGTTAAAGGAGACTGTGAGGTCTCAGTCCAGGAATATTCACCATATAATTCTGTCCTGGGCAATCCTTCCTCTTGCACTGGTGGTCCCAATTTCTGGCTTGCTCTCCACATGGAGATGTCGATGAGGGTCCCTGGCTGCAGAGATGGCAATCTCGACATTGGTATAGTCAGGGTGTATTGTTCTCCCATGCAGGTCATTGATCCCCAGCCTGCTGACAGACTGGCTGGAGCTGGAGTTGGGCTTGATGGAGATATAAAGGGAGTTGTGGGGAGAGTTGGGGCCTTCATGGAGTCTCAAAGCCATCCGAGCGGCATCAAGGGAGTCCCAAGCATGGTTTCCAATCCCTGAGGGGATCAGGGAGAGAAAATGCTCAGGGGATGAGACTGCTAGAGCAATGTTGTCAGAGACCTTCTCAGGCTCCTGAACAACATTCGTCGTCCATGGGTTTTGAAACCCTGCAAGAGCAGGGTGGCAGTTTCTGCTATTTTGTCAAGGGGAGTACTGAGGTCCTTCTTCCTTGTGAAGGCTCCCTGGATGCAAGTCATTATTCCTGGTTTCTGATAAGAGTCACCCTTGCAGCTGGAAGAACGTTCTGACAGAGGTGGAAATGTCATGGAAAAGAAGGTCTGGGGTTATGTTTCATAGTATATATTGAATCTGCTGGAACACCTGATAGTGTCTGACTATCCAAGCTGTTACTAATTGTCATCCACAGCAGAGGGTGATAATGGCAAGAAGGCTAAGCAGTGTTCCGATAATGGAGGCTATAAGCTCAAAGAAGTCATGATTCAAGTTGGCGGTTGTTGCTGAGGGCATTCGGTTTCTCAGCACAATTGGGTTTGAGAAAAGAAAAGTGAAAGCTTTGAGCTAATTGTTAGACCCAAGCGTTATGTGAACCTAAACACATGATAAACAGATGTCCCTTCGCACTTCAAGGAATCATCTGAGTTCACTAACTGTGTCTTCAGGTCAATGTATCACAAGACCATGATAGAGGCTCAAGAGTAAAATAGTATAATTATAAACTTTAGCTCAAAGCTGAGGTATCCCAGCAAGAATGAGCTCCTTTAAATACTGTACATGGAGATCTAATAATACTTGTTCTTATTGTGGAGTTCTTGTTGTTTTGTGCTGTCTGTCCTTGGGCATCATTACTGTACATAAAAGGGCGATTGTATTCATCATGTGTTGCTATGAGTTTCTGAAGAATAGTGGTCTAGTCATTTATGATGACTAAGCTTGTTCCCCATGATGCTAAGTGCTGGACTTGATGCCCTGGTTGGGTCAAAATAGGGGTTAAAAAGGGGAAAAGGGGAATAAAAATTGGGAAATCATAACAATAAGGTAGCTCATAAGAGATTTTATGTGATCCATGAGTTAATAAAAATTTACTACTGGTGGCCTGACATGAGGGCAGATATTGCTTGGTATGTCTGAATTTGTCATTTATATCAAGTTCAGCAGATAAGACAAATTTATCTGCCTGCAACTGTTGCTGTACCTGCACCCTTATTTTCAAAAATGTACATAGACACTATGCTCATGCTGGTGTCTGGATAATACAAGTATATTGTGCAAGAGTGGTGTTCTATGAGCTATTATTCAGAATTTAGATGTTTGTGAAGAGAAACTGTATGAACTATAGGGGAATGGATTTTTAAAGACATTCTCTGTAGATGGAGATCATTAGTCAAAATTGTTACAGACAACAGAAATGCCTTTGTCACAGTTATAAGATATTTCAGCAAAAGATATCATATCAACCATATCAGAATTTCAGGGTATAATTTATGAGCCAACAGAATAGCTAAACAGCCTCACTTTGATGTTCAGAATAGGCAGGACATTCATGAGGCAAATGCTTAGAACTTCTATCACAAAAGGCACAGAAACTAGCCCCAAATTGTTGACCTTCAAAGGCCATATAAGGAATGACATGTTCTGAAACCTTCTCAGCAATCTTCTGAGCATTATTCAAGGTTTCTTCTCTAGCAGCAAGAGTTTCAATATTCAAAGAGTCATTCCAACTATCTGCATCTGCACTACCCTAAAAGTCAAACAAAAAGTCAGTATCAAAACATGAAATAGAAATTTCAGAACATACCTAAGAGTCAGAACTGTCAACTGTTGACTCAGTTTGTTGCAGGCTGCCATCTTTATTCAAAAATCAAGTAGCATCTCTTTTGTTTGAAGGGTTAGTACCAGTCCAAAAGGATCTGGACCATGCAGCTTCATTACTACCTGCAATTGGGAATTCCATAAAGACATTGCCATTAACAGAGAAACTAGGATGGGGCAAGTCCTTGAGACATTCAATAATGCCCTGTACTGTTTTAAAAACAGTAGGAGTGTCACTGTCACTGGAGGTGATTCTAGAATGGTATCAGTTGGACAATTGGGCCCAGGCAGCATGGTAGTCATGAAGATGAATAAATTGTCAGACACAGTTAGAAAACTGTTTGAACTGAAAATTCTGATGGAAATCCAAATAATGGATCAAAATTAAAGACTATCAGAAATCAGCAATGTCTCTCAAGTAAAATAAAAAGTTCACTACCTCAATATCCTTAGCTTTATCAAACCAGGATTGCAGAGTCTCAAAAGTCAAATTCTAAGGTAGGGCTAAAAGGTTTAAATGCTCAAGTCAAACAACAAGCTCAGACAAGGCAGGAAGCTTTAGAGAGAACACAATAATAGTTATAAATTGATAAAGAACATTCAGTTAATACACTGTCTTTTATAGACAGAAAAAGTTCATGAATGATCAAAACAGATGACTTAAGTATTCATCATAGACTTATAAATTCTAGCTATGAATATGGCTGAAACCCCAAGAAACTGAAAATTCAGCCACTTATACCAAAAATTCACAATCTGACATCAAAACTATTTCTAATATTAATCCTTATGACTGGAAAATTTTAGTGGCAGTCAAAACCATTGAAAAATTGAAGTCAGGGGGAGGAGACATGGTATTTATATTGTAACACATTTATAAAACACATAACACTGCATAGATATTTGCAAACTAAAAAGTTTGCAAAGTCATAAAAGAAACTCACTTAGAAAATGTAAAATTTCCAGTTTGAAAAATACATGAATATCTCTTAATCTAGGTCAAACCAAAATAGTTGGTGAAAGAGAAGTCATACTTAACAACATCAGTAATAAAATCATAGACATATTACACCTCAGAAATATGATAAAGATATTGGCCAATGAGAATAGCCTGTTGTAAAGGCAGATTCCAAGAGTAGGGAGAATCTCTCCTGGTTTTCATCTATTCTGCCAGATTCAGTAGGTGTTTGTTTTGTTGACTCAGCTCTTTAGGCTGACTCAGAAGCTGATATGATATTTTAAATGGATGCCAGCTTAAAAAATGCATTATCATTCATTTTTGCAGAAAACAGTTTTGTATATCAGCTTTATCCACTATCATCTAAAGATATGATCAACATCTTCTTTCTTGAACTTGTTGCCATTCTTTCAGCCATCTATTATGCAGTATCTCTATCCAAACCCTCTCATCACCTTTTACTTTTCACAGATAGCCTCGATTCTATTGCTGTATTTGATTCTCTATCAGTATCAGAATCTCTTTATAATGGACCCTTACTTGGAGCTGCAGGCCTGATACTTCATTCAGGAATTGATATTTATATTTGACATATTGACAGAAAAGATAATATTCAGGCTGATATGCTTTTTTGACTCCTTTTGAATAAATATCATCATAAATTCTCTGCTGACCACATTTGCACTTTCACTCCACCAAGAGACCTACTGCCAGCATGATGGAGACAATCTTTCTAACTGCACTAGACAAGCATGCTCCTCACATTGCTCACTCAGCTTTCTCTCTTTCTCTTCTTGATAAACATATTCTGTTTCTCTAAGCTCATGTGATTGAGCTCAGAGCAGCAAAGAGTTATGCAACAGGAGTATGCAACTATATATAGTTTTGCATTACTTATACACTGCTGCTTGAACAGACACCACTTACTCTCAGCAGTTGCAAATATCTCATAGTGCAAGCTACTATCCATAGCTCAAGAAAGATGAGAGGTGATCCCATATCCCAAAAACTACTCCTTCAATTATTCTATTTGATCATCTTTTGTCTTCTCACTAACATCTCAGATTCTTATGATGATCTCTTATTTGCCACCATCCTTGCTTGCTGCTTCTATGGCTGCCACTGGTCAGGTGAGCTCATTTGGAAAAATGACAAACAACTTCAGGACTTTCACAAAATAATCAAACATTTTTTCTTCATTCTCCAAAATAATGATATACAATATTATCTTCCTTACAACAAGTCTGACCCCTTCTACCATGGTACTGACATCCTACTCACACAATAGGAGCTTGCTGACCTAGTTGCACTTCTATCACAATATATAAAATGTTGAGATCTTCTTCATGGCTCACATGCTCCACTCTTCCTCTGTGAAAATGATGATATTCTATCATGAAATTGGTTTGACAAAATGTTTTTTACAATTCTAGACAGAAACTTTGGTGGTCACTCTGCTAGAGCTGAAGGAGCTATGTTTTATGTATTGCTTGGACTTTCAGAGTCTATCATATAAGCTCTTAGTTAGTGGTCTTCTAAAACATGGACCACTTACATTCAGGAACACCCTGTCCTACAAGCACAACTATAATTGGCATATATATGCATTCATCATCCCCCTCCCTAATCTGCAATCCATTCAATCTTCTTGAATCACCACCACCACCTCTCACCAACTAAAAGTATATAATAGCTATTTACACATTGCAATTGATTTGAGGGCAGTCTCTGGGGCCCTCATTATAGCTGGTTACATTCCACTCCTCAAGTGAGCAGCAGAGGCCATTGTAAAGGCAGATTCCAAGAGTAGAGAGCATTTTCACAGGTCTCTGTGTGACTCTCAAGATTGTCACAATCTCTGTCAATACAGAGATACAGAGTTCCACTTGTCCATGAAGAGGGATTGCCAGTGCCATCTCCATCTCAGTGCTGAGTCTCAGCTGATGCTGATTCATGAGAGACATCAGCACCAGATGTCTCTTCTTTACTCCCACTTTCATCCCACATCTCTATGTAAGATGAGCTCTGCTTTCTCACTGTCAATCTTTCCTGACCACTAATCCTAAGCTTTGAGACTTCATCTCCTCCTTCATGTCAGTAACTTCTGTTGCCTAATGAGGCTCCACCTCTTCATTTATCTCACAATTGGCTCACTTGAGTAGTCTTAGCTTTGCCAGACTTAATCAATCCTCATTCAGTATTACTAGACTATTATTGTACAAGTCATTGAGTTTTTTGTCCTCCATCCACCTCTCTCTTATATTACTAGATAGCCATTCACATGTTGCAATTGATTTGAGGGACATATGAAGAATGTTATTATTGGAATTTAGTCTTAGCAAATGAATGCCAAGAAAAGCACAGCCACTCTGATAATTCATATCATAAATCACATAAAATTAAAAGTTTATATACCTTATAAAGAAATCAGAGCTCAAGTCACACAATTATAAATAAAAACTCAAGCATCCTAAGACATTAAATTATTACAAAGTATTAAAACTATAAAAATATGTGAAAAATTATTTCTTGTTGCTTGATTCTGACTTCTCACCACTTGGCATCTTCTTGGCTTCTAAATCTGTCAACTTTTTGCCCTCAGAAACACCCTTTTCAAAAAGCTGAAAAACCAAAATAATAGTGTCAAAATGGGTAGCATGAAAAAGATCAGGAATATAGCCTATGACATTGTTTATTTGATGAGCATTTCAGCAAAGCTTGTGAAGGAGGCCTCAGATTTTGGTGACAACAGCTATGGAAACAAAATAAGAAAAGTTTGCTAAGATAAAAGAAAAGAACTTACAAAGCTCAGAAATGAAAATAGGCTTCAAAGTATTAATAAAGGGCTTGTTGTGAACTATACAATCATACTTGTGAATAGTGCATCAGAAGCACTTCATCAAGCCAGAATAAACACTCTGGCATTGCACATTAGCTCTCTCATAAGCATCACAAGCTTTGCTTATCTAAAAAAGAAAGTTAGCAAATTTTAAAAAGTTTATAAGATAAAAGAATGAGAGGACTTACAAAATAGCCAATCTTGTCAGCCAATTCCTGTTTGAAATATGTGCCTTTGCATCTGACAAAAGCCCCAAAGTCTTGATCAGGGACTAGAAGATCCATAGGCTTTAAATCTCTTAATTGAATTTCTCTAAAACTCTTAGAGATAGGCTTTTCTAGGCTGCTGCATGTGTGAACTTCCTTAGCCATCTTTTCCATGATCTTGCAAGGGCAGCTAGTACTTAGTTTAAAAGCTAGAAGTTCAGAGTCAGAAATAGAAAATTTCATAAAGAAAAGAAAAAGACATATAGCTTATACTGCTCTGATCTCTCTCAGCAATGGTAGCAGAAGAATCTCTGTGAAGATGTTTGGAGGCAGATGCCTCAATTGCCCTTCCAGCTAGAAAAAAGAAACTGGATCAGTTGTAAAATATTAAAACTAAGAACACACTATCTTGCATACATTTGTTGCTTAAATCAACAATAGGTGGAGGGATCAGCAGATGAGCCTTGATAACTGTATGGTCATCACATACAGAAGAAGTTACTCTCATACTAAAAATGAGATTTTCTATAACAGAAAGTTAGAAACAAAGACTTCATAAAATAAAAATTTTATATACTATTTTTAGCCCTTGTCAAGAAGGGCAGCACATCTGAACTTTTCCTAGGAATATTAGGAGGACTCATCCTCTCAGTTGAAGGAATCAGAATTTAAAAGGCAGAAGGGCAGGCCTCAGTAGATGACTGAGATGCCCATGCTAGAAGCTTTAACCTAAAGCCAAAACTAAAACCATCTAAAAGAAAAATTAGAAAAAAAAATAATGCAAAATTAAAAATTTCATATACTATTAATGCCTTAGAGATCAAAACAGAAGGAACCCCAACTTTTGAAGGGATAGGAGGGCCTACTAAGACAGAAGCTTCAGATGCAGAAGATTACTTCAGCTGGAGAAAACCAAGGACAACTCCATATTTAAACTAGAAAAGAAAGGATTAGCAAAATAAAAAGTTTAAGAACAAAAAGAAATGTATTGTTTTCACAATAAGAAAGTTGTACTCTTTGACTGAATGTTTCCCCAACTTAGTGTTAATAGTAGCCAACATCTACCACAGCTGTTGCTTCCAACTGGCCTATTTCTTGTCAGAAAGGAATCCCTCTTCATTCTTGTGCCAGGCAAGATACAGCTATTGCCAGATGATCAAGACAGAGTGCACTCAAACATCCATGTGAGGAGCTTTCTCACAAGAATCTGGCATGTGGGCCAGACAATAATGGAAGGCAGAGAGAGCATTAATGAGAGACATAGGAGACATATGAAAGATGAGAGGTATAAGAAAAGAATAAAGCCAAGATATATTGGAGAAACATAGAAAAGTTCATAAATTTTATATCTCAAGGAAACATGCACAGACCAAGATCAATGCTAGCAACTAAAAAGTTTGCAAACTTTACAAATATTCTTGTCTCAGAAAATAAAGCACTTTCTGATAGATGAAGAACACTCAATCAAACTTTGTGAACTTCTTGATGCAATCAGAAATATGATTAGGCACATATGAAGCCAAATTAGATATCCAAAGCAACCAACCATATGTTACTATCAGAAAATATCAGAAAGAAATTTGCAAAAGAAAGTTCACTGGCAAATCAATAAAAAATTAAAGTCAGAGAGAGATGATAAGTCACTAGGCTCTATGCACTCTGAAATTGCAGACTTCAATAATTATTTTTGACTTCTGCTCTTAAACAGGCTTTCAATAAACCAATCATTTCAGGTTCAATGGCAGTAGTTTCATCAAGAGCTATTCATTACTCATAGACATTTCTTTGTGCATGAAGATTATATGTTATATATAAACTTTCCATTTGTCTGCAAACTTTTTTTAGCCTTATGACTCTTCTCATCAACTATATGACACACAAACTTTCTATGCTATAATAAGCACCATAGACATGGTTGGCACTATGATAATCAATCAGACATATGTCATTATTAGTATACATGTAGCATTCTAAGGCAGTCTATAAGGTCTATTGCAATGTATATACAAGGCTGGCTGTAGATGTCTAAGCTTTTCACAGCCAGCATGTGAAAGGGTAATAGGCTGCAGAGGACTAACTCTGTTTTTGGTTAGATATATAAGGAATATTAGAAGGACTAGTGTACTATTGGCTATATGAACTTTTAAATACACAATGTTTACTAAAAGCCTCACAACCTTCAAGGCTTCATATAATAAAAACTTCACTAGGCTCACTAAGCTAGTACTGCAGTTACAAAGACTGTTTAAATGTAGTGTACTTAGTATTAGTAAAAGAATAGTGTAAGTAGTATACAAAATAACATACAAAAAGGAGGACAAGCAATATCAAGACTACTTGACACTCATACTAAAACTGTACACCAGTATGACATCTCTCCAATAGAACCAGCTACACAGATCATCTATAGGTCAATATTCTTCAACTGAGAGTATCATAGCATCTCAACAACTCTACAAGGCTTGCATATGACAATAGTGAACTTATAAATTCATGAAATATTGTCTTGTCTTACTTCATCCCCAAAAAACATAAAAGAAATCTGTTGCTCTTGCATATCATTCTCACACTGCCTAGATCTAATAAAAAACTTTGAAAGATAACTGGAAAACATCAATTATTTCTTTAGACCCCACTAAGACCACATATAGGTTGCACCATCTATTACTCAGATCCTTATGTGATATTTCTGTTATAGAAAAGTTCATATACATACTGTGAGTCACTGTAAACAATTCAGAGTCTCATATCTATATAGCTACTTCTTACTATATCCCTTTGGAGATTAGTCACTATATGGAGGTATATGACTAGACTCACTTGGACCAGCCTTCAGATTCTGTGCTTTGGTTTCATTTACTGAATAAATTTTATGTTTCCTACCTGCAGAGAGTCTGCTAGACAAACAATTTCTAGTTTATCAACTACCAACAGGATGACTGTACCAAATAGCTTGCTCTTGTCACCTTTGAACATAATAACTGAGTACACTCAGTGACCAGCAAAATCCCCTTCTATATCAACTATGACTGACACTCATGTGTTGCTATCACAGAATGATATAATACCTTCACTCCAGCTTTCTTTAATTTTGCTGCCCTCATGTTCTCCATTTATACTGAAACACACACTGCTCTTGAAAAGACCACCATAGCCATGAGGATCTAATATGACAAACACTACTGACCAGCATATACATATGCTATGAATGATAAGATATGGCTGGATACTACCAACCTTCATCTTCTTTGCTCAAAATAAAAGCTCACCAACAAATAGACCAGGCTATTCACAATCCTCAGCAAAGTCAGCACCTCCACTTATCTCCTTTATCTCCTTGATGCTTGGTGCATACATCCTGTTTTTAATGAATCTCTGTTATCCCTTTATATTGCACTGGCATTTTCAAATCAAGAATGATCACCTCCTCCAGAACCCATTCTTGTCAAAGAAGAAGAGCATTATGAGGTCAACCAAATCCTCCACCACAAGCTCTGCAAAGTGTGTGCCTATAGCAGGGGCACTAGAACAATCATTGATTATCTTGTCAGCTGGAAAGGCTATGGACCAAAGTCTAATCAGTGGATCAACAAGCAAAATATAAATGCTAATAATATGATTCATGATTATCAACTGTCCTTAGAATGATCCATCAGGACAATGGTCTTAAAGAGAGAGTAATGTTATGATTTTCTTATTTTATTTCTTTTCTAGCCTCTATTTTCCAATTAGTCATAGTGTCTATTTTTATCTTTAGCACTCAGAAGGCATGAAACATGCTTATGTTACACAATAAACCACCTATGCCATCATTCCTTCAGCAGCAATGGACACCTCAATAATAGACAATACTATATTGTACCAGTACTAATGACCAGAGACAATGAGCACTATAGCACAGAATCACACAATTAGGTAGAACTATTATTATCTAAGGACTCAACAGTATATAAATAGTGTAGCTCTCACTGTATATACTCAGCTTTGAACTAAAGTTTATTCTATACCACTTCATCTCAAGCTGACTTGTCTCTGGCCTTGAAGCACAATGCCTAGATAACATATTTAATGAACTCTGTCATGACTGTACAAACTCAATACAGTGGCAGTTTATCATGTGTTTAGATCACATGTAACTTGGGCTTAACATCTTGTTTCAAGTCCTTTCTCTTTCTAAACTGATGGCTGTACTTGGCTCACTCACACTCCAGCCAGTCATATTCCTCAAAAATAGCATGGATCAGATTTTTAAAATTAATCTTCTTATTGAAACTGAACAGCTTTGCTGCTATAATGAGAGTTGATATATGCTTGGCAAGATAGAGGAGAATAGAGGTGAGAATTGTTGAGTGATAATCCTTCTCCTCAATAATAACATTGATAGAAGTTAATGACTTTTGTTTTATTGACAGACTGTCAAGAAACTCATGAACATTGCTCTTAATTGGGCAATATGACTCTATAAACTGCTGCTGAAGATCAGTCTGTGCATAGCCACTCTTATCAGTGAACTCCTTTTCAATCTTTGTCCAGGCTTCAGTGACTGTGGAGAGATGCTGGATCTTCATAGTGACTAAATCAGAGATCTTCAAGAGCAGAAAGTTCTTAGCTACAGCCTCATCTTTCTCTCATTCATCTTGCTCAGCTATGAGGGCCATTGTGAGTGCAGTGAGAGTGAGTTAGAGCTTTGATCTATCAAAGTGATCCTATTTCTCTTTGGCTTGAATGCCAGTAGAAAAGCAGAGGTAGAAGATAGACCAGTTGTCACAAGATATGTTTAGTGTAGAGATATTTGATGGTAGGCCTGTAGTTAAGATAAAATAGCAGAAGTCATTTTGAGTGTGAGAGATAGAATAAAGTAATTCTCAGAGCTATATAACCTCTAAAAAAGTGATGCATGTTTGTAGAACCTAATAGTATATACTGTTAGCTATCTTCTAGACTATAGATATCAATTAATAAGTTAAACATAGTAGTATAGGTAAATAGTCACCCTCACACAGTGTAGCAACAAGCAGAAATGCAGTGAGAGTGCTTGACAGTCCATATTCAGTATATAATGCCCATCCTGACATAAAAAGGTATTAAGCTCAGCTGGTGGAATATGACAGAGTTTCTGCTTGTTAGTTCAACAAATGATTTAGGTCCTGCTGCTGTCACCACTACTTTCACTGTAATCTCTTTTAAATCTGAGTCTTTGTTTGGTCTGAAGAAAGTTGGCACATTCAACAATGTCTTAGGTCTGGTGTTCTGCACTGCATTCACTGCAGATACCATGCCTATGATGATTGATGCATGGGTCTTAGCAGAAACCCAAATTCCAATTCTCACAGGATACTGTTATACTCTTGGCAGCTGAAAATGAAGCAGATGATGAATGCTTTATATTTGAAGAAGGAATCAATGAGGAGTAAAACACCTGCATAAGAATAGAGATTTGAAGTTCACTTTAAACATTCATGCAAAAAGAACATTTAGCATAATGCAATCAGACTTCTTCATCAATTTGAATAGCAATGATAGCATTGTGTGGTGCAGCTCAAAAAACTTTGATGACATATTCTCAATAAGCTTTAAGTTCAGCCTCACAATGTGGGTGAAAAACTTAAATGCCCTTTGCTCAGGCATCATACACTCTGCACCAGTCTGATTCTGTTTTAATAGGCTTTTTGTCTGATGAAACCTCTTTTCTGATGATGGCATATCCTGCCATAAGTTCCTTAGTTTCTTTGTTGTGGTTGCATCCTTGGTCTATTGACATGAAAAGTTTTGGGAAAGTCAACATATTGGTCCTGGATAATGAGGCACCAGAAAGGCCAAGCAATGGGTTCTGAAAGAGACTGGATCTGTAAGACTGCAATAAGGTTATCAAGTGACCTCTCAGTAGCATATACTTATCTGAGGTGGAATGACTCAGCAAGATGGAGATCTGAGATTCCAGTAGAGATAAGAGATGCTGGTCAATCTCTAACTGCAAACTCCAGGCATCAAGGCTCTGCCTCTTCCCCTCTGTTGTCAGTAATCACTCTTGCCTGGTGAGGCTTCACATCTGTCCTCATCTTACAAAGGCTTATTCAAATAGCTTTTTGGCTCTGCCATGTCTAACCAAATTCCATCTAGTATTATTGTACTACTATTGTATGATTTACTAGTGACTTTTTTGTCAGTATCCTTCATCCCTCAAATCTATATTCTCATTCATGAACCAAAATTCATCTACTGATGCTGAGAGTGTCATCACATTGGCCAAGTGATGTGAAGAACTTATTGAAGACTGTGTTAAAGGTACCATTACTATTTTTGACTTTGCCAACAGACTTTGTCAGCTTAGTCTTTTGTCTGAGGCTGCTGAAGACTACATCAAACTCCTGTGGGAATGAATCAAGCAAGCTGGTCCAAGGACATTGACTGGTGCACCCTCCAGCAGGCAAAACAATCAGCAGAAAGATGTTGGAGCAGCAGATAATAGGGAGGACACTTCTCCAGGTCTCTCACAGGATGAAATTGAGGAGTGTCAATGAGAGCAAGCTGAATAGTCCAAAACCACCACTGAACAATGCCAAGATGCCAGAGCTCACACCATTGAAAAAGCAGCTTGAGCAGCTCCCCATTCAAAACTCCAATTTCTTCACCAGATACCAACTGCTAGTGAGTCTCAGAACTCCATTGCAGCTGTGCTCACTGGCACTCTGGGACTTGATGATATTGTCTCACTGAAATTGACATCTATTTCTTCAATGGTCCTTGCTCGGGCTCCTCACCTGGTCTCATGAATCAGCATCAGCTGAGGATCAGCACTGATACAGAGATGACATTAATGGCCATCCTCATGGACAGAGTGGAGTTCCATATTGACAGAAGTTGTGAACATCTCGAGGTTTGCGCAGAGGTCTATAGAAACGCTCCCTACCCTTGGACTCCGCCTTTACGACGACCTCTCGGGTAGCATTACACTCATTTTGTGACAACTTGTGACAGGTAGAATCTAGATCACGTGTCACTACTTTTCCAGGTCGGACATCAAATTGAAAGATCTCCTTCCCCTACCCCGCTACAAATTCTTCTAAAGTACCTACTTTCCTCTTCTTCACTTTGGCCGTGTACGGCCATGGCGACACCTAACGGACAGCAGACACCGCATACGTCGGCCTCATCAGACCTTGAACAACGAGCGGCTCGAATACTCGACCCCGGAATAGGCGAGTCTCGTGCAAATCTCCCTTGGTTATCGCTAACCAACATTCAACTTCCAGACCTCAAAACACGATTCGTCGTCGCCACTGAAATCCGTGAGATCCTCGATACCTTACGAGATGCGGATGCCTCTCGAGCTCTACCTTTCATCATCCCTCCCCTCGTCGAGCTCCTTCAGTCCGGAGAGGTATCCTTCCGCAAAGAGAGTCTCGAGTTCCAATTCCGCTCCATCGTACTTAGTATCCTGACCCGTCTCCCCATCAGCGAACACGCCAAACCACACGTACAGTCCATTTATAATTGCCTGCTATGTGTTATCCGACAGGACAACGAGGAGAACGGTGTCTCGGCTTGCAAGCACATCGTCGAACTTGTACGAGCGTATCGCATGCTTACGGAGGAGAACCTCCGCGACTTTACCTCCCTCTTCAAGGACGTCTTCGCGAATATTAAGCCCATGACAGAACAGTTGCTTTCTGAAGGTTCGGCAGAATTGGATCCTGCCATTTCGCTACCTAGTATCAAGAGTTTCAAGGTTACGGCGGAACTGGGGCTGCTGATGGCGATGTTCTCGCAGATACAGAGGGATTTGATTAGGTCGGTTGTACAGGTGACAATCCCGCCGGCATTTGAAGTCTTGTGTTTGGAGGCGCCTGCACAGAAGAAGGCGAGGGAGGAGTTCGAAGCCGCTGGGGGATTTTGGGCGGGTATGGCACCGACTATCACGAATCCGGGGTCGTATGGGGATTTTGTGAATGCCCAAATCAAGGTGGGTTCCGCGGGCGTCTTGCTTCAGCTGTTCTAACGTTCTGTAGATGTTGTCCTACCTTGCCTTCATTATGCGGTTCAATCCGGAATCTTCAGATGTTCATGGGGAGACCCTTGTTCTGCACGCGTTGCGTATTTTGCAAGATTGTCCGATGAATGGAATACCGCAGAGAAAGGTGGTGCTCACTACATGATGGCTTTTTTGGCTTGTACTAACTAGCATGATAGGAACTTATGGTCGTTTTTCGTCATTTGATGGGCACTCCCTACAGGAAAGCACTTCTGCCTCAGATAGACAAGCTGTTCGATGAACGGGTTCTGCTTGGGACGTGTCTTGGGGCTAATGAGTTGCTCAGGTGCGTAATAACGTAGTCTTTACCAAACTTTAGTGCTGACATTATGCAGGGCGACTGTCTACACTGCGTTCACTGACCTATTCCATCACGTTCGCAACGATCTGACGTCGGCACAGCTCGAACGCATCGTCCATGTCTATTCCCGACAAATTCATAACCCTGCGTTGACCATCAACCTTCATACGCTGTCAGCGAAGATGATGTTCGGTACCGCGGAGGCAATCATTGCAAAGGAAACACCGCAGGGCGCGGCACGAATTCTGGAACTGATGTTCAAGAGCTGCTTAGACAGACTCGATGCCTTGACTGTCGTGCATGAGAATATTCTCGCGGCTTTGGAAAGAGCGAAGGCTGGGCAGGAGGTTGCTATAGACGATGCCTTTATTGAGAAGGCTCGCCCAGTTGGTGGTGCGGCATATGCTTTGGAGAAACCGGAGGATGTCGTCAATGGTAAGTGAGAAGTTACAATATATGTATTCGATTCTCACCAATGTCTTTTGCACCAGAGCTACGTCTGTTCTTCAAAACGCTTCTCCATGGCTTCCGTGTCTGCCTAGCCGGTCTTCGAAAGTGCGAAGCTCCTACACCGGATGGGACGCTGATTTTCCGCATGTTTGAAGGATGCGTTCACTGTCTTGCGAACATGGACAATGACAACCGCACTGATGCAGCCAACGACGCTATTGATTGGTTCTCACCCATCCTCTCAGAGATAAACCTCCATGTCTTCCAAGAGGTTTGGACTCACAAGATGGAGTTCTTCTTCGAGTGCGCGCAGAAACGCGTAGCGCTTCTGGGAATATGCTCGTATCTGTTCAATAGGGAGGCCACGTCGCCGACACTTCTTGCCATAGTCCTTCAGTTCCTCGTTGACAGGCTTCCAATGCTGGGAGAGTACGAGGATCTGGTGGTTGCGACGACAATACGCCTCTACAAGACTGCGTTTGCAGCCGTCGCAAGCCATCCTGCGACCAATGAGAGTATACTTGCTCTGCACCTGGGAAAGCTATTGATGGATTGTTTCCCGTTGGCTGCGAAAGCGACCAAGCCAACCCATTATTTTCATCTACTGAGGGCACTTTTCAGGTCTATTGGAGGTGGGGGTGGGAGATTTGAATTGCTGTATAAGGAGGTCCTTCCTTTGCTGCCGGAGATGCTGGAGTGTTTGAACCGACAGCTCCATTCTTCAGAAGGCGCGACAAGAGATATGATTGTAGAACTCTGTCTTACGGTGCCATTGCGGTTAACGCATTTATTACCGCATCTCTCGTATCTCATGCAACCCCTCGCCTTGGCCCTCAAAGGTAGTACGGAACTGGTGACCCAAGGTCTCCGCACGCTCGAGCTGTGTATTGATAACCTCACGCCAGACTTTTTGGATCCCACCCTTAATCTTGTCCTTCGAGAGTTGATGGAAGCGCTGCATAGTCACCTGAAGCCTCTGCCTGCGAACCACATCTTGGCACATAGTACCATGCGAATTCTAGGGAAGCTGGGTGGGCGGAACCGACGCCTATTGACCAAGGAACCATGTTTGAAGTATCAGCATCATTCAGAGCATCCGAAGATGACAATCTCATTTTCGGGGAAGGCGGGGAAGGTTGATCTAGGCCCTGCTGCAGTTCTTGCTCGTCAGACGCTGACCACGGGTACACCGGCTGATGTCACCCATGCCTATGAGTACTTGGAACGCTGCCTTTCTTTCATGCTCTATGAGGTACGTGCGTACTTGCGTCTTTTTCACTTGGTCTAACGAAAGGGTTCTAGGGTATCAAAGGAGATAACGCAGAACAGCTATTTGTCAGTGCCATGGAAGGCATCTTTGACGCCACACATGTTGCACAAACTCAAGAACAAGCCGAACAATTCGTGAAACGAATGGGTCAACGGATTTTCGAGTTGGAGACTCGTCGACCTCCGCCTCGTGATGTTGGAACCCGACAAGCGCCTAGCACTCTCCTTTCAGCTTTCATTGATGCTGTTCCCCATGCTCTTGCACGAGAGCAAGCTGAAGAGGCTAAGAAGGCAAATTTACTAGTAGCCTCTGTCATTCAAAATATGGTCAACACTATTGATCAACAGAGCATGACACTTCCCGATGTCACCCCCATTTTGCATCAATTCTCCACTCGATTCATAGGACTCTGTTTCGGCGACTCTTGGATACGAAAGAGAGCTGGTTGCAATGGCATCAGAATCATGACGTCGACGATGCACGTGGGAGCCAGTTGGACTGTAGAGCGTGAGCTCGAGATCATGAGAGCTCTTCTTCATGTGCTCAAGGATCTGCCTGCGGACCTTCCTCGCGATACTGAGGAAATTGTGGATGTGCTGACCACGGTGTTACGCATCGGAAATGCCAATCTGGACTACAGTGCCGAAAGCGGACATCAGAACTGCCTGAAATTGATCAATCTGGTTGGGCAGATTTTCCCAGAGCTTCAGAGCTCAAATGCGGTGGTACGGCAAGCGGCTCAGACTTCAATTGCGCTGTTGGTTGAATTCAGTGGAAGTGCGGCGACACAGCTTCTGATGCCGCATCGAGACCGTATGTTGGGGGGAATATACAACAAGCCCTTGAGGGCCTTGCCATTCTCAATTCAAATTGGCATGATAGAAGCCGTTCGGTATTGTGTAAGCCTTGATCCGCCATTAGTGGAAGTGAATGACGAGCTCCTCCGGCTGTTGCACGAGACATTGGCTCTGGCTGATGCTGATGATTCTGCTCTGGTTGGCCGGGGGAATGTTCGTCAAAGCAGTATCGAAGTGACCAAGCTCCATGTTGCCTGTATCAAGCTGTTGACCGCTTCCATGCCGTTGACAGATTTCTTTAGCAAGCAGCATCAAACGAGGCAGAGGTATGTGTGTAGTCTGCGATGTTGTTAACGCGAGATTTATCTTCTGTGACAGGGTAACAAGTGTGTACTTCAAGGCACTGTACTCACCCTCTCATGAGATCAAAGCAGTTGCTTACGATGGTCTGAAGATGGTACTTGCTCATCAGAACAGACTCCCTCGAGAACTTCTCCAGACAGGACTGCGTCCCATCCTCATGAATCTCGCAGATCCCAAGCGTTTGTCTGTTCCAGGGTTGGAGGGCCTTGCACGCCTTCTCGCCCTGCTAACGAACTATTTCAAAGTCGAGATCGGACATAAACTGCTCGATCATTTCCGCGTTGTCGCCGATCCGCAGATGCTCCAGGCATCTTCGAGGCTGCCTTTAGTAGAGAATGAGGGAATTACTAAACTTGTCCGTCTGGCCAATATATTCCATCTCCTCCCGTCGTCAGCCAATATCTTCCTCGACAATCTCATCAATGCCATCGTCCAGACCGAGGCTCAAATGCATTTCTCCGGTCGTAGTCCCTTCTCGGAGCCGCTAGCTCGGTATCTGAACCGGTACCCAGCTGAGGGCATCGACTTCTTTCTCAGACATCTTAACTTCCCTCGACATCTGCGAACATTGCGCAGCATCTTGCAAGCGAAATTGGCGCCTAGATTGGAGTCCGACCTCGCTTCACGTACCTCGATAATCGTTGCTCATTTCATTCGAGGAGGCAATAATTCTCAAAGTCTTCCTGCTCTTCTGCTTTTCATGGACCTCGCTAGTATTGCACCTAGTTGGGTTCAACAGCATGCTTATGCCATTGATGCATTGGTGGATGTTTGGCATGCTGATGTACCTGAGCAAGATGTCATTGCGTCATCGGAAGTTGTCGAACGCCAGTCCATTATCATTTCAATATTCAAAACGGTTCTTGAGCAATGCCCTCGTATTGATCTCGTCTTTGAGATTGTCTCCGTGTACACGCGCACCCTGGAGACGGATTTGATTCGCACAACTCATTTCCTATATAAACATGTCGCGCTGTCCTACGATGTTATATATCGGCGCAATATTTTGATGCGGTTCCTTACCTGGTTCGACAATCCTTCATATACCTGGTCTCACAAAGCCTATTTTATCCGCTATATTGTAACGCCCACTCTTATTGTACAAGCGTCTCGTTCAAAGGAAGAGCGGTTAGTGGGCTTGGACTTCGTTGAAAGAATTAGCAGGATGATCTGGCGGCGCATAGCGGATCCGAAGGCCTTTCAGGACACCGACGACATGTTCAAAATCGAGCTTCTTCATTTCACTACGGTGATGGTGAAGTATTACCCAGATTTGATGGAACATGCACGGAAAGATGTCCAGATGTGTTCGTGGCACTATATCGGTTCCACCGACGACCCCATTGTGAAACAAGCCGCTTATCTTCTGAATGCACACTTCTTTGCTGCATATCCTTCGCCGTACAAGTTCATCATGCGGACATGGACAGGCCTGCTACGAAACACTGAAGGACGTGGACATCTCCGTCAAGAGGCTTTGGCGACCCTCGCACCGGCTCTCCAAGCAGAGGCGCCCGAGTCTGGGTATCCTCAGTGGGCGGTGACCGCAAGGCGCATGCTTTCTGAGGATGGCGGGTCGTCCCACTTCTTCACGCTTTATACTCTCATCATCAAAGATCCATCGCTTTTTTACCCTGTTCGTGGTTTGTTCGTAATCTTCATCGCCAATTCTCTGCCCAAGCTCGGCCTCACCCAAAACTGTACATTGGAGTCGCGCAATTTATCGATAGACATCTTGCAAATCATCTTCGACTGGGAAAACCAGGCTGAGAAGGAACAAGAGGCCAGGATGGATGTAGATGGAGCATATCAGAAAGATGTGTGGTTAACGCCCATGGCATATCGGGAAAACATGGTCAGCTACCTTGTTCGCTTGGGTGCCAATCTTCACGAGACGCCGGCCAAGAATCACGTCGTTCCCCGGGCTCTTACTCTTTTGAAGGTTATGGTGGGCCCTAATGGATGGACCGACGTTCAGTTTGGTCTTCGGTTCTTCTTGCGATCGCTTGAACAGGTACGTAAACATTCTTCCGACCCACCAATCCTCTAACCATACCATTGTCAGATCGACTTGAACACCGAGCAAACTATCGCTCTCGCAGTCTCTTCAGCGAAGGTTCTTCAAGTCATCTGTGCAGAGCAAAGTGATGCTTGGTACACTAAAAATGCCTCCATACTCCAACAACTCGTGAAAAAGGGAATGATCACCGACGAGAACGATCTACATGATGCTCTAGGACCTATCTTCGATCGTCTGCTTGACCTATTCCCTTTACCCAAAGAAGAGGAGGACCAGCCAGGAGAGCTTTCGGAGTTCCATTCCTTCATTTATTCGGCCGTTGGCGAAGCACTACGCAATGCGACGACGGTTCGAGGTGCTCTCACTATATTGCAATCGGTGGTAAAAACCTCACCAGAGAGGATCGAATCCTTCGCCATGCCTCTTGTCAAAATCCTGACTCGATTGACCAAGGAGCATGCCCAACCTGGCTCAAAAGATGTCGAGAGCACTGTTCGCCTTATCATCACAATCATCGACATCTGTCAGACGTCGATAGCTTTCTTAGCGGACCAGCGCCGGTTATTCTTGACCAGCCTTGTTGCTCTTGCCGAGAAATCCAAGACCCTTGCTATCTGCCGCTATATTCTGGACCTTGCTCGTACGTGGGCATTGGTGAAGCAGGATTCTTATCCGACATCCAAGGACAAGGCTAATCTCCTGAATAAAATGGGTGCTTACGAGTCGAGAGGCGACTCTTTGTTTAACCTCTACCTCGAACTCATCTACGAAATCCTCACCGAACCTAGCTTACGTCGGAGCGATCTTACGACCCGGTTAGAGCCAGCTTTCTTGCTGGGCTGTCGAGCAAAGGATCCCAGTTTGAGGGAGCGTTATATGGGTTTGTTGGATTCCAGTGTGCCTCGCTCCCTTTTCAATCGCATGACTTACATCTTTGGTGTCCAAAATTGGGAAATCTTAGCAGATAATAACTGGATTTACCTAGCTCTTCATCTGTTGCTCGGCGCAGCTGATAATCTCGACACTCCCAACCCCCGTTCCCTTGCAATCAGCGCGCCGCTAGTACCGCATGCCAAAACCCAGGACATCGTGCGCTCCCTTCAACGTCTATCGTTTCTCGATCCCCAAACTGCTCATAACACTTGGGTGTCGATTTTCCCTGCAGCCTGGTCATGTCTCTCTCGACGGGAACAAGCTGACATCACTTACCACATGATTGTTCTTTTGAGCAAGGATTATCATACGAGACAGGCTCACGTCAGACCAAATGTCATTGAGACTCTGCTCAGTGGAATCCATGCTTGTTCGCCACCTATGACCCTCCCCCCACACCTAGTCAAGTATCTGGCAAAAACGTTTGGTTGTTGGTACGTTGCCTTGGAAATTCTCGGAGCTTCAATGGACACCGTCAAGGATGACGAACCCAATGTCCGCGACTTTGTCTATGATTCTCTTGCCGATGTCTATGCAGAACTAGCAGAGGATGATTTATTTTACGGCGTATGGCGAAGACGATGTCTGTACTCGGAGACGAACATCGCTCTGTCTTTCGAACAGAATGGGATGTGGGAGCAAGCCTCCACTGCGTATGAAACAGCCCAGAGCAGATTGCGGTCAGGAACTATCCCTTTTTCTGAGACGGAGTATTGTCTTTGGGAAGATCATTGGATATTGTCCGCTGAAAAACTGCAGCAGTGGGAAATCCTGTACGATCTCGGGAGGTCTGATTCTAATCCTGAGATGATGCTGGAGTGCGCGTGGCGGCTAAAGGATTGGATGGAGAATAGAGCTGCCATGGAAGACTTGATCAATCAATTACCTGAAGTACCTACCCCGCGTCGGCGTGTTTTTGAGGCTTTCCTGTCCTTACTCAAAACACCAGCCGCCCTGGACAAAAACACAGAGTTCACCCGGATTCTCGAGGATGGTGTACAGCTGACACTCCGAAAGTGGGTCGGTTTGCCATCACCACTATCCGCCGCCCATATTCCTCTCCTCCAGCACTTCCAACAGTCTGTTGAACTTCAGGAGGCTGTTCAGATATTCGGTTCCCTTTCTCAGACGACATCACAGAATCTGGAAAAGAAGTCCTCAGAGCTGAAAATGGTCCTGCAGGCGTGGCGAGAGCGCTTGCCGAATCTCCATGACGACATTGGTATTTGGAGTGATTTAGTCGCGTGGCGACAGAACGTCTTCAATGCCATCAACAACGCATATATACCCCTCATAGGAAGCTCAACGCAAGGTGGGAATGGAGGCGCCAGTAACGCCAACACTTTCGGCTATCGAGGCTACCACGAAACGGCTTGGATTATCAACCGTTTCGCGCATGTTGCCCGGAAGCATGATCTGTTGGAGGCGTGCTTTACTTCGCTCGCCAAAATTTATACCCTACCTAATATCGAAATCTCAGAAGCATTCCTCAAACTTCGTGAGCAGGCTCGCTGCTACTACCAAAAACCTAGCGATCTTCAAGCAGGTTTGGAAGTAATCAATAACACAAATCTGCACTATTTCTCCAATGCTCAGAAGGCCGAATTTTTCACCCTCAAGGGCCTTTTTTACGCGAGATTCAACCGGAGAGAAGATGCGAATATTGCTTTTGGGCAGGCTGTTCAGATGGATATGAACCAAGCTAAATCTTGGGCGGAGTGGGGACGATGGAATGACAGAATGTTTAAGGAATCAAATCAGCAAGATTTGTCATGTGCTGCAAACGCTGTGAGCTGCTATCTTCAAGCCGCAGGGCTTTATAAAAGTGGCAAAGCCCGACCTCTATTGGGACGGGTTCTGTGGCTCTTGAGCTTAGACGACAGCACTTTCACGATTTCGCGAGCCTTCGACACCTATAAAGGAGACGCTTCGTTTTGGTTCTGGATAACCCTTATTCCACAACTGTGTCAATCCATTTCCCTTCGAGAGGTCAAACAAGCGCGATATCTGCTCCTCAATCTAGCGAGGCACTACCCACAGGTGTGTTTCTCTCTTTTCATTGAAAAAGAAATATTTAAAGCATCATTAGGCTCTTTTCTTCCATCTCAGGACTACACGCGAAGAGATGCAAGCCGGCAGGAAAGCCGCAGCCATACGCGCAGCTGCACTTGCAGGACAGACCGTCCCCGCAGGCGCCGTCATAGGACAAACAAGCAATGATACGCATCCTCCTCCTGTAAATGCACCTCCGCAGCAACAAAACGAAGGCAATCCTGCGTCCGAACCTTCGCGACCACCATCACGTAAGAGTACCTTGTTTGACACTTACAACTATTATGCTCATAAAAACAAAGCATGGGAGTACGTCGAGGAAATAGTCCAGATTCTCAAAGCAGCGTTTCCTTTACTTCTCCTAAGCCTCGAAACCATGCTTGATCAGCTGCTTTCAAGGTTCAAACCTTCAAATGATGAAGACATATATAGGCACATATGCTTACTTCTTCAAGATGGTTCCCAGGTAAATTCTTAGTAATGTCTCGACTTTCCGATCAGGACCTGAAATCTATGTTCAGCACTACCTCGTGCGCATGAACTCAACAAATGAAGACGTCGAATTGCCAGTACAGACGACCCAAACATTACAAAAAATTGCTCAGAACATGCCAGGACGCGCGAAGGCGAGTATTCTTTACGTGCAAGCACTCGTGATGCTCACCGATGACACAGAAAGACTACGAAGACGATTTTGTCAACACAAAACTCACTCTCTACGAGTATATTCACCGGCTGCAGCAGTGGCGAGACAGATACGAAAAGATCCTCGATGCCCGACCACGCTTCCAGACCCTCGACATTCTTAGCCACTACTTGACAGAATTCCAGTATAGCAAGGTTGACGAGATTGAAGTGCCGGGGCAGTATACTGAGGTATACATGACAAGTACTGATGTGTTCATTTTTCTGACATTCTTAAAGGAGAAGGATAACAATCAAAACTTCGTCAAGATCCTGAAGTTCTCACCGAAATTCGAGAACTGGCGCACTCACGGTCTATGTTCCAAACGTATCACGATGATTGGAAGCGACAACTCTAGCATCTCATTTTGTGCCCAGCAGCCTCCCTTCCGTCACAATCGTCGGGAAGAACGAATAATGCAGTTATGTCGCACCTTTAACGGGTACGTCTTTTCCATCCACGAGACGCGATTATGAAATGATCTGGAATGACAGTGTTTTGGCGCGAAAGAAGGAGACTAGGAAGAGAAATTTGGCTTTCCATCTGCCCACCGCTGTATTGTGCAGTTCCACCTTCAGACTATATCACATGGATGCCTCGTATGTATCCTTCGGCGACATCTACGATCTTCACTGCGAGGCGACCGGCATATCTCGTGAAGATCCCATATTATATAGCGGCGAGAAAGTTAGAAGGATTCTTCGCGAAGCCAAGCAAACGGGGCAGGTATGTATCACGGAGATCTCTGTTGAATGGGTATATTAATTTTGTTAAGGTTCTGAAGCCAGAGTATCTTACCCTCAAGAAACTCATTTTCGATGAGATTACCGCCAAGATGGTTCCAGAAGATATCATCACTCGGGTAATACTATTGCTTACGTCGGCATGGCTTATCTCTGAACGCCCTTTGATAGTATATGATTCGTACTATGGATGGACCTAGCGAATTGTGGCGGATGCGAAAGCAGTTTGCGCTACAAGTCGCTGCTTGTAGTTTTATGACCTATTTGCTCTGCGTTGGCGGGCGACTGCCATCGCGCTTCTATATATCTCGGTCGACGGGTCAAATTGCGATGACGGAGCTCCTACCCTGTTCGTTTTGATCAGTGTTCTTCTACCCATCTCTCTGACCAAAACTATAGCTATGACTAGCAACCATCCACAGTTTGCAACAAGCGACGTAGTCCCTTTCCGTCTGACCCCAAATATGCAACATTTCATGTCCCCTATATTCATGGAGGGTATTCTCGCCACTAGTTTGATGTCCATGGGACGTTGTCTTACGGAGCCAGAGGTATGTCGCTCTAATGGAAGTCTGTTTGATACTCTCATGCTCATGTCCGTTGTAGTATGAGTTGGAACCACAGCTCTACCTTTATGTTCGCGATGAAGTTCTTGTCTGGATGCGTGGCACCGGAAAACATTGGAATCCGCAGCAGACACAATCAGTGACAGATAATGTCAAAATCATCGTCAAACGCGCAGAGGTATTTGCATGTAAGATTGAACGCGAACAAGTGAGTTGTTCTTATCTCATTACGATCCTGACCTCATTTCCGCAGGCTCTACAGGGTGTCCCTCTTCAAGTCCCAGTGATGCAGACCGTCATCAATTTGATTGCCACCGCTACAAACCCTGTCCAATTATCAAAAATGGGGGAACTTTACTCTCCTTGGTACTAACAGTGTAGCACAAATTTGTACAAGTAATAATTCTCAATCTGTATTATATCACAATCGTCTGGATTCTGTCATTTCTGTTCTCGTGGATCCAGGCTAAGGTCGGCGCAAACGCATCGTGAGTCAAAGGGCACCTAGTGATGGCAGTATACATGCATAATCGCCGGTATTCTAGCACAATTATGCGCATACAGTCTAATGGTAGGCTCTCGGTTTACTTCGCCCTTTCACAGTGGGAATGAGGGGTAGCAACCATGTTGGTCTGAGTTTTGGTCACGGCACAGATGTTCCTGCGCTGGTCATCCCACGCCATTACGGCCCTACCACAGAAAATACCTGATGGTATTTACTTCCAGCGTACCAGATTGCTCGATTCAGTGTAGTACGATATTTAGTGTGTTTTCCTATTACTTAAGTACCCCTCAGTCTGCCTGTGTGTATTAATCATAACTTCACTTTCGTACATCATCTACGAAGACTGTAAATCGAATATCGCTAAGACTGATATGACAGCACTTACATCTTCCGTCATGGAATATATATCTGAACCAGGTCGATTGTACATCATCGCATTGGCAAACATGAGATATATGTCTCTTTGATACTCCAAAGAGTTGCAAATGACACCGTCTTTGATCCTGGCCTTGATAGTTTTTAAGTCTACGGGCCGCTTGACGATATCGCGATAATCTGGTGCTTCAGAGGCTTTGATGGGGTTATGAAAAATATTGCCACTACGGTGTTGAGAGATTTGGGAGTGTAGCATTCCGATGACATTTTGGAATCGCTTGAGCGCCACCTGTTCTTCCGTGCGGTCTCCACGGCGACGCGTTCGAGCACTGGAAGGGCCTAGGGAGTGAATTGTTTGAAACGCTACTAGACACTCGAAGAGGGTGATGTCGCACCAGGTTCATCGTCATCTGGTTCTGAAGGTTCTCGCAAACGCTTCCTGTCACGAAGCCCATCACTTTGCTCTGGATTAGACGCTTTTCGTTTGCCTTGCTCTTGACAATGAGGGACTGTATCTCTGCAAATACAATGAAACAGCCTACTTCGTCTCGTCGTAACTGCATCAGCACTTGGAGAATCGGCCTGATCTTCTTGAGGAGTCGCTACCATTTCAATATCTGCTTCAAGCAATGCATCACCGTCCTCGGGGACGGAGGTTCCACGTCGCTGACGTCGGCTTTTGGCGGTCTTAGCTTGTGCGGCTGCGGTAGCTGACGGCCGCTGTCGACGTGTTGATTCTGAAAATTCCGGTCAAATGGAAAGAAATGCTGATAGAATACATATTATTACTGCGAGTAGCTTGTAATGGCTCGTCTCCTGATGTCGAACCGTCTTCTTCAAGATCTGCACCTTGGGGGGTGCCTTCAGGCTCCTCTGCTGCCGTATCAACATCTATAACTTCAGGCGGTGAATGCGGTTCTGATTCGTATCCTTCAACAGGTTGATGGGAAACTTCTGCAGTCTGCACCACGTCAGGCTCTGCCGGTTTTGCTGAAAGCGACGTTAGGTCATGAAGTGGGGCTTCCGTAAGCTCTTGAAGAAGCCTGTGCAGAATTTCTATGAAGGATACGATCAGAAGAAGATAAGCACTAACTTCGGTGAATTCTCTCGTGGAGGTGCGTCCGAAACATCGTCTTCGGTTGATACAAGTGGAACTTCTAGAGATACAGTGTCGTCTTCCACCGGAATATCCAGTTCCTACATAAAATTCTTGATATAATGATACGACAACACGGAACGCCGGACGATACCATTGGGAGAGTGGACGTAGTGGCCGTCCTATTAATCTCTGGAACAGGCATCTCTTCCGTGGTTGCTTCGGGAATTGATATAACCTACAATGGTTGAGGAACAATCTGAACCATAATCGTAAAAATACAGACCGTCTCTTTTACCTCCTCGTCAGGAACTCCAGAAATGTCAGCTCGAATCTTGTCATCCCAAGAGCCCGACCGTATGTCTTCAATTTCCGCGAGAATTCTCCTAAGAGCTTGTTATTGACAGGCTGAAGGAGGGTGTTATCATTTACTTGAATTTTGCTTCTTCGGCTGAAATGTCATCTCGTAGCTCCTGGTATCGAGCAAGGTATTGATGTTTCGCCAACTTGAGATTCACGTCCGCTAGGGTTCATTGAGAAATCCACCAGCATGAGAAAAAGGAAAACTGGGAACCTTTAGGTTCATTACTTTCTTGCGAACTGAAAAGATGTTAACAACGCGTAAGAATGTCGAATGAATCAAACCGTACAATTCGAGTTCGGCGTCCTTTATAAGATAACTGTACATGGCTGCACAGGACTGATACAACAATAAAATTCAATCTGATCTTTGAACTCTAAACAAGAAGGGGCGTACTTGGGGAGTGAAGAAAGACTTGGGGTGCGCAAGAAGAGGATGTTTAGAAAGAATTTTTGCGATGGCAGTCCATTCTGCACCAATTTCCCAGACTGCTTGGGCCATAATAAGACGATCTAGTTTTGAAAGACGGCTCATGTCAACTGAAGCGGCATGAGACCGGCGACGAGTACTGCTCATTGTGCGACGGTTAGTGTTAGGACTAGTAGTGTTACTTAAAAAGTAAGAGCACTGCCGTCAAATGCCGTGATCGCGGCCGGTCTCTCGGCAAGCTGCGGTGACGTTGACTTGGGGTTGCCAGGCTCGTATTCTTGTCTCTTCACCACCATGATCATCTCAACGTTACTCGCCCTTCTGCCTATTGCCTTTGCTGCAGATGGCGTTCACAGGCTCAAGCTCAAGAAGCTCCCACCTGTGGTCAATAACCCGGAGCTGGAGAGTCTCTATCTTTCCGAGAAGTATGGCGCTCCAGCCCAGCCCCAAATGCCCCTTATGGGTGCTGGCGGTGCAGGCCGTCGTTTCGACAGTGCTCCACCCCAGAAAAACGAGGACCTCTTCTGGACGCAGGAGATGATCAAAGGTGGTCATGGTGTACCCCTCAGCAGTAAGCAGCTCGCTGTATGCGCTAGTCGCCGCTTCACGTATATCCCCAGATTTCATGAACGCCCAGTACTTCACTGAAATCTCTCTCGGAACGCCCCCTCAGATCGTAAGTATTTTGTTTTATGTACTTCTTACGGTCACTGACTCGTGGTACAGTTCAAAGTCATCTTGGACACTGGGTACTTCGCGCACCAGCACGTAATTTGAAAATAGTGCTGATGTCTTGCATTTCCAGTTCGAGCAACCTTTGGGTTCCCAGCACCAAATGTTCATCTATCGCTTGCTTCCTGCATGCAAAATATGACTCGTCGTCATCGTCGTCATACAAGGCCAATGGCTCAGAGTTTTCCATTCAGTATGGCTCGGGGTCTATGGAGGGTTTTGTTTCCAACGATGCCTTGACAATTGGCGACCTCACTATCAAGAGGCAAGATTTCGCAGAGGCCACTAAGGAGCCTGGCCTCGCCTTTGCCTTCGGAAAGTCAGTACTTTTGATGTTTTGGAGTAGCAAGTGACGCTAATGATTCATCAGGTTCGATGGCATCTTGGGTCTTGGCTATGATACTATCTCGGTCAACCACATCACTCCTCCGTTCTACAGTATGATTAATCACGGTTTGATTTCTGAGCCCATCTTCTCCTTCCGTCTTGGATCTTCTGAGGAAGATGGAGGGGAGGCAGTGTTTGGCGGTTTGGATGGCAACGCATACAAAGGCTCGATCACCTATGTTCCTGTTCGTCGTAAGGCGTACTGGGAGGTTGAACTAGAGAAAGTGTCTTTCGGAGAAGATGAACTTGAGCTCGAGAACACGGGTGCTGCCATCGATACCGGTACGTGTACCCTCGCATATTCTGATAGTCTCTCATGGTCGGGCAGGCACTTCCTTAATCGCACTTCCTACTGACATGGCTGAGATGCTCAATGCTCAGATCGGTGCTAAGAAGTCGTGGAATGGGCAATACCAAGTTGACTGTGCTAAAGTCCCCACCCTTCCGGAATTGTCCTTCTACTTCGGTGGCAAGCCTTACCCACTAAGAGGCTCTGACTATATTTTGGAAGTGCAAGGCACATGTATCTCTGCTTTCACTGGCCTTGACATCAATCTTCCCGGTGGCTCACTGTGGATCATCGGTGGGTGTCTTTTCGATATGTCTTTGCAAAGGGCTGAACGTTTTTGACGCTCATTAGGTGATGTCTTCCTTCGCCGATACTTCACTGTCTACGATCTCGGAAGAGATGCTGTCGGATTTGCTGAGTCTACGTAAGCATTTCTACTGTATATGGATTGTGACAGGTCGTCGCCATTCTACTATTTTCCCGATTGTGGACAGACCGGTTGTAAGATTACTTAGAGAGTCGTTGCGTCCTGAGTATGATATTATTTCCTTTCGTGTGTTAAGTCTACCGTACTAAATATTGGGATATCACTTTTTATCCTGACAATAAATTGACGCCACCGATGTGTTGACTCATGTAAACAATCTGATCGACTACCTTTCTCTGAGTCTTCTCCATGCGGGAGCTTCTAACTTGGAGATGATATCGCATGCAGCGGGGTTACCATTGACGTTGACCCAGAACCTCCCTTCGTTGACACGCTCGACTTGTTTCAGGAATGATTGTCTGGCCAGTCTCTTCCGACGACCACTGGATCGAGTAAACGTACTTGGTGAGGAGGAGGCTGAGGGCCACACCGGGTACATCCGCATTTCTGCGCCAGTGTTCTGCGACTGATATGTTTTTGCGAGAAGATGTGTCAATGCTCTTAGTTGGGCGCATGACGGCGAGCTTCTCCTCAGCGGCGGGGACGATACAACGTATGTCGCCACCTTGTAGCATATAAACAAATTTTTACCACATCATCGACAGAGTTAGAATATGGAGGATGGATTCCACCGTCAGTGACGCTGAGTATCCTTTTGTGTGTTGCGCCGTGATACACACTGGTCATCGAGCCAATATCTTCAATGCGCGTATGCTTCCTCATTCTTCCCGAATGTTCGTAGCATTCCTCCTTTTGACGATGACGTTCTTACATCTTAAATCAGAGCTACGGTCGCAGGTGATAAGCAAATTCTCGTGTTTGATATCGGGGAAGTGCACGGACCATCTGCGCGAGGTTGTGAAGGTAGGTATTCGGAAACCCCGACGCATACACTGCGTTGTCATGAGGATCGTGTCAAGAGGATTGTCACAGAGGATAGTCCTGATGTTTTCCTGACGGTGTCCGAAGTGCGTTATTCTGAGGTTCAAATACTGCGCGCCTTCACATTGCCACAGGATGGAACTGTTCGTCAGCACGACCTTCGAACTTCTCATGCATGCCGTACCGGATGCCCAGCTCCCCTGGTCCAAGTCGACTTTGAATTGACCTCCTTAGCCATGTCTCCCCTCACGCCGTATCAATTTGTTGTTGCTGGAGACTCAGCCTATGTTAGTCTGATCCCATCACTTGTTTTCTGCATAGTTATATAATTCAACAGGGATACCTGTTTGATCGGCGTCATCTTCAGACAACTTCAAGTCAGCCATCGAGCGTCTTCTCCACGGATCTGACGACCTGTGTCCGACGATTTGGACGTCCTGAACCTGCTGATGACGCAGATAGTCGTCCTCGACGACAGCATATTACTGGAGCGCGCATGTCCTCGCATGCTGGTGACGAAGTACACGTATTACCTTTTCATGGTGCAGTATGTTGCTTATTGTAACTTACAATAGGTACTCTTGGGTAGGTAGATAGTAGCCCTTACCCTTGACATATCCTTGATGGGACCGTATAGCTTATAGCGGGGACGTCGTGTATCGCTACTCTGCTTTGGGAGAGTCCGAGGAGGAAAAAGGCACCCCGACCATCATGCCAATACAGAAATATGCTGGCGCTCGGAATGTCGATACGGTCAAGGATGGTACGTGGATGATGTTGATCCTATACTCTTATATTCATCAAACAGTCAACTTTCTTGGACCGAGTGATGAATATGTTACTGTTGGATCCGATGATGGAAACTTCTTTGTGTGGAACAAGGAAAATGGGAATCTTCACGGTATTTACGAAGGCGACGGTAGCGTGGTCAACGTTATCGAGGGTCATCCACATCTCCCTCTTCTCGCCGTGAGTGGAATTGATACTACGGTGAAGGTTAGTCGACACGAAATTTTCATCTGCATATCTTGGTGCTATAGATGTGTCCAGTTGTTTGCGCCCACCGACGAGGAAAGCGAATTCTCCCGAATGGATAATGCTGAAGCCATCATTGAAAGAAACCAGCGAAGCAGGTCTATTCGAAGTATTCGTAGTGTTGATATGGCGGCGTTGATGCAGCTATATGAAGCTGGCCAGGTCCGCGTTTCTGTTGACGGGGATTCGGATGTAATTCCCTGTCGTAACCAATAGACTCGGAAGCGTCTGGGAGGAGGAAGTTATGTTGTGTACGATAATGTAACATACAAATATAATATTTCAGCTTGAATTTTACGTCGTCATCAAGCGCCACATGGCTGACCCAGCACTTGGACTTGAATACTCTTGACCGGTCCAAGCCTTGACAATATCGGTTGGCCTTAGTCTGTTTTTTTAACAGACGACACTGACGACATTCTATCTGGACGCAACGAATGTTTTCTATCCTTTGTTATGTAAGTCACTATCTTGCAAAAGTACTATTTCTGCTGCTTACTGTCTCATTTTCTCCTGCTATTTATTCATTGTTTTCTTTGGCCTACTACTGCAAAGCACATCTACGCCTCTCTCTGAAAATACCCGTAAACGATCCTTCGTCCCAGCTTTCAAATCCGGTTCATTCCCAGTCAGTCTAATAACGCGCTCACCGATGACACAACGTTCAGTTTTTTAGCATAGGGACACGTCACGCTTCATTTCATTGTCAAGGACGATACAAGCAGCTTACATGATGCCGTCCCAGCATAGTCGATCCCACAAACGGCGGCGAGGAAACACGCAAGACGAAGAGGCCACTCTTTTACTTCCAAGACCGGATGAGCCACAGCCAGAACCCTATCCGCGGTCTCATCATCACCATTCTTCCCACCACTCCGACAACTACACTTCTTCTTCAGCATCGTCGAGCAGAACATATTACGACATGAAAAGGGAATCGTCTTCGTCTCGAAAATTAGATGCTGATCCATGGCTACCGGTGACCGAGGAGCGATACAGCTACGCATCTTCGAGTGATGGGTACCGTCGTGGGGCCATAGATGACTACGAATTGATTAGCTCCAGAGATACTGGCAATTGGGCGCCTCGCACAGGCAATGATACGCCTCGTTATTCTTCAATACCTCGCGAGCAGTGGGAGCAACGGTATGATGACTTTATTGATACGTCATGGAAGACGCACTCGTCTGGGTATGAAGAGCGGAGCACTTCTTACGAGCCATGGTCACAGGAGGATAGCCGACGTGGTCGTTCCAATCGTCGTCAAGACAGGGCGCAGCGGATTCAGGCGACGGAACGTGTCGTTGATGATCCCGGACGGTGGCAGAGGGACCGTAGACGAGAAAAAAGTGGCCAAGCATGGGAACCTGATTCTGGGTGGGGCTCACGGCCTCGTGGAAGTGGTGGGTCAAACTGGGAGGACCACTCAAAACAGAGCTATCCTGCGTTGGATGGCCATAGCGAGGATCGCAAATGGGAACCAGCGCCGAGCTGGAAATCGTCTCATGACGATGAAAGCTCGCGGGCTCAGAACGGCAGTAGTCGCAATGGCGCCTCACACTCGTCGCATAAAAACGCTAAGAGCAGTGGCAAGAAGAGCCATAACCATACCAAATCCAAGCGTAGTGCAGAGAAGCACAATGTAGATGACAGCGACTTTAACAAGTTCGTTCGTTACCCCACTGTTTTTTTCCCTGCCAGTCTTATGTTTTTCTTGCTTTTTTAGCTGGACCAAGCGGAGCAAACATCACTCGACGGACAAGCCTACCCGTCACAATCGATCTTACTCCTCAGACTCGCTGCGCTCACACTATTCGTCTCGTGGCGATCGAAGTCGTTCTCGTTCAATGTCACCGCCACCGAAACGCTTGCGACAAGATTCTATCCCTCTCAAACGAAGTCGCACTCCAAGCGAGCGTCGTGCAGAAAAAGATCATTTCGAATCTCCACCCTCCCCTCGTCGTGGCACTCGCAAACAGAAACGACGAAGAAGCTTGTCATCTGTATCAAGTCGGAGCTCTGATAGGAGCGTCAGCCGAAGCCCTGCAGAGCATCCACGCGCAGTGCATCGTCTTCCAACTGCTTCCGCCCATGCGTCTCTTTTACAATCAGACTCGTCCAAGAAAGGCCATAACAAACGTGACTCAAGACGAAATGGAACTCGTGCTCACAATGGTTCCAAGGTACAACTATCTCCCCCTTCCCTTTTTTCTTTCTGACGCTTTCAATTCAGCATCATGGATATGAAAGCGCTGACGATATGCCCCCCCCAAGCTCACTTCCAAGTTTTCCGCCCTCATCTCTGCCGCAACGATCTATAAGCAATAGTACTGACCGACCAACACTATCACTTTTTGTCGAGCCGCCCATCATCGATCCTCCATCTGCTATTCCTAGATTTATTCCTGCCAAGGGCGCGGGCTTTAAACCCATAGGACAAAAGAGTTCTTCACTGAAGAGATTCTTTCCCAGAGATGACGAAGACATGGATGTCAGTCCCGATGTCCTTGCTGCGCCGCGTTCACAAGAACTGTCTCATGATAAGCAGTCTTCTGCCCTAAGAGTTACGAGCCAGGACACCTCCATACACACACCTCAAGGGGGAGGTGTCAGTCCTACGGAAGAACCCGACCGCCGCCGCAGTCGAAGTCAGCCTTCGAGACCGTCAGACCCACGGTCTCCACCAGCGCAGCCCTCGCGGCAATCTGTTGATCCCCGGATTAGGCGAGAAGACCTACACACTGCCGACCTTGAGCTCGTTAGCAAGCCACAAACACCTCCGGTCGATGAAGACCAATTTGGCGTCGATACAGACAAACCATTATTAGCAGGATCTTCTCGCGACGGATCATATACCATCGTCAGTCAAGTTGGCGAGGGTACGTTTGGTAAGGTCTACAAGGCCCAAAATATACAAACAGGTGTGCATGTTGCTTTGAAGCGAATTCGCATGGAGTCGGAGAAGGATGGATTTCCTGTTACAGCGATGCGGGAAATCAAGTTGCTGCAATCTTTACGACATGCCAACGTTGTTCGACTTTATGAGATTCTTGTCTCTAGCGGTGAGTAACAGCCTTCGTTTCACATGTTTTACTATATTCAACAATCTGTCTTTCAGGCGCGGTGTACATGGTGTTCGAATATATGGATCACGATCTAACGGGCATTTTATCACAATCACAGTTTTCATTTTCTGATGCTCATCTCAAGTCGCTTTGCCACCAGATGCTAGCTGGATTATCCTATCTCCATCATAAGGGGGTGATCCACCGTGACATCAAAGGGTCCAATATCCTCATTAACAATCGCGGTGAATTGAAGTTGGGTGATTTTGGATTGGCGCGATTTTATCAAAAACGACGACGGACGGATTACACCAATCGCGTGATAACGCTTTGGTACCGTCCGCCAGAGCTTTTGTTTGGCGCGACGGTGTATGGTCCCGAGGTCGATATGTGGAGTGCTGGGTAACTTCTGATTGACTCATGGCCTCGTCACGACTACTTACAATTTTTACAGATGCATTATGCTAGAGCTTTTCACAAAAAAGCCTGTGTTCCAAGGGAATGACGAAATACATCAGTTGGATGTTATCTATCGCATTCTTGGTACCCCTACACAAGACAGATGGCCAGACATAATAAACCTGCCATGGTACGAACTTGTCAAGCCCAAGGACCCTGTTGCCAACCGCTTTCGTGAATTGTTCCAGAAGTAAGCGTTGAATTTCCCGTCATACATGATGTATGCTGATGGCTTACAGGTGGATGTCTCCCGCTGCGCTTGATCTTGCCGAGCAGCTCCTAGCTTATGACCCGTCCAAGCGTGCCTCTGCAGTTCAGGCAATGGAAGCGCCTTACTTCGAATCTGAGCAACCCGAAGCAGAGCGACCTCTCGGGTATGCCAGATATGATGTCTGCGTGATACTTTTAACTGACTTTGTCTGCTAGTCTCGCTAACCTTGAAGGAGAATGGCATGAGCTGGAGACGAAACGTGAACGAGCCAAAAAGCGAAAAAAAGAATGAATACATTGATTTATGTATATCATGGAGGATTTTATATCATTGCAGCATTAAATTCATGACACGCAGGAATAACGAGGGATTGACCGGTCCGGCAAGTGAATGACACAGTTGGATAGCGAGTGAACAGCACGTTGAACGACCTTTGTTTCCAGCAGAAAGCGATGCCGATAGGTAGATAGATATACACTCAAAAAGAAGGATGCTGCCAGTGATAGGTGAACATGGCTATATGTACACTTTTGTACATGGACGTAAGAACTAGACTTTCAGGCCACTTGAATCCTGACAAGGCCTTTGTCTGTCAAGTGTTGCACAATGGACTCAACCTACAATAAGACAGTTAGACGAGCTGGATACGGAACGCTGTCACTTACGTTTGCTGCCGTGAGACGTATCTGCGTGTCCCATCGTTTCGTAAAAGGGGCGCCAGTGTCCTCCGCTTCCTCCACATCTCCGAGACCCCCTGCTTTCCCTTGGGCATCATCCTCCTCACGGTTGCCCTCGAACCAAATGAGTTTATCGACCTGGTCAATAGATCCACGTAGCCGTCCCTGTTCTATCATCTTTCGAGCCATATTCTCGGCGGCCCCGGGTGTAAGATCAAGTAATGCACCCAAACCTCGGAAAGTAATATTATTGTATACTTTTGAACTTGCCAGTACATTGTGCTCCATCACAGCGCGATCTAAAACTGTCGACGGGCCAGTACGGCTATTTGTCGTCGTGTCATCAGCATTGTCGTGACTTGAAGAAGCTAGACGGTCGTTTGATGATATGGCAATTTTGGCAAGTTGGTGCGGTTTCAGAGTACCCTCAAATTCTTTGACTTCGGTAGGGCGAAGGATGTGATCGAGGAACATTTTGGACAGGATGTTATATGTAGGTAGATCGGAGGTACGCTCATCGCGATACAGTGATGCCAAAACTCGAGAGCGGTTGGGGCCTGCAGGCGCAAGTACAGCACACGTCACTGCTGCCACTCTTGAATGAAGTGAGGCACGGTCAAGGGCACGAATCATAAGAACTTACAGCATCTGTCGTCTTTCGTCCTCGTCAATCTCTCCCACATAACTCAATTCATGATAACGGCTGGCAGCTTCCAAAAACTTGCGGCCGTAATCGCTGATTCTTGCTTGGCACAACTTGAACTGAAGAAGGGTTTCCTTATCGTTTGTCGAGTGCACGACTAATTGCGCCCGATTGAAGTATGTTTCCGCCTGCACTGAATCTTCTTCTTCAAGCAGAAGGCGCACGATGCGAACGTATCCACGAAGCCTATCGCTGTCTGTGAATGATCTTGAAGAAATAAGGCAATGTTCAGTGACTTGAACTATCTAAAAAGGGGCATACAGACCTTTGGCCACTCTCGTTGTATACACTCATCAAAACGTGCGCCGCAGAACTCCATTCTTCTTCTTCCTCTAGAAGATCAGCTAGTTGAAAACGAAGTGCAATGACCTTTGTAGCGATGAGGCACTGTACTCGAGCAATGGTCTCGCGAACTTACTTGCTCTTCGTAACTCACAATCTTAGGCAAAACAACTGCTAGGGTGTCCTCAACAGCGTTCTTCCGCAGGTCATGGTTTCTGATACTGTCATGAGTCAAGGCTTTGACTACATCAGTCAAGATTTGCCGGCCAATAAGCAGATTGTCTTGATTGACCACAAATTCCACGAAAGTATGTAAATCTGTGGTGAATGAAAGCTGATTCTGCGAGGAAAGGATCCCTTGTAGTAAAGAACTGAGAGCAGGGGCCTTGTCTTTTTGTGCTAGGGAAGCGATGGCGGCCAATTTGTCTTCCATGATGTCGATTGGGGAAGGAAGGCAGTGGCGGGAAGCTTGGCGGGAATGTGGCGCGTCTAACACGTGATCATTTTGAAGATCACTGATCGGTGTCAGCAGAAAACTCCCACGCTAGTAGGCGGCGACTACTCCCAGCAACCACCCCCCTCCTGTCCGGACAGCAAGGCTGTGCTCTTCTGTTCTCTTCTGTTCGTTCTCTTTCTTTCTGACTGGTTCACCCTCCCTTTTCTTACCGCTTAGAGTTGACTTCACGGGCGGCAGTTAGGTCCTGAAATATACATCTTGTGGGTTCTGCTTTCTATTATTCTGATCATATCACGACCATTTTCCATTTGCAGCAGATCCAATTAACTATCTTTTGGTCCTCCACTCTACGAGTGATTCTTCTACATTCTAACAATGTCGCGCCTCACGGCTTCGTCTTTTCACCAACAACCTGCATCTTTCGAATTTCCCGCTAGGGCACCACTCAGCTCTCCGGTGACGAGCTCAGACCCCATTGTGCCGTCTCTCATGCCATCAACTATCTCTGTCGCTGGCATGCAGAATATTCATAACATAGACTCTGACAGTCCCATACTGGGCCTAGAGACGCCAGGCGCAAGGAATCGCAGGGTGTCATCCTTGGCATACCATAGTTCTGGGATCCGAGAATCTCGGGAGCGAATTCCTCAACGAAACTTCAAGTCTTTCGTTGTTGTCATTCCCCCGCCTTCGTTATTGCAGGAGCATGGCCAGCTTGGACACACCTTGTCACTAGGGCCACGACATAGGTTGTCCCAGGGTCTGCTAATGCCACTCTTCCCAACGGTATGCTTCTGATATCTACCTCAAGATATCTTCTGATACGATGCAGCTCTATGGCCAACTAACAGCCATTGCCCGGGAATTTAACTTCCCTAGTACTACCGGTTTATGCGTCTACCTCCATTATAGCTCAGATGATATCACACTGACGCCCAGAGTTTCCGATGAAACTTGGGGTCTACTTTGGAATCATCTCTTGGATGGGACGCCACCCAGTCAGAAGCTACCCATCGGTGGAAAAATCGAATTCGACATTGACCTTCGCCAGGCTCGGTGGTACAGCGCATGGTTATTTCCTTCTCAGAGAGAACCTGTTGATATTCCCATATCCTCGGTTCCTTCTACAGCCGCAGCCCATCTTCGCCACGAGAGTAGGACAACATCTGTTGAGGACAGGCATCCCGACAGCCCATCTCCCCGTCAACCGACCACCCTTATGCCTCGTCATGTCCCAAGAAACTTGTCTCTAGTTGACAGGCTGGATACAATGACCATTCGTTCCATTGCGAAACCTCGCAGCCTTTTGACTCCTCCGGCAAATAAGGCTTCTACTTCTCAGATGCTGTCTCCAATTCATCAGGTCGAAGAACCGAAGTCGGCAAACGAGAACCTTGAGACCCGGGTTAAGTCTTGGCGAGCCAGTGCTTCCCTTGAGCCAACACCTCTTGCAGCCAAAGGGCAGACAAGCTTAGAACCCGCAAACATGCCTAACAATTTGACTCTCGATGATGGTTTGATGCCCACCAGGGAAGAGGAGCTAAAATTAGAAGATTTTTCGTGGTCCGTATCATCGCAAGGGCCAGGGGATTATGAACCCGGATCCCCATTGTCCTGTCCACGCCTTCCGTCCATTCATATTGCTAATCGGATGGAAGGATCTGTTTGTCTAACACCTACTGATTGCACATCTTTTGGCCCTTCAGACTACACACTCTCCCCTCTTTCAACGGCCAGTCTCCTGCTTCCATCTCCTGACATTGCTCTGAGGATGTTGGAAGAAGTACCGTTGACGCCATCTACGGCAACTAGCTGGGGCCCTCCTTCTGTCTATCCTCCGTCGCCTACGAGTGACTTCCATGCACCTTCATTAGACATTGGGGAGCGTCATTCTTTCAGCAGGCCTGTCACTCCTTCAACTGCTACAAGTTGGGGTCCTGTTTCATGGCCTCCATCGCCCATGTCACCCGTTCGTCCGCTCTCTATTCACATAGCTGATCGCAATGGGGATGTCAGCCGGCCAGACACACCTTCCACGGCAACTTCGTGGGACGCATCTTTATCTTTCCCCCCTAGCCCCCCTACCCCGTCGTATGTTGCAACTACGGATGTGGGACGTCGTTCTCTGGATAGTTCTGAAGAGGAGGCACGTCTGGATGGTGGCCGTGATGTGCCAGAGGCATCGATGAATGGCCCTTGGAGACATGTGTGGCCCTATACATGCACAGAACTGCTTGCAGCAGCAAATGCGCCTTGGAGGCACGTCTGGCCTTACAACTCAGTATCTATCGAGACTAGCGCACCTTGGAAATATGTCTGGCCGTACAATAATCCTGTGGCCTCAGATGACCGGACGTCAACTGAGGCGCCTTGGAGGCATGTCTGGCCTTATAACGCACGGTCGGATGGACCTTGGAAACATGTTTGGCCGTATAATAAACATGTCGAGGAACATGCTGTAACCAGACGCCTTGCCACCTCGGTCGAATTTAAGTGTTTTCTGTATCCGAACTTGGTCATTTGTAAAATCTTCCCGTATTGTACGGTTGCAGATTTTAACTTTTCTCTTCGACAGATCCAGCAGTGTACCCCAAGATTGCATCGTACACCGAGGTGGAGAAGGCGATTGCCAGTGATTCAGTGGTAATATCCATGAGCCCTCCGGCTGTGTACCCCATTTTTGATTTATGTGAGTCTAGACAACATCCAAATGTCTAAGCAGTGATTAAAATCCAATTAGATCCAGCGGTCTATCCACATAATTTGAGCAAAATATACCACGATGTAACAGTGGTAGAGCGCTCTGTTGTCAATCATGTCAAGCCTGACACTGGTGTGTATTATCCGGTGTTCAATCTATGTATGTGTATCTATATTGCGGTCGAGACTTTACGCTACAGCCGTGTTACAGATCCCCCAATTTATCATCACAGCACGCCATATTCCCCAACGATCCACGTACACAGTCATGAAAGGCTCGGAATCGAATTTCAGGCGGAAACGACCATTGCTTTGTTTTCGAAGGGCAGACACACAGGCCTCGAAATACGTAAGGTTTCGTCGCCTTGTCCCATCTTCACGGAAGCTAAAGCGTATAACAGATCCTTTGATCAGCGTCGAAGATCAACAAGAAGATGAAAGCAGAGCAATGCTTTCAGTAAGATGTGCCTCGACATACCCTGTGTTCAATTTATGTTCGTGTCACAGCGAGACCACTGTCATAGGGACTCATGCTCTCCCAGATCCCGCGCTATACCCATTCTTCGAAATTTACCCATCTATGCATGAGGGGTCGATATCAGACAAGCCGACTATATCAGGGTCCTCTGCACCTCATGCAATAACTGAGCCTGGTCAGTATCTGTAATCGCGCACGTCTGACATACATTCTCAAATCAAGCACAGACACTGTAGCGCAAAGTGAGGAGCAACCAATCTCTGTTTTGCTGGAACCCTCTTATCCAGTGTTTAGTTTATGTATGTCTTCCTTGTCATGTCTTGCTCAAATATTCTCAGGTGTTGTAGACCCGCCCATTTATCCGAACTTTGTCCTATATCCTACGTTGCCAGAGGACATAGCAGATCTTCACAACGTGTACTATTCCAGTCCTGAGGTTGTTTATCCGACTTTCTGGCTTTGTTAGTCCCTGTCGCATGGTTGTCGCATTGCCTTTCTGATGTCTGTGTGAGTAGATCCGGCAGTGTATCCTCGTTTCGATCTATATCCGAAAATACAAGTAACCAAAGAAGTGAACGATTATCAAGTTGAGGTCGCATCAATAGTCGAATACCCTCATTTTAACCTTTGTAAGAAGCATGTTGTTATTTATGACCTCCCATTCAAATATCTCTTGTAGACCCTGCCGTGTACCCTTATTTTGATCTCTACCCTGCCGTTGGACCGATTTTGGAAGAGGTGGAACCTCGAGGCAACGGCGCGGTGAAATCAGGACAGAGTTCTCCGTCCTTTGAAATCTGTTAGTTCCAGTTTCAGTTTTCGGAAATTGTGTCAGGAGTTTGAACGTTCCGTCCAGATCCAGCTGTCTACCCTCATTTTGATCTTTATCCATCGTTCAAACTGAGCATCCGTCCTCTGCCTAATTTCAGTGGTCTTATTACACAAGAGCCAAAAACGATGCAGCGTCCTGTCAGGAGTTCAAAAACACATCATCAGTTGCATGAGGAAGTCTTTGCCACTAGACCGTGTTCGAGAAAAGACGGGATCACTGACAGGTCGACCCAATCTAGTGCCAATAGAAGTCTGGATTATCGTGCATCTCTCCGTCTGCGTTCTGCTGTGCAAGTTGGGCCTCCACCAACTCCACCGCCAATTAGAGGTCTTCCTGTTCGTCCACTTCCAGTTCCCGAATCTGATCCCCACTTTCTCTCGAAGGGGCCTCTTTCTGTCAATCGAGCGCTTCAGTCTCGGCCTGACATTCATATTTCATACGACAACTCCCTGGCGGAGACATCTACTCATAGACGAAGTGTATCCGACATCTCTAGCTCAGCTTCAGTGCCACGAGAAGCACCTCATCTTCCATCGGTGGGAGAAGACCATACTGTGTATTTAAACAGGTCGAGCTCCGCGATGCTACCCACAAAGCAAAAGTCAGACTACGACAATGTAGTCCATCCATTGTCGTCCCGCCCTGTAACAAAAAAGCGAGATAGCCTAGTTCTTCAGCGAGTAAGGGCACTAAACTCTGGTGAGTGTCTACACAGTGTTCTACATGCAACAGTAACTGAAGCTATTTTACAATTGTAGCTGAAGAGTGTGGGTCTTTGGGCCCTGGTAGGATCTTTTCGGTACCCAGAGTTAATCGCCATGGATTCGCATGATACATACTTACATATTGTCTCTGGGATCTCTCTATTGATATAGCGGTGTTTTACAAATATATAATGGATAATGGGAGTATACATTGCTTGAATGCTATCGACTCAGTCTTCCTCAGAATGCTCTGCGCGATCGTCCTCGGGCAGCATGTCGAAGCCTAAGACATGACCAGACCCTGGCATAATTTGTTTTGACGGTGATGGCTCAGGCGATTTGCTTGGTTCTGACCCTCTGGCAGCAGCAGCAGCGGCTAAACGAGCTTCCCGAAGTGCTTTCTCCCGTTGATCGGCATCTAACTTGGTTTTTCGGTCGTCCATAAATGCGAGTTTAACCTGGAGGGATGCTCCAGTCAGCTGAAAATGATGGAGTTGGCAAATCAGACCTTATTGGCAGCGGCTGCAGCCACAGCCTTCTCCTCTTTCTTGGCCCGCGCTGCGCGCTGCTGCTTCTCTGTTTCGAGATCAAACGCTTCCTTGAGAATAGCCTGTAACTTTTATAAATATTCCGAACTTTACTGAAATAGAATAGTCGTACAGATCCAATTCGCAAACTATCCATGTGGCGAGGATTGAAGGTATAAAAAGGCTGGAAATTCTACCCGACATAAGGCTGAAAACTACGCTCTCAAACGTACGGCCTTGGCTTACCTTCACCTCAGGGCGAAATCCGAGCTAGGTGAACGAGTATGAGCCACACGTCGCACACTAGACTAGCAGTGGCTAACCTCAATAGCATATTCCAAAGCTCCTTTCGGGTCCATGAGATTCCGCTTGATGATGCCATTTGTCGGCTTGAATTGCTGGAACTTAGGGTTTTCGGGTTCACGTAGAAGATTTTTGGAGATCGTCAAGAGCGTCTGAGATGATAAGAACATGTAAAGGACAGTCCTGGCAGGCGAAACAGAGAACACTGATGTACTTCAATCGAGGCCATTGCTTGCTCTTTTGAATTAGGACGAATAATTCCAGGATCGACTAACCGCCTGAACGTTTGTCGCCTTTCGTGTTCAGCAGCTAATTGGGCGGTTGAACGCTGGGAGGACTGCTGTTGAGCCCGCCTCTCTGCAGCCTCACGAAGAGCATTGGAAGAAACGGAAGATGATACTGATGTAGAGGAATCAGACATGGTGTACCGTCAAAATGTCTCTCAGAACGACAAGATCCTTGAGTTGATCGACGTAAGCGGCAGAGACGGACGCTGCCCGGTCTCCCGGCCCGTAATCCTCTTTGTTGCTGCTGACATAAGAGTCACTGACTCTCAATGCAATTCCGAATTGTTTCAATTCTAGTGCGACGACAACAATTACTAAGTACTATTAGATATCAATTCAAGAGAAGGGCGTATATCAGGACTCCATTATTGCAATTATTCTACATCCGACTCCTCCCCATCGTCCAATTCTGGTCCGACGTCATATCTCGGTGCATACGAAGGCCGGCTGCCTTCCGGAGAGACACCATCATCTGACGAGCTATCACTGCTCCAAGACCGTTCGGCGTTTGCATCCTGGGTATCTTGTCTCTCTTGGAAATTCTCCCTCAATCCCGAAAGATGCAAATTCGGGAATGAGTTGGTTCTCAGTCGCCGGAAAAAGCCGCCTGTCGGGGGTTGTCCATAACCCTGGTTTCTCGTATTGCGCTCATCAGTACCACCACGAAGTAAGTCGGCCACCCATTTCTTCCGAACAGCAGACGACCGTAAGGGATCGTGTTCCAAATCTCTTTCCATGTCACCGGAATGAGTGTGGTGCCCACGACGATAGAACCATTGCGTGCCGTTTGAAAATGCTGCCTCAGCGTCAGTGTCGACAGACAGTGGAAGATCTGAGCCAGTGGGGGGCGGGGTAATTCTTTCCTGTGAAACGGTTCTTGGCTTGGTTTTTGTCATCTTTCGGAGCGCTTGACGACCAAGGAAAATCTGTTTCTCAATTCTCATTCTGTTGCCGATCATGTGCAACTGAGGAAGAGTGAGACAGATTTTGTAATTAACCAACGGGACTAACCTTTGGCCAGGTGACAAGCTTTCCAACTTTCATCATTCGCTCCAGGTTTGGGGCATCTGGATCTTCCAATATACGTGCCCAGTCCTTAGAATGCGTAGGTCAGCTGGACGCCTCGAGTGCGACAGACACAGCCTTCTTACCGAAAGGCGAGTTTTGGGCCAAATACTGATGAATTGTAAGCGCCCCGTCACTGCTCACGGAGTATATGCAGGACATACGTAATTGCACCTTCAAAGCGCTGCAAGAAGATGCTAGACCAATCCTGTCCCAGAATCTCAGGCAACAGCTCTAGATCTCTGATGACCTTGAAGTTCTTTGTGAGCTCGTGTTTCAACCACTGTTCTGCCGCAGATAGCACGAAGTTGCCTCTCCATCCTATGAACATAGCATGAGCACTACGGAGCAAGGTTTAGTAATACCGTCAACCCACCTTTCCCCTTATAATGAGCTACAGGCCTTCCAGGAGAGCCCCGAGGCGCAAAAAAGAATAGGTGTACATGTGGGTTAACTTGTGACACCACTGGATGGGTGACTATACACGAAAGTGATCTGTCAGCGGCCCGGCTGTCATGCTTCAAGTATACAAACCATTATAGTACAAATTCAATGCTTGAAGCGGGATATCGACACTTTTTTTCGATTAGTTCTAGAAACGGTTCCGGGATGAACGAACCCACCGTAAAGACCCGTCTTTGAACCTGCTGCCCCAGTTCCAGGGCACGGCACTTCCGTCTTTCAGCTTCTGCATTAGGACGACAGGATTCATGATGCCAGGTACAGCAGCTGACGCTAATAACGTCGACCAAATTATCGTGTCCGGTGCCGTTACATAGTTGAGAACCTTAGTAGGGCTATGACGATCAGCAGGGATAACAGTAATGTTGAGTATCCGTCCGGTCCTTAGATAAGCTTCTTTGAAAGTCATGGAACCACGAGTGAACCAAGTACTCTGCCATAATGGTGGGTCAACCGGAACAATACCCATCACAGCGTGTGTCTCACCTTCCTCGCCCAACTGTTACATTTATCAGTATCGTTACATTTAATAACAGGATTCAGTAACTTACATCACACTGTCAAACCGAGCTCCAGTCTCCCACAATCGTTTACCCCAGACACTGAAAGGCTCGTCGCAAGCCGTCAATTTGTTGGCGAGTTTCGGTACCAGAAGGATCTTGAGCTCCTCATCAGTATGACATGCTGTGAGGGCTGCTATGAGTCCGCCAGCACTAGTGCCCGTGATGACACGTGGAAGTAAATCTACATCAAGGAAGGCCCTCACGACGCCATAATGATCTAGGGTGAAGTGTCAAACTATGTGTCTCCTTGAGAATTCAAGCATTTCACTAACAATAGCCTAGGGCAGCTCCGCCGGATAGACACAAAGCGGATATTCCTGTTTCATTCATCAGTTTACCGGAATTATTGGTTGTATCCGGAGACTCACCAAGATTAGTGTTGGCACTCTTAAAAAATTTCTTCTTTTCATCGATTGAGAGGTCAGGCGTTTCACGAATGTACTCCAACGCCTTCTCTTGTTCGTTCAAATATGCTTAAATCCATCGTCAGGCGGCCCTGCTATGAAAACGACAGACAAGAGCTTACTTTCAAGAAGATCCTTTGTTCCGAGAAAAGTCTAAAGGGCATTAATGGCACTCAAAAAGGAAAAAAAGGCAAAATCTCTACTTACTTCACTGTACAGCCTGTAAAATAGTCAGAGCATGGAGATCAAGAAAAAGTAATGCATACAGACCGAGACGATTCAATCCCGGCGAAGTTTGCGCGAATGCAGGTTTCCAGAACGCCAAGACAGCCCCGCGCGTCATTCTTTTCACGAAGCATCTTCAGAGAACGTCCAACTTTCTTGATCAGTTTCCAATCATAGTAGGGATCGTCATCAATCTTCTTCCATTCGTCAAAATGAAGATAACTGTCGAGGTCCTTAGCGGCGTCTTTCCATTCCTACAACACATCTCAGGTGCCATCAGCTAAACAGGGGGTGGGACCACGGACCTCGTAGGTTGTTGAAGCTCGAAGTTTCTTCCTGAGAACCCCCTTCTTTCCTCTCCCTACGAATGAATGAGAATTATCAAGTCGGATGCAATCTTATGTCGCATACATGCTGAGACCCACTCCTTGGCGTTGACGAGTTGGCGAATGAGCACGTAGATGCCAAATTCCGCTCCAATGAATAGAAAAATGAAAAGCTATATTATCATTGATACGGATTCTGTTTTCAACGTAGCACCTTACCAAAAGCGGCCAGCGCAGTACAAGAAACCACCAGTCGTGTCCTAACCGCCTAGACGAAAGTCGGTCCTTCTTCTTCCGCCTGGTACTGTCAGCGAGATGCAAGTGTGATTGACAGGTCAAACTCACTTTTTGACTTTCAAGTTGACGGGCGCCCAATCGGACAATGCAGAAATTTTCCGTATTCGCGACGTGGTAGGAGTAGATTGTGGGCCAGAACCAGGTGAAGAAGCCTCTCCGTGATGTTCAATGTACACTTCATCAGCGTATAATGCAGCCTCGAAGGCTTTGAGATGCCTTTGAGGGAACAAATGAGATCCGAAATGATTGTCAGAGGTTGCACGTACTCTTCAACAGGATATACTGCCTCCCACGGATCAGTGACTCCGTTGGTTGCTGAAGCAGACATTGGAAGGTGATGAAGCCAGGTAGCGACCTAGAAAATGAATTCTACATGGGGGGATCCTTCCATAGTGTGGGGGTACACAGGGTACGTAGCCACGTGACATGACATGTGGTGGGGGGGAAGTAGCATGTGAAATTGGCGCGACTGCTCATTTTCCGTCATTTTCCGTCATTTGCCCAAACCGACGTTGAAAGCCTCCGTCTTTCGATTATACTGATTGGTAACAGCTGGTAACTAGGTTCAACGAAAGAAGATAAAGAAAGGAGCACTTCAAATGATGCTGGTCGCCGTGTTATCTTCCGACATCAGATAGTAGTTACAGATACTCCACGGACAGGGGAGTTGCAACATCGCGGTGTCGGCTGCAATTGTTCTATTTTGGTTTGACGACTACCATCATGCTGGGATGCTGTGCTCAATACTGCGCACAGAATCTGCTAAATTTATCTCCCTGAGAAGTCATATAAAGGGGGTGCAAAGGCAACTCCACTCAGTATCCTTTCTTGCAACTCACTCCCATCATCAACACTTATATTTTATATCTAACGACATGGGTTGGTTCAGTGATGACTCTGACCAGGCTCAAGCCTACGACCAGGTCAGCTCCCTTGCACACTTGTCTTGCTGCTCTTTTTCAACGCTGTCCAGGTTGTCAACGCTCCCCACAAGGCTGAGCTCTCTCACGAGTTGATTGCTGCTGCCGCGTCGTACGAGGTTTGTTGCTGAAATCTGTACTATCGCTGTGGTCCTCATCGTCGCATTACCGCTAGGCTGCTAAGGCTTACGAGAAGCACTGCGATGAGAATGGCCAGCCCCAGTCTCACGAAAAGGCCAAAGAGATCCTGTGTGTCTGCTTCCCACCTTATTGTTTGCATCTACTGAACAAGGAACAGTGCCGCCTTCTCAGGAGCCTTTGTCGACCGTATGGTTGAGACCAAAGGGGTAAGCTCGGCAGTGTCCCTGCATTTGCACATGGTTGACATTCATTATTTAGCTTGACTACATCGATACGGTCAAGGCTAAGCATCATGGTAAGATAAAACTTGGTGCTCTCTGCAAGCTCTGATGGCTCATTCTTTTGCAGCTAAGGAGCAGGCACACGAAGCTCTCGTTGAATATGGTGATTATTAGATAAATGAATAACAACGTTTGTAAATTGTGAATACCTATTGTAACATGACCTGAATTGCTTTTCGGAAGAGCTATTTTTAGTTGTCAGTTCAGCTTCCGACCGGTTCAGGCACTTGTACTTGTCTTTCCCATGCCACGATGTTCGACGTCTTTGTCCTGGGCGCTCCTTTTCTCTCTCGCCTCTCCGCAATTTGCCTTAGCGGTGCCAATTGGTGGTATTTCCAACAATCCATCCTACAGTCTTACCGCCAGTCTCGCCATCTTGCTCACCTTTCTCATCGTACTCACCGTTCTCTTCGTCTTGAAGCATATCTACATGAAGAGGCGTCGAGCAAGGAATCTTCATTGCGACACTTCTGCTTCGTCCTTCGCGATTGATTCTCAGAAATCCTCAGACTCCTCTATGCTCTCTCCACTGCGCCGCATGACACCATCCAAAGAACGTTTAGCCGCGTTTCTCGTCGGTTTCTTTGGCTCGCCTATTTGGGAAACGAGCGCAAAGGCGTGGCAAAACAGTCTATCGTTGCACGAAAGCATACAGAGTTCGTCCATGTACAGCCTTCACACCCAGTCACGTTCATACAAGACATCTCGTTCTCGCCCAACCTTCAATGAAATGTCTTCTACTTTGAACGAATTCGGAGAAAAAATCGCACATCTCCCAGATTTCTCAGATTCTAAACAATCTCGCAGACTTTCCAGCCCCGGTTCTTTGCCTCCTTGTTTCTCGCTTTTACTTCCTACTGTACCCGAAAAGGCTCGACGCGTCCCATCCAAGCATAGCCATGATCGTCGTTTGTCCCTTCCGAATACACCAGCCTCTCGTAAAGTGGACGGCCAAGTCTCTACATGTCAGAAACAGCATTCTATCTTGAAAACTAGTACAAGTCGGCGCTCTGACTCCTCAACAGTACTCTCTCCTGGGCTGAGGATGGTGTATAACAATAATTCACTGGAATATGAGCTTCCGCTCTCATCCAAGGATCATCAAATTTTCGCTCTTTCTGTCAATGAGCGTCTCAGATCTGATCAGTCAAATGTCCCGCCGCTTCCGCCTCTTCCTCAGGTCACCCCTTTGCTTCCATCCCCTGTGGAGTTCCGCAACCCTGAAAGCGCTCTCGGTCGCAATTATATATCTCATCCCTATGCTTTGGCTCCATACACGAAGAGGGGTAATCTCAAGCAAGCTCCAAGACTCCCTTTTGAAGCTACTCATGATCAATCCGTCTCCAAGACTTCGTGTCCGAGTCCAACAATGTCCCGAAATTCTTATACATTTATTCCCCCGCCACCTCAATTCACACAAGTTCCTCCACTTCCTCCACTTCCGCTTCCTTTACCTTTACCTCCTCGCGAACCTATACCTGCCCTGCCTAAAGCCAGACCTAACACCAGATCATTGTCAGTCCGATCCCGAAAAAGCCCTCCAATTGGTCCTTCTCCTTTGCGCACCATGACTCTTCCGGAATCAGTTATTGGTGATCTATTCAGCCTTCCTTCCCTACCCGATCCTCCGAATACAAACGAATATCAAAACCCTAATAATTCTTACACTGCTAGATTAAGTCGACGCTCCTACTCTACTGTCGGGCTTGGCTTCCCTCCGGTATCATGCGCACCACCAGATGACCCCAAAGTTGATTCTGCAAAACGCTCAAGCACCGATTCAACGTCATCAAAACGTACCGATGGCGATGGCTCGAATCTCTTGCTTAGCATAATTCGGGAACCGGTGGAAGAGACAAGTCAGTGGGATACGAGCTTGTGTATGGACGATAAATTCGAGTCGATGATCGAAACAGCTGGAAACGAGAATAATGGGCAAAGAGGACTGGAAAAATGCGAATCGGTTACCGAGTGAGACTTCAACATCCGATGCGTCGTCGATCCTTCGCTGATTATGCGATAGTCTGGGCGTCGGATTAGCGTCGTAGTTCAACGTTGTGTTCTGGTCGAGCGCCGTCTTTTGTTTTTTTGTCTTGTCGGTAGGCCGATCACGTTCTCGTGGAAAAGTTCTGAACAAGTGCTTAATTTTAAATAGTGAATCAGTCGATCCTGTTTTGTTTTCGTAAAGTCCATCGTCACTCAGCACTCAGAAACATTCAAGAGATAATGAAGCTGAATCCTGTAGTACTTGTGTTACATGTCGAATAAATCATTGCGCTTTGTTAAGCCATTTCTTCAGAGGGATCATGCCACCCTTATCAACTGCCTTCTTGACGTCCTCCCGTTCAACAACACATATATACTTCGTGAATTCTTTCGCTGTATTCCACGAAGGCGCCGTTACCGATACAAAGATCTTGGCGGCAACAAGAGTCTCGAAAGTCTATTGCACTCAAATTCAGCAATGGTAGACAAATGACCACGTTTGCTCTACACGTACACTCATAAGTACAGCTCGGGTACATCTGACCATACCGATGCTGCCTCCATTGATTTGAACAGGTGCAGCCGTCGATGAGCGAACTTGGTCTCGAAAATACTCGTGCAGCATATCAAAGGTCACCACAGAGTATCCAGCAGTGCCAGCATGAACTGAGGCGATTAAAAGGCAGATCGCGGAGTAAGGGAGATCTTCGAGAACTGATCAAGGGTCTGAAAACTTGGATAAATAGATGACTTACTATGAAGATATGGGTACAGCGGCCGAACACGGTGAATTTCGGCTGATGTCAAAAACTGAGAGGACGTGGGCCAAGGCGCTTCTGGAGACAAAGTCACAACCGTTGAAGTCTGGGAGATTGATAAGTGGACAGAACCGAACCAAGATCAGACACAGAAACAGACCAAGACGGCCGTGAGCATCCTCATGTCTTTCGTGATACTGAACGTCTCGGATAGAGTTTGCAGAGTAGACTTGTCATCCAAGAACTGCTGGACACGAGTCTCCCACGTTGTCCTCCATTGAGCAAGGTCCTCCTCATCCGTAAAGGCGTCTTCACCAACAAACACGCAGAGTATCGCTTTGGTCAGTCGCCTCCAGTAATTTATCGTCTGAGGAGCTACCCGTAAAATTCTCCCAGAAAATCGACTTTTGACCCGCTTCTCTAGTAGATTTATGGTGTCGACGCGAGTGGTAAGTCCAACAACGGCCAAGCCCTTGCTGTTAGCGCCGGCCCTGCAACTCTGGGCTGTATCTAGCAAACAATAGAGCAACGCTTGGCGGGCATGGAGTGCGAACAAATCAAACCCCTCAAGGATGACGATAGAGGCTCGAGAAAGGGTCGGGAGAACAGCGATGAGGGCAGGTAGGTGCGTTGGTGAAGGTTCTGCAACCGACGTCTCCGGGTCGTCTGCTGGATTATCGATGAAAGGATTGGGTTCGTCGTCGCGGTCATGGGTCTCTTCCTCAACCTCAGCGGATAGGAACGACGCGCCCGTTTGCTCTCTAAGCTGCCTAGCTATTTCACGCATTGCCAGGCGATCATTTTGTTGAAGCCAACCAGACAACCGGATTATTACTGGGGGACTGTCACCGGACGAAATCTTTGACAACGCGCGCTCTAGCATCTGCATAATTTTAGGCTCGCCTAGTGAGAAAAACAGCGAACTCACCATCGTCTTCCCAGTACCGCGAGGCCCAAGTAAAAGGCAGCTGTTACCCTCCCCTCTCTCGACTGTACCACAAAGCAATTCATCGAGATTTTGAGACGTTGAAGTGTTCGTCCGATCCATATCGTCTTCGTCTTCAATATCGTTCTCGAGTTGAATATCAGACATGTTGCGTAGCGCATGCAGAATGGCGTATTTTTGAGAATTAAGGCATTCGTGGAACTGCAAAGGCAATGATCCCGAGACGAGATTTATGAGGTTACGCGACCTCTTCGAAGGAGAGGTAGGCATTTTGGATGGTGAAGGCGTAGGGGAGCTGAAGCGTGAATGTCCACGCATAATTCGTCGTTTCGGTGTTTTCACTGATGGTACTCTAATTCTCGTCTTCTTGGCTGGAGAACGCAATGATTCTGCGCCGCTATCATCGTCCACGTTTCGGCGCTTCAATGCTGCTTGTTTCAGATGTGCAGCCTCAGCGCTGCTCTTACGCAACTTTGACGACAATGTATCCAGCTCATCTTCGCTGCTTGTCTCTCTTCCTCCATCATTGACACCTGTATCATCCTCGGTATACGGGGAAGCAGGCCTGATCTGCGGTGAACGGCCTCGGGTTTCGAGGGTACGTTTAGTAGGAGACTTTGCTGTCCTGGTTGTAGGTTTTCTAGGCGACGTGGATGCAGATTTTGCGGCCGATTTGCGCTTTGGCGGCATGGAGGTAGAATTGGAAGAAGAAAGAGGTAGTGCAAGATTGTCAGTGTGACACAAGCTCGCGTGATCGTGTTGGCACTGTGTCACACCTAATTTTGTCACGCCTTCGAGTTGCATGCCACCAACGCTTGCATGAATGGGCTTCTCTGGGTGCGTCTGCAGCAGTATCGTCGTTTGATTAATGTCACAAATTTATGGGATAGGCTCGCGCGATGGCTCAACGCGCCGACTACAGCTCTACCGTTAATCAGGGAAAATATTCTAGTTAATCATAACGTATTAACTTTACCTTATCGACATACATCCACTCCATTCATCTCTTATACCAGGGTCGCCTTGAAGGCAAATGGCAGCTATCTGTCAAGTCTTTCCGATCCACACTCTCTCAGTCAGACGGTTCTCAGGTTCCCTCGGAACGGTCGATGTGTGCACTGACGATGGGCGAAAATGTTTTCGTTCTCTTGGATGACCCTGGCGCTCCCTCTCGGATAGAGGCAGAGAACCTCACCCCGCTTCCCACCCATTACCGAAATACATTCCTGACTCTCAGCCCTCCCGGGGCACTTGAGCATCTCCTTGCCCAGCTCAAGGCGCGCTGGGTTTCGGTTCGACAGTCCACCGCCTATACTGCACCGAGAACCCAAGCAGCTGGGCCACAGCTTCTTATTGACGGGCACGTCTTCTCCATTGGAACTGACTGGATCGTGCGCATAGGCAATGTTGTGCTTTCAGGTGGTGCAGTTAAAGGGATGCTCTTAGAAGTAAGTCTTGACAGTACGTTTCTTCTACGGTGGAACTTAGATATAGGCGGAATACCTTCCTCTGCCCGTCCTGCGCTCCCCGTTGCAAGACGGTACATCCGAGCTCTTGTCAAACCTCCTAACTTCAATCCTACCCAATATTCGGGATGCCAAGACAGTCGCCATCACCATCAGCGATTCGCAGTGGGAGGATGTCCTGTGGAACCGTGAGGAGGAAGAGAAGAAGGGAAAGCAAAGCGAAGAGGAGCGTATGGACAAGGACGATATTTATGTGTACGGGGATGAGGAGGAGGACGGAAAGCGGCAGCCTCGAGACTGGACAGGCGTCGACCGAGATCGCCGGTCAGCTTTCCTGATAATGGGGGCTCTGCGTTCTGAGGGTATCTTGTAGAATGACGTACCGTGGGAGACTTTGGGTTTCGTCTTGACTCGATCTTTCAGCTGATGTCGCAGCATGGTTTAGTTTTTTCCTTTCTCTTTTCTACCATCCTCAAGGAATGCTATGCTACTCTCATTTTACCATGTGCATCCCACGGCCTAGTTTTGCACTCGGTCGACGCCTAGAGTCTACCGCCCTACATTTTTATCAGAATAGACAGCTAGAGCTTTATGCGGCCAGAGAGACTAAGCGGCTGACGTTGAGACAGCTGGTGCGTTTCTGTTGTATTGTCGACCCCCTAATCACTGATGATCATTCAGGTGTTCTTTGGTCGTTCTATGAACGAGGACCGTATTGTCAAAGTGAGCCCGTCATTCTCGTCATTCGCATCTTTATATAATTATAGATTCCAGAGTGCCAACTACGTTCGTACAGAGCTCCCCGTCCGCATCGCCCATCGTCTACGGGACCTTCAGGCTCTGCCTTATATCGTTGTGACTCAGGAAGGTGTCGCCAAGGTCTATGAGGTGTGTTTTCTGAGATATACTTGTGCTTGACGCCATGCTCAACGCATATATATATCTCAGCTCTACTGGTCAGCTTTCGAAAAGTATGTCTCTCCTATTTTTGACTCCCCACCGCCAACTCGTGCGCATGTAGATTTCGACGCTACCCAGTGGTGACTACCATAGCCGAGAATGAAAAGTTCTGTCAATTCGTGGCTCAGCTTCTCAATGAACAGTATGGATTCCATGTACCTTGATAACGAACAGCTTTCTTACAGCTCTTTCAGTGCAACCGTGATTCCAAATCTCTATCTCGGCCTTTCGCTATCGTCACCCTATCTCGCACCAGATCAGCTGGACTCTTTTATGCGTCGAATGCTGATCTCACGCATTTCCCGACGTGTTCTGGCAGAACATCATATTGCCCTTTCAGAAGCCTATGCTGGAACCCGTGCGCAGGAATCTCACGTTGGCATCATTTCTACGGCCCTCGATGTCGGAGGATGTATCCGCCGTTGTATTGATCTATTGAAGTCTCGGTCTCTTCAAGACGCAAAGGGATGGCCCCAAGTTGTCATCGACGGGCATTTGACATGCAGGTTTCCATACATTCGGGAGCATCTTGAGTACGCCTCTGTCTTTTGCGACTGATGGATAAATAACCGATGATAGATACATAATTTTCGAGCTTCTCAAGAATGTAAGGTTTACGGCACCCAAAAAGTAACTGCTGACACGCTGCGTAAATTCTCAGGCAATGGATGCAACCCGTCATAGACACGCTTCCAGTGACAGCTTGCCCCCAATCAATGTCACAGTCGCGGAAGGGCCAGACGATGTAGGCATTCGAGTATCGGACCAAGGTACTTGCGCTTGTATTCTGTAACATGAATTTCGTCTGACAAGTGAGGAGGTGGCGGTCTGCTGAACTCATCTTGCGCAGTGAAGTCTCCCGAGGATCTCTTTTCGTTCTCGCATGTCAGGAATGCAACCCGGTTGGACGACTCGCGCCTAGTTGCGCTTCGCACGGTCAGCAGCAGCCAAGAAGGATTACGGGCAACTGTTGGTGAACAAGTTGCAAGATGGAAACAAGATGGGGAGACCGATAATGTTGCGTTACAAGGGTCACATCCAAAGATTGGTATAGGGCTTCCTATGAGCAATATCTTTGCTACGTGCGTCACTCCAGTTGCTCGGATTCGGATTTCTCCTGATCATCGTTTTCAGATATTTTGGAGGTTCCTTGGAGTTGGTATCTCTAGATGGATGGGGTGAGCATGAATGAATGAATATATGGATAAACGGTTTACTCACATCATGATCTCCAGGGACAGACGTATATTTGCGTGTTCCGAAGCTGGTATGTTTGATCAGTGCTGATCACCCCAGCTCACCCCACAATGATCAGGGAACAAACCTTGAAGGAATAGAGGTTTAACACGGATGGTAATAATGGCTCTTCCACGCAAGGATCCGCTGATGATGTACCGCTCGACCGCGCCTCGTATTCGTATGTATGACGTGCTTGAGACGGTCGGTCCACGACGAGGTTTCGATGTTGGGGACCGTCTTGAGCATAATCTGTATCTATGTTATGATTATTATAAATGATGATGACCCGAGAGATGAAGACGATAGGCTGCCGATGAGCTGGAATTGATGTATTGCGGTGTTATCGGGGGATCGAAAGTTCGTGCGGATGAAACAAATATTTGATTTGGCAATGAAATAGGCGCCTGCCCTTGACCTTGACTTGCATTGCTTGTCTCTTATAAGGCCATCTGTCTTATCCTTCGGCATTCTGAGTTATGAATCCATCACAACACGATTTTGTTCCTCCACCTGCCTATTCAGCACGGGAGTTCGATACCAAAATGTCATTAGCGCGTGCAGCGTCGACGATAACACAACCGCCTCAGCAGCAGGTGGAAGAGGAGGAATGGGAGCAGTGGGATGATGCCGTATTCGACGCTGCAGCAAGCTCAGGACAAGCAATATCCAGTTCCGACCATCGACGGGAGAGTCGCGCAGGATCCAGCCCCACTGCAACCCGCTGGGCGCTCCCTGCTCGACCCGGGGAAGCAGGACCATCTGTGCCACCTCTCAAGATACACAAGAAAAACCGATCGTCAACAGGTTCGTCGTCGAAACAGCGACCCAGTTGGTACGCCGAAGCTGGACTTGATAGCCATCAGTCGAGCAACTCCATGAGACCAGTGTCTCCAGCTGCCCCAGGGTCCTTACATGCTGTACCTGTTCGCATTGGCAGCAACGGCCAAGACTACAGCATCCCGCCGCCACCCTTCACGGCTGTCGGCCCGTCGCTTGAGGGCCCTCCGTTCGAAGAGATGGACCCGCTTAGTTTCCGACCGAATCCACCGCCCAGCCGCCCGCCCAGCCGGGCACCATCTGTTTCCCCGTCCCAGTTCCGGGGCGCCCTACCTCTACCAAGCATACCGCCAGTGCGACGCGTCTCGCGAGCGGATCCAGCGGTCGGTCCAGACACGGGGGCCTCACGTATGAGCTTTAACCCGGCAGTCGCATACAACAAGCACAAGGATACCCAGGCTGTTACAAGCGAATACCATCCTCCAATCCAGTCTTTTGATGCTACTGCTCTCTACCAGTATGTGTCTGATCTTCAGTCTAACTTTGCCAACGCTGACTTTAAGATTCTTACAGTTCCTCAGTAGCCTCACAACTCACTATTGTTCCGTCGCAACGTCCACAGTAATTCTGCTTCCATTCAAGACGGACATGTTGCTGAGTTTCACCCAGATCCTATATCACACCGGCCCGTCCCCCAAGTGCTGCTAGTACGTGCACGAGTTCACACTCAGGGTACACCTGGGCGCCTTGTCCTGTGCCCCCTGTGTCGTCCCGGTATCACGGAGGACCACCTGTCGACTCTCCCGTGCCAAGGTGGGCCACATCAGAACAGCAGCTCACCAACATGTTCAGATGACTTGCATACTGGCGGTACTGTGTCTTTGATTATAAACATGTACTTGTTAAACACTAGTTAGCGCCGATTGGCAACACCATCTGGTGCAAATACAATAATGTTTGGATTTTCAAATTTTGATCTGCTAACCCCAATGGCGAACATAAATGCTCGCAGTCCGGCCTTGAATTCTTTCCCTCGTGCGATTCCTGCGCCCCAGCAAGGCCCCGCAAACCAGAATGCCAGCAAACCGGCCGACTATGTATACTTTGACCGATCAACCGCTGGCTTCTCAGATGAAGCGTTGCCGAGAGCCAAGGGAGCCCAGATGAAGTTGGAACATTATTACAAGATCGTCGTCGATGCTGCCATTGAGCGTAATACCAGGTTCGTACTCAACCCTTGCCCTCTGCGTCTACTAACTGCCTCTCAGGCGTGTAGAGCTGGAGCGCAGGTTGCAAGCGGACGTACTTATGTCGGAAGACCGGAAGCAACGGCAGCTCCAACAACTTGGAAAGAAGGAATCCACTTTCTTACGACTCCGAAGAACGCGCCTCGGTTTGGATGACTTTCACACTGTGAAGGTCATCGGAAAAGGTGCTTTTGGGGAGGTAAGTACCCAACATCAATGATCCACCCACACCATCAAATCACCGTTCCTAGGTTCGGCTCGTGCAAAAGACTGATACAGGTCGGATTTTATTAAAGACTCCCGTAAGGGTATTTGAACCGAAATTGACTCAGGCAAAATCTACGCGATGAAGACACTGAAGAAGGACGAAATGCTAAAGAAAGATCAGGTCTCGAATTTTTTATTTATAGCTTCCTGCACCGTTATGCTGATATAGTTGCGATTTAGCTCGCCCATGTGCGCGCTGAACGTGACGTCCTGGCCGAGTCCAACTCGCCTTGGGTCGTCCAGCTGTTCTATTCCTTCCAGGATCCCTCGTATCTCTATCTGATCATGGAGTTCCTCCCCGGTGGTGACTTGATGACCATGCTCATAAAATACGACACCTTTAGTGAGGATGTCACTAGGTTCTACATGGCAGAATGTGTTCTGGCGATTGAGGCGGTCCATAAGCTCGGTTTTATCCATCGGTAGGAGTCTATTGCGTGTTTATAACACCTCTTCGTTGACTTTTGCTACATACAGTGATATCAAGCCCGACAATATTCTCATGTGAGTCTGGCTTTCATTCGGTGTTCTCCTAGACCCAATTAGTGCGTTAGCGACAAGGATGGACACGTCAAGCTGAGCGATTTCGGCCTATCTACAGGCTTCCACAAGCAGCACGACTCCAACTATTATCAGCGGCTTCTAGAGTCGGCGACGAAGAATAGCACTACCCCTCAAGCAGCCGCTCGGAATAGCGTTATGGTCAACTCCATCAACTTGACAATGACAAATAAAGATCAAATCGCCACTTGGAAGGCTAACAGACGAAAGCTCGTAAGGCCCTTCGTTTGCGGCCAGCAGCCATATTGACGTAACTAACGTGAAAATAGGCGTACTCCACTGTAGGAACCCCCGATTATATCGCTCCTGAAATCTTTCTACAAAAGGGCTATGGGAAGGAGTGTGATTGGTGGTCATTGGGAGCTATCATGGTACGTACAACCTTGTCCCTAGTTGACTTCATCCTCCTCATTTTGCGACAGTTTGAGTGCTTAGTCGGCTACCCACCATTCTGCTCGGAAACCACTCATGAAACATACCAAAAGATTATGGAGTGGCAATATCATCTCGTATTCCCTGATGATGTGCATCTCAGCCACGAGGCTGAAGACTTGATCAGGCGGTGAGTGATGTCTATCTCGCGGATATAGTTTGGCTCATGTTATTGCCTTCCAGCTTGATAATCTCAGCGGATAGACGACTTAACGTCGACCAGATCAAGCAACATCCCTTCTTCTATGGAGTCGATTGGGATAGCCTTCGACAGATAGACGCGCCTTTCGTACCGCATTTGCGATCCATCACAGATACTTCCTACTTCCCCACAGACGAGATAGACCAGGCTCCTGAGGAGCTTCCTGCCGATACTGGTGGCGCCAGTAAAGATTTGGCCTTCCTTGGGTCAGTCATCTGCAATGAATACTCTTCCGGGTTGATGTTTGACTGGTCTTTTCTAGTTATACTTTCAAGCGCTTCTCTATATCGTCTCACGCATTCTAGCCTCAAGTCTGCAGCCACTTTGCCGATTACAAATGACAACTGGCCGGCCAGTTATATCTTATATCTTAATAATCCGCTCTTCATGTGCTTGTTACAATGTTGGTTTCCGAGTTATCTGCCAGCCCTTCCATTATTTATTCAAGGGATCGTACTGAACATGAACCGCTGCCAAACCATCAGTCACCGCTTCAATACTCTCAGAAGCAATAGGTTTGCGACTGGGTTGATTATCCATCTCCCCTCGCAAGTTTTCATAAAATTCCTTGCTCAAACCTGCCTTCTCTCTATCGTCTGCATTAAATGGACCTTTGATGTCTCCACGCCAGCCATTCCGTACTTCTTCTCTGAAAGTCTTTATGGGATCGACATTACCATTGTTTTCACATATCCATGTAAACCACCTATGTCCCGCCGTCACATGGGTGACCTCGTCGGCGTGAATGATTTCCATAGCTTTGATACTTTCATCGTCACCGGCTTTCCTGAAGCGTTCAATTGTGCCGGGATTTACGTCGAGGCCTCTGGCTTCGTGCACGAGATGAATGATAGCAAGTCGGGCACGGAGCGAGTTAGCAGTGACGGCGGCGGACTCCCACAGAGCTGCATGGACAGGCAGGCTACCGTAAGGCGTTGTCGGAGAGGTAGCAGCCAGCCGGGATGTCAGTAGTGTGCTGCAGATACATTTCGTTGGGACGCCACTGGTATAATGGAAAGAGTGGACCTACAAGTGCTTGGATTCGTCCAGCGCCATTTTTGTGAAATCAGAAAAGAAAGCTGGAGGCAGATCGGGGTGCTTTGGTCCGAACCTAGCCATGATATCCCACCTGTATGATGTTAAGTCCGGCCTTAGGGGTGTTGAACCTGCTCACTTACGCAAGATCTATTCTATAGAAGAACTCGTGAGATGCACAAATGCGACAAAAGTTCAAGACCTACGCCCACTGTTCAATATTGGCAAGGGCGTGCAGCATGACTGCTCTGCTTTTCCTGCTCTTCATTTTCACAGGATCTACGGTATTTCTCTCGTATTGGGCATCGCGCAACGGCGTATCAGGAGGACGAGGGGCATTAGGTGATTTATGTCCTATGGAAGCCAATTTTCCTGTCCGAAAAAGCTGCACTGCATGGCGAGTTCGTTGAACCTACATAGGATACATATTGACAATCACCCTAGGTGATACGGAATTGCAATCACCTTCAAAATTGGATTTGGTGTGTTGAGGATAAGCACAGCCCATTGCATTAGTGTAGTGGGCACATCTGTCGTAGGTACGACAGCTTCTTCCATGGATTCAATACTCGACGATGTGACTGGTAGAGAGGCAGTGTTTTTCAGAGGTGGAGGATCTGCAAACTCTGATAATGGTAGTGAGCAGAAACACTGAGTCCCAAGGTGTGAGAAAGATACCTTCAGAAACAGGTCTTAGCTCGACCAACCGCCAGTTTGTTCCAACCTTCGGGGTCTCGACATATACCGTGTCAAGGTTGTCGAGGGGATCGGCGTTTACTTCGACGTGATATGTACAAGTATGGAGTCCTGTTTCACTTTTTCCGGTTCTAAGATCGAAATCATACCTACGAAGGATTTTTGCTTAATTGACATTCAGATAACTCTTCGTTGTCACTTTCCTATGCCATGGACATACTGCCACAGCTCCCGAATCATATTCCTCTATATCAGCGTGGGACATGTCGGCACCGAGATGAGGACACGTCGATTCCATGACATATATCTGCCTGTACACGGCTTTTAGGTTTTCCCTTTCTGTAAACCTTTCGTTCTTAATCGCCGTGACGGATGGAGATAGGCGAAATAGTATTAATCCACGATAGATACCTTCCTGAGAGCGTATGGTCATCAGAAAGCGCAGATGAGAGAGTAGATGTCGGAATGGTGCTATTCTGAGATGAAGGACATGATTAATCTTGAAGAAAAGCAATAGATGCAAACATACCGAAGGAGTGCCATTTTCTCGAACAATTGGAGGTCCAAGTTGGGAGTTTTAGTTAACGATCATCAACACGTGCTCTTTCTTCCGGTCCAGGAACTACCACCATGGAATGTCTGAAATGGTTTTCTAGAGAGTACCATGGTGAGTCAGGTCGGTGCTATGGTGTTCGCGTGAATTGATTTGTTAGATTTGAATGGCTCCCACATCCAAGTTCTCGACAGACCTCCCACACCACTTGAGTTTTCCAGAATAGCACACATCTCTCGACCTGTTGTTATTCATGGTAGTATCCACATCCAAACACTGCGAAGCTCAATGTGGTTTAACCCTGTATCAGGACTCCATATACCCGCTACCAAGGACCGATGGAGCAATGAATATCTCTGTGACAAGATGAAAGACCGGCCAATCTCGGTCTCGGTTACTCCGAATGGGTCTGTGTTCAAAGGCTCAAGTTAATGCTATCTCCAAACCTATGTAGTCACTTCTAGGCTGGCTGATGCAGTCACAACGGCCCCAGATGGAATATCCTACTTTGTTGAGCCTCATGTCGAATTGATGACAATGGGGGACCTCTTGTCGAAATTCGACGGCGACACGACCAGGGTAGCGCTGCTTTAGATTTCTCTCTTGTCCAATTTCTCACTAAAAGAAGGCTATGGAAACTGCCCAGGCATACTATCTGCAATCCCAGAATGGCAATGTCTACTCGGCAGCATATTTCGATAACGTCGATAGTGATTTCTCAGAGTTCGATGTCCTGCGTCCAGATATTCCCAGCGAAATTCATTGGTGCAGCAAATCGTTTGGTGCATCTTCTTGATATTTTTCTGCGGCAGTTCACTGATGCGATACATCAGACAAACATCCGGATGCGGTCAACCTCTGGATTGGAGACAGCAAGAGCATAACGAGTATTCATTGCGGTAGGTACGTCACTCTCCACGATGCTCATGCCTGATCAAAATCCCATTTAAGATCCTTATGAGAATATATACACTGTCGTCCGAGGAGTGAAGTACTTTACGCTCCTCCCTCCCAGTGAGGGTTGGTGTCTCCAAGGTGTGGATGATACAGACCGAAAGCCGATCTCCGCTGAATAATTACTCCTGCTAGAACGTACATACCCTCATGCGCAGTATATACGAGCCTCGCCTTCGACGGAGTTATGTATCAAACCATCACCTCCGTCTACTCCTACCATCCGCTGGTCCTCAGTGGGTGATCCGAATCTTCCTGGAGCTCTGCCTGACGAAGCGAATCCAATCAATGTTGTATTGCAAGCAGGTGAAACGCTCTATCTACCAGCAGGATGGTGGCATCATGTTCGACAATCGGACGAGATTACAGTTGCATTAAACTGGTGGTACGATATAGAAATGCGAGGCATGACGTGGGTGCTTCTCACATTTCTTCGAGGAACAGATTCCCCTATGATAAAAGGTAAAGAAGATGACATGGAGGGTAGCGAAGTGGAGGAAGCATAAAAAATAAAAATCGATTCGGTGTGACGGACCGAAATGCCGGTTTGTCACACTTTGTGACGCCGAGATTTTCAAAGTAAACTTTTGCCCAGCACCGCGACAGCAGAGACCACTATCTTTTTCTTGTCTTCGTTCTAGTCATGGCCGGCGATAAATCAGAAAAGAAAGACAAGAAGCGCAGAGAGAGTAAAGTTGATCCTCCTGCAGAAGATATAGAAATGGCGGCTCCGGAAGAGACTACCAAGGTTGTGAGCTTGTTGAGCTGTACGATGCCTTTCATTGACCTAGAACGGCCTTTAGTCACCGAAGAAACACAAGAAAGAAAAAGCTGAAGTTCTTATTCCAGTGGAGGAATTATCGCCGCTGGCCAACCCGCTCGCCCAGAAGAAGCTTTTGAAGAAGTTGCAGAAAACAGTGAAGAAAGGCACGCTATTTTCCCAGACTTTGACTGGTTTTTGGTGACAAGCTTCGTGTAGCGTCCAAATCTCGGCTAGTGAAGAGAGGTGTGAAGGAGGTGGTCAAAGGAATCAAGAAGGGAGAAAAAGGGTAGGCAAATTCTTTCTTTTACGGCTTTGCTCATTATATTTTTGCGTCCTAGTCTACTGATTATAGCGGCCGACATCAGCCCTATTGATATTGTCTCCCATCTACCTGTTTTGAGCGAGGAAGCGAGGATACCATATATTTTCGTTTCATCAAAGGAGGAGCTGGGCCACTTTAGCTCGACTAAACGGCCGACGAGCTGTGTCATGATATGTCCGCACCAAAAGAGAGAGCTGAAGGAGGGTGGGAAGGATGAGAAGGATGAAGAATTTCACGACTTGTACAAGGAATGTTATTCTGAGGTGGAAAAACTGGATACCCAGATTGTATTTTAATATGTCTGTGCCTTGCGATCGGCTAGGAATTCGCACGATCCCTTTTCTACGTTGCATTTTTCGACCACCACCACCTTCGTTTTCACCTCTAATACCCTTTCCGTTCTGTCATGGCATCTGCAAAGACATCCTCCTCTACTGCTAACGGCACTGCAAAGGGCAAGAAAGAGCCCCCCACCAATGGAGCGGTATCCTCAGTCGAGAAAAGGGACACGTTGGATGTGTCTTCTCATGCGCCATCGACAGGTAAACCGGACAAGAAGGCGTATGAGGCTGATCAGGGCAGAATAAAAGGCGAAATAGGTGCTCTCCAAGCAAATCTGGTATGTCGTGCCCCAGCTATGGAGTCTGCTCATCTGTGCTCACTACGTTAGTCTGCTCTACGGGATAAAATCTCATTGACGACCAAGGGCGGCACTGGAAATGAGCGGCGGAATCACCTGCGAACTGAACTTGACGATATTCGTAGTCAGCAGTCCAGTAACAAGGCCTCGAGAAGAAAGATCCTGGATCAGCTTAAAGCGTACCAGGATAACGTACAGAAAAAGGTTTGCATTGTATTCAACTAATATATTCCCACGTCTCACACGTTCTCTCAGATCAAGGACCTTCAGGCCGCGCAATCAAAGATTCTGTTTAAAAATGTTGGCGAGGTTGATGCTCGGATCAAGTGCGTCAATTTCTTCACCTCCGGGGATATGTACTCAGTAACCCGTAAATAGAACTCTAGAAAAACAAGTCGAATCCGGCAACATGAAGCTTGCGGATGAAAAACGAGCCGTCCACGAAATCAGTACATGCAAATGTAACAGACGCACTGTAGAGAGTTTCCAGGCCACTCAGGAATCCATTGAGGCTGACCGTCACTCTATCGACGAGCTCCGAAAACAGCTCGACAATCCGGAATTCAAAGCCACCTCGGACCGTTTCGAGAGTATCAAAGCCGAGCTTGACGAGTTGAAGCGGGAGGAAGACGAAGCTTATGTTGGTCGTGCTAAGCTTTTTGAAGAGCGGGACGGCCTCCAAGCGCAGCTCAGCGCACTCTTCGACGAGAAGCGCGACTCGGCACAGAGGTTCCGAGAAGCCAACAACCGCTATTGGGCCAAAGTCAACGAGGACCGGGCCAGGCGTGCCGAGAGGGCCCAGGCTCAGCGCGCCGCTGAAGAGGCAGAGAGGCGGAGAGAGGCCGTACAGCGTCTGCGGGACGAGGCAGAGATCCCCGCATATCAGTCCCAGATTGAAGACTGCCAGACCCTCATCGCTTACCTCTCAGGCAAGAACACAGGCCCCTCTAAACTGAACGGCGTGCCTTCTGACCCCAAGGCTCAGGTGGCCGGTGTTGCCAAGCTGGAGCTCAGGAAGGTCGAGGCAGCACCTGAGGGCGCAGTTGTACGGAAGAAGAAGGGTGAAGAGGCTAGCTACTTTGTCGCCAAGGGCAAAGGCAAGGGAAGGAAGAGCGCTCCCAAACCCGTCAGCACACCTGAACCTACGCCTGGTGGATTCAATATCGACTTTTCCAGGTTCTCCGCCCTCTTATCCCTATCCATTTCTCCTCCAGACTCTGCCGCAGATGTGCCTCGTGTTATCTCCGACTTGCAGACCAAGAAGGCTTGGTTCGAGGCAAACCAATCTCGTGTCACAGCTGAGAACCTTGCCAAAGCGGAGGCTGAGATCAATCGTCTGAGTACGAAGGAGGTTGCTGCAACACCGGAGATCACTCCCAGTGCTGGAGAATATCCCGGTGAACCTGCATCGACGGCCCCATCTTCAGTAGTTCCTGATGACGTTGCGGAGGCAACGGTTGATGCTGTGCACGAGGAGGTCAAGGAGGCTGATTCATGATAAGTTGCATGATTAGTTACTGTGGATATGTCTTCTCAATATAGTAATCAAACCTATCTCATTGAAATCTTCTATGCTGTATAGATGAAATAAATTGAGCAAGGAATACAGCCGGATAGCTTTATATATGATATATATCGATAACAAATCCGAGAATCCTTTACAAGGTGATTAAGGAGCGTGGTTCGACAAGTAGGAACGACATCAGAAGAAAAAAAAGATAATACAAGTACGTCGACGGGTAAAAGAAAGTCAGTTGTGCAAGCATAAGCAAGAATGGTATGGTATTAGTAGAGTATCACATCCACAACGGCCCAAAGCTAGAAAACAAACGAAATACAGAATGTCTATACTCCCTGGGCCTCTGTTTTGACGGGCTCAACGGTCTCAGCTTCAGGATCACTAGAGGGAGTTGCAGACGAATGCATACCCATGTCCTGGGGCGTGAAACTAGAAACATCAAATGCATTCCCCGAGTTGGAGAAATCAGAGAATGGAAGCCCCGTCGAATGGACAGTCGGTATCGTGTCTTCTTGCGTGTTGGAAGTGTCCATATACGACAAGGATCCATAACCGTCAGAGTTGAACGTTGTAGACGACGGGTCAAGCGAACCTGCAGAAAATGTATCGTTCTGAAGGGCCGCGAGCATGCTTGACGTAGTAGGTGTCATAAGACTTTGCGGACGAACGTCCATGGAGTTGAAGTTCTCCTGGCCAGCCATGGGTGACAAGGAAAAGAATTGCTGTTGCATAACAGGCTCCACGGAAGCCGCAACGGAGTTGGTAGATAGTGCAACGCTCCGAAGAACGTTGACCGCAATCCAATCACTCAAGGTGGCGTCAATTCTCTGGGCTCGAAAGATAACGATGCAACTTACTCCAAGAATAGTTTTAGAATTTGGAAAGCACCGAATGCTGGATCGCTTCGAATGGTCTAGCGAAAGACACCTGTCAGCGCTTTAAAGACGGCGAGAATTGTCATTACTCACCAGATCTCGCATAACTTGGCTCGTAACATAACCCCAGCGAATGAGAACACTTCGTGAGCTCATCGTCCCCCTCTCCTCACCACCATGCATAGCCCGGCTACCACCCATCAGTCTATCGCAGCACTTGTCTGCCCAAGACATAACTTCTCTCACGGGTTCCGCAGTTTTAGTAAGATTCTCCATCAATGCCACAAACTCCACCTCCAATAATTGAACAAGGTCTTCATGGCGACAATTACAGACTAGTGCTGACTGGTTTCGAACGGACTCAAAGTCGACTTTCTGCCAAGAACGACGCATCTCCGTAAGCTGCTTCTGATTGGTGAGAACCGTATTTAGCGCTTGAGTAACTTGGTATATGTCAAGGAATCGCACTGTGTTGACCATGAATCAAAGACAAATGCACATTTTTTTTGACGCAACTTACAAACAAGGTGGCCAAATCGAGCACCTAGTTCGACTTTAGGCTCAACGAAGGTGTTACCATAGTTATCCAGTGCAACCAACAAAATCTTTTCCATCTTGTTGGCGAACTGACGAAGATTTGCAAGAGATGTCGATGGAATAGGCGACAACATCTGAAGTCGTAAAATTTCAAGCATTTCCTGTAAATGGTTCAAATGAATCATCAAAGGAATGAATGATACTTGCTGAAACATACATCGTAAACGATAGCATCTGCTTTGGCCATCAGACCCGCTATAGCCGGGGCGTGAACAACCTCCCGATGATTACCACTCAAGTTGGACCAGAAGCTCCGCAAGTGCATCTCAAAAGAGTCGAACCTGAACATCTTGACACTTTCCAAGAGCGAATCGAGATGGTCCTGAAACCAACCCCATACTTCACGCGCTGCGATGCCGTGTGGGGATGTAGAGTTTGCGCCCACAGCGTCCTCGATGCTAGGGAAGTGCGGGAATTGACGAACGGATGAAGACGGCTGGGACGCAAGGTACGGCACCGAATTGCCTGAAGGAGGTGATTGGGACTGGACAGGCAACCCACTGTCTGCTCCCGGGTGCCGGCGAATTGATGCCTGGGGAGGAAAAGTACCAGGTGGACGTTGGTTCGCTTGCACCTGCGAGAGAAGAGTCGCGGCAGTCGGTGTTTTGTCGCTCATATCTTGCGGAAAAACGGTCCCCTTGACATCGCCGGAAAGAGCGAGCGAATTGCGTTTGGAGCCCAAGGCGGAATTGACCCCTTCAGAATCGTCATCGTCGTCGTCGTCAGAGCGCTCTTCACTTCTGTTGGCAGTTTCTGCTTGTTCGTTGGCCAAACGGGCGGCATTGACTGAAGGCTGTCCAGCGTGATTGTTTGACTTGTGAATATAATCCTGAAGCCATTCGGCTTCGGCCGAGGTCGCGGGTCGAATACCACAATCTGTCATCAAAACCGTGATGAGACATGTGTACCATCAAAGATGTTGTTCTGTGGCTTACAATGGTATTTGCTATTCCCTCTGACGCCGAGACGCCTTGTTTTGATTGTGGGAAAACAAAGGCGAATAGCCTTGCCCAGAGTGGCCGTGTTGATGTGAGGAATCCCGTACTGGTCACAGACTCGACGGTAAGAGAAATAAAGGCCTTGACGCGGCACATTGCCGTCGGGGTAAGGAGCGTAGTTCGCAGTGAGCCTGTTGTAAGCGAATAAAGGCTGGGAAGACGTCTATCAGAACACATATACGCACCATGCCTGCACAAAAATCTGCTTGGCCCTGTCTGAAGCACTCGTGGTAGTGGCCGCTCTCACATTGGCGGCAAGTTTCTCCAGTGCCTGATCATTGTTGAGCGTCATGCGACCGAAAGCGCCAGCGGCGTGAAGGGCATCGTGGTTAGGAGCCATGGTGTGAGTTGGGCCGCCGTACATGGTTGGGTACTCTGATGTCGAATTTCCCAAGAACATGGCAATATCGTCTGTTTCGCTCGACGAGGAGTGAACGCTGTCGGTATCACGAGGGTACGGAGAGGCTGCAGCACGAGCACGGATGTGGCTGGGACGAAGATGGTTTTTTAGGGCAGGATTAGTTATATTGTGATTAGGAGGGGACTATCCAGCCGAAAAAGATGAGCATGGCGGCGATGAAGAAGAGGAGAACATACGGGGTCAGTGGGCAGGCCTGGATGGCCCAGATTATACGTAGCACGGTACAAGTCTTCTGTCGATGGCGGCATTCCTGCCTGCATTCGTGATAGGCCACCTTGAGAAGACTGAGGACGAGAACTGGAAGAATGAGTCGACGACGAGGACACGGAATTGGACCTGGAATGAGAGTGGATCGGGAGAAAGTCGAGGGGCATGTTTGTCGACATCATCTGCATGTTGACTGCGGCCATCGTCGCGGCGGTCGGTGAGCTCGTCGCTGTGGGCGGTGTTGTGGTCGAGGCTCTGGCAAATAGTCAAAGAGCGAATAACGAAGGCGGACCAGCCGGGATGAATGAGAGTAAAATAGAGTATAGTAAGTCGAAGGCTCGCGTGCGGAAAAAGATCCTCGATGGACGCTCGACGAATCCTGGACCCGAAGATAAAATAAAGAAATGAAGGCAGCGCAAGGCTCCAGGAAAAGGCTCCCGATGATAATGGAATACGAGTTTGCTCGAGGATGTGGGTGGTGGTTACGATCTTGATCACTGGCAATCTGCAGGCGTAGCAGCAGGCGTTGGCAAGGAGACCGTCTTGGAGACCGAAGACTGACGCCTCCTTCCTTATATTCTTCGAATTTGTCCCACGATCTTTGCATCATTTCGAATCTCAAATCCATCCCATATCATACCCTCAAACATCTACTTACTTACATATCATTGTATCACTGCCATTTACCACAAGGCGACCATTATTCCCCTCCCATGTACATAAATTCTCGGAACTGCTTTCGTAACTTGTTCTCTTTCCCGTCTGCCAATCGCCGTGCCAATTCCACCCACGACCCTACAGTCAAGTCCCGCATTCCATATGGCGTGTATTTGCTCTTCTCGACCGGCCCCTTTCGCAGCGATTTGGGCAAATTCCCAAGTGGAATTGGATAAACAAACTTCCCATCTTCCTCCGCTGCCGCGGGATGCAGATCTAATGGAGAATAAGTCGTATATTCCAGTTTGAAATGCGGCTGATGTGTTTTGTTCCCCTCCGCAAGATCCGGAATATAGTACTGGCCATTTTAATCATTAATTATCACCCAAAACGTCAACATAACCGCGTGTTTCACCTGCGCGTAGCCCAGCGGACTCCACAATTGGTTGCGCCTCGATGGCGAATCAGGATCAGCTTGCCAAGTCGAGTTGAGTTGACATTTCCAGCTGCTTCGATAGGGCTCGTCCTTGCATAACTCGTCCTTGTTCCCATGCTCTCCGCGATGATGACTGTGCTTCCGGTCCTTCTTCAGTACTCCTACGGGCGACGCTTCGAAACCCGTAATGTTGTAAGAAAATATTCGAAATGTCGGCAGATACGGATTCGGGACTACGGGCGGCGAAACATTGATGACCCCATAGTTGTCGAGGTCGGTCCGGGACGACTTTGGAAGTGTCGAAAAGTCCTCCAACAGGGCGTCGCACAGATCTCCGTTTTGCAACGAGATCGCCCTGGAGTCCTGATCGAGATCAAATTCGAGGTCGATAGCTTCAACGAAGAAGAACTAGGAAATCTGTATCAGTATATAGGCTTCCAAGTGCAGAACGGTTCGAAATCTGTACGTGATCCGCGTTCATATGCTTGAAAAAGAAATAAACGTTAGCACGCCAATCTTCAACAAGAAGTTCAACAACATATACTCCGTAGAGGTGTCCAAGGATGGTGTCCTGAAACCGTAAGGAGAGATCAACATAGCGGACATACTGTTGTGAAACATCAACATCTCAACATCGAGGGTGCATTTGCTAAGACGGCTCACGCATTCCGGAAAGAAGTTGCCCGATGATGGTGGAACGTGTCCTTCATGAAAACAGGAGAATGAGCTGCCGCTTATCAATGCACAGTAGAGCAATCGCACCCGTCAACCAAACCTTCAGAATCAATCAAGTTAGATTAACGCCACTGACATCATCAGAGCTAGACCTGCCTGCATATTTCGAGCACGGTACAACTTCAGTTGAACTTGCAACCAATCAAACTGCAAATTCCCGGGATCATCAGGCTCTTTTGTGAGGCACCCACCAACAGCTATAAAGATGATTTCAGAGAGTATGCTAAATTGTCATAACATGACAAAGTACCTTTGTTGGAATCATAAAAGTACATGGTGTTCAAACTGATGACCGCTAAGGCGTTTGGCACCACCTCAACCGAATAGTATGCACCTCGTTGAAACACTTGGTGGTAAGGAAACGGTATGAATGGCTTCCATATCCTAGAAGACGGCCAAATTGTACGCGGATACTGATGGCAAAGAAAAGATACGTACGAAGAATATTCATTCGTAATGCTGTTAGGACCTATGACGATGTTTGAGTGAAATATATACAGTAGCCGTGGATCGAAGTTGACCTGGAGTCAGGATATTCTGATATGGATGAACGTAAGCGAGACAAGGCGTATATACGAAGGAAAAAGCTCGTACATGTGCTGTGCATACAGCCGCCAGTTAGAGCAGTGTAAAGATATATTTATATTGAGCCAGTTAATACTCACGCCAGACATCGTTGTTACCTTATATATTGTGACGTTCAGGATGCTGTCAAAGGAAAACCCCCAAAACACTTACCTAGGCTAGGGATAACTGGTATACCCCGACTCGAAAATATCTTCTCCATCCGTTTGGCGACCACGCTATTGAGATCGTATATCTCACTCGGAGTTCGGGGAAGCTTGCGGTCGTTGTCGTGCCTGGTAGTGGCATTGATGATGAACACGCGGTAAAAGAGGGAGGGAGGGAGGGAGGGAAGGGGGGGGAAATATAAAAGTTTCACCTGGCATTGTCGCCTGTCCCTGTTCACATTGAGTACAATTGAGTTTATGAACAAGTATAACGGCCATATGGCTGCTCACAAACAACAAAGTCGATCTCCTCCGCCCAGTGTTTGTCGAGGACGTCGAGTGTAAAGTTTGTTAGCGTGAAGGGCGAATCACAGTCGCTGAAACCATCCACATGTGTCGGTAAGATGAATCAAGATAGATGGCGCACCAAACTTACGAATAGGGCGTTCCATAATAGTGAGATCTGTTTTTCTTCTTCTTCGGTTTGTTCCTATGACAGGCTTTGGATTGAGATTTGTGAACTTTGTAGTACGGGTCGGGATGCATATCTGTGATCTGGAGGAATCGTCCACGGAGCTGCCGTGGTTCTGGGTGTACATCTCGAGTCAGTTAATCTCACCGAAATGGAGCTGGATAGAGATACAGACTGGTTGCAGGAACCTGGAAGGGAGTTTGAGTCGGGGCAGAGAAAACTTCTGCCAAAGCAAAAGTGAGGACGAGGAGGACGTTGAGAGGGAGCATGGTGGAGGTTGGCAGGAGAGATAGTGGCGCTATCCATCCACAGTGGATCTGTTGAACACGACTAAAACGGAAGAGACAGTTGGCGGTACATGGTCACGGTTCTGGTCGCACGTTTGCATAGTACGCGTGAGGTCATTGGACCGGTAATTGCCGAAGGATCGACGCGTCACCCAATGTAGGATGAAAGACCCCTAACATCACACCTTGAGTCAGTTACGGCAAGACATATCTATATGGTACATGCTAACTAGTACAGAGTGATGCGAATTGTAGTGACAACGATAACATAACCAGGGCAGAACGATAGCCAGTGGTAAACAGCACAGAGAGGAAGAGCAAATCACGCCAATCACTTGGTCTTTATCGACCGTGGCGAACGCTCATCGTGGTCGTGTATCCTGGATGCAGAACGGGGCAAATGAAGAGCCAACAAGATCTCGGCGTTGTTACCGGTGTTTAGGACGTCACGGATGGATTGTTCGGCGAGATTGCACACCTGCGTTATCGCGTCAGCATCATCGTCATCCACCGGTAAGCAAGGTATGATCATCTTACTCTGCTATAACCTCCGAGTTGCAGAGTAGAACGACTTTTGGCGATAGTGTTGTGGATGGCATCATAGGAGTATCTGCGCCTGGATTGCAGGGCATGAGCTGGCCGACCGAGGCGCTAAAATGCCACTAGACTCACAAAACATTGTCGAGCTCTGTCCTAGAACGTGGGAGGATGAAGATGTCGGCGCCACCGAGGTAGCGGTCTAGAGCTTGGTACGCTGCGCATCCAGCGACAAGAGCTTCGTCGAGGGAGAGGTCGGCGTCCCAGGGGGAGCCAAGCTCGCTAATTAGAACAGTAAGCAAACCGCCATGACTTGACTTGACAAGGCAAGGGAGACAGACATACGTGAGATAGCCATGGGCAAGGGCTTCAGGTGAATGAGGAGCGAGGAATCTGTCCATGGAGGTAGTGGCGATGGTGGTGGTGTTGGGTGAAACAGGAAGAAGGATCAAGACCGTTTTATAAAGAGAGAGCCGGGTGTGTGATTGTGCGCGGCAGCAGAGAACGTGAGACAGAAGCAGAGCTAGATGACTCGGTAAGAAATGGTCCAAATTTGACTCAATTTGCGGTATTCAAACGTGCGAAGGCGTGACGTGACTCTTTCCGCGCAGGTCATCAATTTACGCGTGCGCCAGCTCGGGTACCGTTGAGAGAAAAATAATTCTTTGTTGTGCTGGGTATTTTCTTGGCTGATCTCCTTTTATGGCATCTAAATTGTTTGATTTATCACGTTGCAACTTGACAGGACCCATCTGCGTGCTACCGTCATGAATGAAGATGATCCACAACGCTTGTATACTCCGACCAATCCTGAGTTGTCTGCGACTTTTCGTTTCATCTCTGTCGTCAATGCCAAGTTCGGTCTATCACTCGCTTCCTATCATGATCTCTACACTTGGTCGACGGTCAATTTGGCTGAATTTTGGTCTCTCGTATGGGACGAAACGCATGTCGTTGGGGACAAGGGAGTCCATGTTGTCGATGCACAAGCGAAGCCTTCTGATAATCCGCTTTGGTTCTCGGATTCAAAGATTAGTTGGGCCGAAAATATGCTTCGATGTCGCTCAGACAAGGTCGCCATCATCCAAGCCAGTGTGTCTCGTGTGCTTTAGCCCAGTGGCTTAGTATTCGTTCGTCTCATGACAGTCTTGGCAGCCGAACCCATCGCGAATCAATCATCTAGTCCAGAGTTGCGACGCATCACTTACTCGCAACTCTACACCGCCGTTGCTGACCTTGTCTCCGCTCTCCTCAGCAATGGGCTGCAACCGGGTGACCGGGTAGCATCTTACGCCTCAAATTGCATTGTACGTCTACATCCACCCATTGTCTCTACTTTTCCGTCATCTTTCCTTCTCCGCCGTTCGGGTCAAAGTGTGGCATTATCTTCTGATCTCCGCATTATCTAGGAGAATCTAATCGCCTGTTTGGCTACTACAGCGGTGGGAGGGATTTTTGTCACTGCGGCTGCAGATTTCGGACCTGATGGGGTGTTAGAGCGGTACGTGGTCAAGTTGAGCTCCTCCCCCGTCTTCTAATCTGAACACTAGATTTGAACAAGTCCTGCCAAAGTTCATTTTCACTGTTGATGCCGTCGTGTCAGTTCTTTCGTTTACACTCTGACTAAAAATAACTCGCATTCCCATCTATCTTGTACAGCTACAACGGAAAAGTCCACGATCATCTCTCCAAAGTATCAGCTCTCGTACAAGGTTTATCTAAAGTGTCCGATAGTACGGACTTTCAGGTCATCCTCTTGGATACAAATCTCCGCAACAAGGACCCCGTATCGGTACCAAATGGATACATTTCCTGGAATGACTTTCTCGTACAAGGCCAACACTGCAAGCTCGGACGCTCAGAATCTGGCGAGATACTCTGGCACCGTGGCTCCTTCAATGATCCGTTGTGGATATTGTTCAGTTCAGGAACCACAGGTAGATGAACTTCTTTTCCTTGATGTCGTGTTATTTCCGACGCTTGATCATCTAGGTCGTCCAAAGTAAGCGGCGTTATGGATCTTCTCCGTTTATCTGACACGCAACAGGCCTATCGTACATCGCGCGGGTGGAATGCTCTTACAAGCAAAGAAAGAACTTGTCATATGCGGTGGCCTTCAACCCGATGACGTTTTCTTCTATTACACTACAACGTTGGTGCTCACTTCTACACAACCCATACGCTCCTTACCGTGTTCCTTAGCGGATGGATGATGTGGAACTTCTTGGTCGGCGGCTTAAGCCTGGGTTGCACCCTTGTGCTGTACGACGGCAGTCTTTTGCGGGATGCATCCCTTCTGTGGCGGCTTGTGGATGATCTCGGCATAACAATTTTTGGAACAAGTGCAAAGTACATTGACCAGCTTTCTGTGCGCGAGAACCTTTCCCTATGTGATCTCGGCCTCACTTATGTGCCTACGCAGAAAAAGTACAAGCCTCGCGAGCACCATGCTCTAGTTACGCTTCGGCACATTTATTCTACAGGTTCTCCGCTCTCTGCCCCGCTGTTCGATTATGTTTATCAACACATTCATCCTACCGTTCTGCTGGGATCAATAACCGGTGGGTCGGAGTCACAGGACTCGTCAGGTGTGTCTAATGAAAACCAGGTGGAACTGATATCTGCTCACTGTTCGCGGGAATGTGCGATGCTTTGCCTGTGTATCGTGGGTTTGTGCTCTGTTCTATCTTAAATCCGAACTAGGCTCAATCCATGAAAAGCCAAATTCAGTGTAGAATGTTGGGCATGGCGATCGAAAGCTTCACTTCGCACGGGACTGCTACTGCACCCGGCAATACCGGAGAGCTGGTGTGCTTGAAACCCTTTCCATGCATGCCTGTCGGGTTTTGGCCCCTACCTGGATTCGGGACCGATGAAGCGGTTTTAACTGCGAAAGAACGATACAAGCAGGCGTATTTCTCGGAGTTCGACGATGTTTGGTGTAAGCCGTGTTTTACTTCCGTTCGGAGGCTGTTATCCTAGACATAGAAACAGATCATGGTGATCACATATGCATAACCAGTTCGCAGTCTGGTAATGGTGGAGGCGTGATTATGTTGGGTCGTTCAGATGGCGTGCTGTGAGTTGCGCCACCTCACCTCAGTTTATGATTGATTCCATGCTGCGCGCGACAGTAATCCAGGAGGCATCCGGTTCGGGTCTGCAGAAATCTATGACGTGATCGATCTCTGTTTCCCCCCCGGCGATGATGCCCTGGAACCTGGGGTTGTTGACTTTCTTGCTGTTGGCCAATTAATTGAAGGGGGTACAGATGAACGAGTCGTCCTCTTCGTCAAGCTGCCTGAAGGCCACGTCTTGTCTGAAACTAGTTTGGAGGAAAAGATCAAGGCTGAGATACGCAAGAGACGGAGTCCCAGGCATGTTCCAGCAAAGGTAACTAGAAAGGAGCTATTGTTCCCGTAACAATGCTCATAACGTGAGGCTATAGATCATACAAGTGCCGCAAGTACCGTACACGTTGAACGGTAAACGTGTAGAGGTGCTGATCAAGAAGGCAAGGTGTCGCAGTTCTTCCAGTGTTTGCGTGGCTAAGCGATCATGCAGATAATAAACGGCGCCCCTTTATCGAGTGTGAACCCGGCAACGTTGTCTAATCCTGAATGCCTCGAGTTCTTTGCAGATGTGGGCGTGTTATTGCGCAATGAGGTCACTTGATTTGTTACATTGCATTAAATTGTAGAGCAAAATTTGGTGTCGCTGTACGATTACTTTTAGTTGTAATGCAAAGTCGGGAGCAAAGCAGGAGCTGAGGAGGGAACCTGATCGAGGATGTGGCTGTGCAAAATATCGCCTCGAGGTTGGTCCCGATAAGATAAAAATTTGATTTTTCCGACTGTGCATCCGGTTTCCGGGAAATCTGGGTTGCTAGTGAACCAACACGAGCAGATACTGTAGTTGGTACGCAACCTTCCTCTTCGTTTCTTAATCTCCCGCTTACAACTCTAATCTGACGTTCTTTCCACAGCGACAATCCTTCCAGGTGTCAACAGTCCTTTGCTAGAGGTTCTCTGGTTCATGTTAGCCTCGTGTTCGACTTGAGACTAACCAACAGTGTATCATGAGGTTGGCAGATATATAAATACAAATGTCACGACATTTTTCTTCGTCTCATCTTGTGTCCCTCCTGCAGGTCCCACATGCCTACCCTATTCAACACCGTCCGGACATGCATTTACCGTGGGTCCTTGCGCTCATTTCACCGGGAAACGTACTCATGTTGCACAGTCTCTGCATTCGTTTGCACTATCATTTGTTTGGCGATGGCGGCCCATTTCGAGGCAGTCCTAGCATCGTCCGATCTCAGTGTGTATCTAAACCTTTCGCCCTTCACAGTATGGCTGATTTCATTTCATCAGCTCGTTTTGTTCCCTTCGCTATATTTGTCTGCTCTGCTAGCATGCTCATCATCATCGCACTGTACGCCCCCGCGAATCTTTAATTGCTGCGTTCATTTCCCAACCCATTCTCCCTGGCATTAGGCTCGGGTTCAGTTTCTTCCTGCGAGAGCGAAATCCAATATCAACCAGGATCGAGCTCGGATGTTTGGGACTTGCGGGTGTGTTGTGGCTAGGTGCGGTTCCCGACCCACTTGTTGTTCCCGTTATATACAACTTAATCTCTATTTAAACAGTTCTCGGTGTATATTTGGCAACATCAGAATCGCAGTCTGCGGACGTCCAGTGCTTTGCTTCAGAAACGTCCACCGCCGTTTTGGATGACTCTCTCGCAAGCTGTGAGCGAACAATTTTCTGACCCTGGTTCCCCGAATTGATGGGGTATTGCAGTTCACACAGACCAATATCAAGCGATGTATCGGGTATTAAACGTATTTGCATTGATTAATGCCGTCCTTTGTACGTACCACCCGACTTTCGGCTCATAAAAATTCTCACCCGAGGGATCTCAGTCCTAGTTTGCTGCGTAGGACTCTTGTTCTTGGCAGTACGAAGACACCGTAAAGGTGACGACCACATGTGGCATGGTCCCGTAACGTCCTGTGCTTGGTTCAATGACTACGGGAAGAAGCAACAGAACCGGAGCCAGAGTCAGAGGAACATCCTTCCGACGCAACAGGCCCAGACTCGTGAGGTGTATGTTGCGCCACTGACCGCCCCACCGGTACCGTCCAAACAGCGTCACCAGTCATCACGGTCGAGAGGTCATTCACAGTCAAGAAGAGGAGGGCCTTATACAGAGCGGTATCCGTCGTCAAGGTCTCACGGACGACAGGCTTCAGGAAGTACCTCGACAAATGATATTGAGAGTGGGGTGATGCGAAATCCGAATCGGACAGCAGGAGGTCCACGGGTTACGAAGCGGTAGTGTAGATTTAGGGACATGTATCTGTTACGAATAGATAATATATTTACGACTGAACCACGGCAACTTGGAAATCCATCCGTCACGTGCATGATCAACAAAAATCGGACGCGAATATTAATGGAAGCTGTTTTCTTGTCCTTCATTCTCATTGCTTGGCCTGCGAAACCTTTTCTCGACGACCGACGACTACGATGACTATCCGTTTTATAAATTGGCGACTGGCGTTTTATAGTACGTGCCCAATTTTCTGGTATGCCGTTCGATCTTGAACTGATCGGCCCCCAGTCTCTGTATTTCTCTGTTCAGGTCTGTCATCTGTCCCCTTGGAAGGATTTCGGGCTCACGATGACCAAGGCACTGTGCTTGGTCTTGCTGCGCATCTTGCCAGCGTATTTCTCCCAAATTTGCACAGTAGGCCGATGGTTTAGACGTCTTCTGCAGTGGCGCTGATGGAACTGCTAGAGGACTTTACGATTTTTGCCTTGATCATTCCATCTCTAACTATTTTTGCGTTCATGATAACGTGAGTGCTTCTATGCGGATTGGCGGTTTTCTGACTTTTCTAGGTTGCAATGGGCGCAACCTATAACTGAGGCGGTAGTGCTGTTCATTCTGGCGGCCCTATGGCTTGGTAAGCCTTCACTCTGCATCTCGAGGGAACGTGTGTGATAACAATTTTAGCCATGGGCGCCTGGTCAGAGTAAGATATCACTTATTACGTCGCATTCGTTCTTCTGATGATATCACGGCTAGCGATATAATCGGCAATTATCAGTGCGATTCGCTGGCTGGACAGAGAGTTGCAACGTCCAACGGAGATAGCGAGTATTGTTTGCTGGACCAAGAGTAAAGTTGCTCATATCTTTCCCTCAGTGAGCGCCCAATCATATTGTTACGAGATAAAAGTCATCGAGGCTTTCTCTTGGATGAACTTTGTACTTTTTGCGTTTTCATTCATCATTCTTCTCGCCCTGGTGACTCAAGCACAAAAATTGGGTCGATACGATATCTGGACGGAGCCCATAAAAGGTGTGCTTATACTCGCATTTAAGAGTTCTATCAACGTCTAACTTTGTCCTTCTAGAACTCGGATGGTCGGTTTTGTGCTTGTTCTTCCGGGGCGCTCTTGTTTACCCAATTGAAATAGGTTCGGAGAGTGGCCTGGCTATTACAACACTTCTCCTGGCATGCCTCACTACCCTGTCGGGGGTTATGTCCCCTACGGTGTCCCTATGCAAGCAGGTTCTGGTATTACCCAGCAGGCCGGAAACTCAATTGTTATCCAGCCTGGTGTCAATGGTCAACCTCCCACAATCACGCAAGTGCCCTTTGGCACTGCTATCCATCCTTAATGATTCAAAATTGAATTTCTTACGAACACACGAGGCAGCTGGTTTGGTCTATCTCACGTCATATCACTTTAGAACATTGTAAACGGCCGTTCTATTTACGTTTAAAATGGAACACATGTCAATCCTCATGTTGGTCATGCATTTTCCTCGTGATTCTAAGTGTGAAATACAACCGACGAAGCTTGCTGGTCATCAGTCGAGGCAATCTTGTCCGATCTTGTCCGTACCCTGTACTCTCCATTCCAATGCCGTCCTTGTTTCGCGGGAACCCCGTTAGGTCTACCAGTGCATGTGAGTTTCCCTGGCATTAGAGGTCTATCATTCACTCATCTGCACTAGTGGTTACAACACTCGCAGTGGGATGGATGATAACCAAACTGCTGTCTTCTCTTCGTACGTTTCAAGGCGACCCGTCACGGTCTCAACGACTGTTCACCTCGATATGACATAGATGCCTTCCATTTGACACAGACGTCGGTTGCCATGATGGCGATAGCGTCTTTGATGTTACTGTAGGTGATGTTCGCCACTGCCCGACATCCAGACTTAGAGGATCATGCAAAGGGTGATGCTTCATCATCGACGCGAAGGTCAGCTCCTGACGCAGACGCAAGAAGAGATGGTTCTGATCGCTGGGTTCGGGCTATTCTGGGTCGGTAAGTGGATTTTTTCTGTGGGGTGATTCAGACTGCCGAAATGTCTTTTAGCCACGCTTTTAGGTTGGAGGGCATTCACACACGGTAGTGTGAGTCCAGGACAAGCTGGAGCGATGGGAGCAACGTCGAGCCATCGAGAAGCAGGATTCACTGGTGGTGCCTTGCCTTATCCGTGCTCAGCCGATGATATCTATTGTGTTGTAGAAGAATGGTCATTCTTTTAGGGACGTCGAGGTACGATCCCCGTATTGAATCTATTCTTTTTCGTGTGTAGCCCCGTTGACTGAGCGCGTCAGATAAAGGGATCATGGTGCAATGCGACGGTCATGAACCATCCCCAAGCATCCTGGTGGCATCAAAAGTATCGTTGAAATAAAACATGTGCGGTTGGATAGCCAAATGCTGGTGATAATTGATATGTCGGCGTTGAAACTTGAATGATGGGATCCTTCATGGAAACACCTAAATAATGATACAAACATAAAGTTTTCTAGTCACCATACCTTGTTGCCATAGTGGAATGCGGCGCAATATGTTGAAAAGCCATACAACAGTATGCAAGGCGCAGTCAACGGTCTAGTCGCTGATGTCAAAGGCAACTTGGAACCGGCTGGGCTCGGCCCGGTGACTCGCCCTTCATTAACAACCATCTCCTCATCCCTCACAGAACATGATAAGTGCCTTTCCTTACTATTTCTATATTACTGGCTGATAATCCTTACCGGTAATCACGCTTCTCCAAGCAAGCGTCGCATCGAAACCGATGTCATGAAGATGTATGTTTAACATATCACTTTCGATGTCGACTCACTTCGCTCCCTAGGCTCATGTCCGACTACGAGGTCTCGCTCGTCAATGACAGTATGCAAGAGTTCTACGTCAGATTCTATGGGCCAGCTGAAAGTGAGTCGAGTTCTGTGGCAGATGCAGTGGGCTAATGCATAGGACAGCACCCTTTGCTGGCGGTGTATGGAAGATCCATGTCGAACTGCCAGACCAGTACCCCTTCAAATCACCCAGTATCGGATTCATGAACAAGATATTCCATCCCAACATCGATGAGCTGTACGCCTTGCTATCTTCCTTCATCCGTGCCCTACTCACAACATCAGGAGCGGGTCGGTTTGCCTCGATGTAATCAATCAAACATGGTCTCCAATGTTCGGTACGTCCCGCAATTGTTCATGTTGCCGCCCTGACACTCGTCTAGATATGATAAACATATTCGAAGTGTTTCTCCCCCAGCTCCTCAGATACCCAAACCCGAATGACCCTCTGAATGGCGAAGCGGCTGCGCTGTTAATGCGCCATCCGAAGGAATATGAGGCAAAGGTCAAAGGTGAATAAATGCCAATGCTTCATCTATACGCGTGTCAAGCTAATGAAATGATTAGAATACGTCCAACGGTTTGCCACCAAGGAAGCTGCTGATGCTGCTACAGACAGCAAAGAAGATGAGGATGAAGACGAGGAAATGAGCGACATCGGGAGCATCAGTGACGCCGAGTGAACATCCATTTGCCGTCCTATCTCCTCCTCTGTTCCCGCATTTATTTATCCTGGTCCATTGATGATCAATCGTTCTCTATCTAATCATCTGTATGATGTCGTTGCGCAGCTTTCCTCCTCTAACTGTACATACCTAGCGTTCAAGGCCACTTGACGTACATATCCTCATCTCACTGATTTCTTGCTCTTCGTCTACATGTAGTCTCCGACAATAATAGATGGATGGATATATCAACTGGGTGTATGCGTGTTTGAGGGATTAGGTATTGATTGAGCAAGCTCTTCAACCTTCTTCTGCGTCTCCATTGCCACCTGAATCACAAGGTTATTAGTGGAAGCTCAAACATGTACAGTAAGCCCAAACCTTGACAAGGTTATCGATTTGAGTTTTGATGTTGTCCATGGTGACTTGTTTCTGCTTGCTTTCTTTCAGCAACTCTTCCTTTGCGAGCATGAGATCTCGTTTCCGCTGATCAAGTCTTTCGAGACGAAAGGTAGCAAGGATCAAGAAGAAGAATTGGCGTCAAGGACTGACCTCTGCCGCTCAACGAGTTCAAAACTCAACCGGTTCAGCATCAGTTGATGCTCGTCTGCCAGCACTTCCTCCGTCTTCGCTTCCTCCGGGGCACGTTCTTTGAATTCTTCAAGGGAATAAAGTGAGACGTCCTGATATATTGAGCTAAAAGCCGGTGAGTGACGAAGAAAAGTAATGGCCAAAGACGTACGCAAACTGTCGACACTTTTCAATCTCCCTCTCCAGGTGCCGCTTTTCATAGAGGAGATTCTGCAGGCCAAGATGAGACTGGTCCATGTCATGGCGAGCAGCGGCTGTCGCGTCTTTTGTGTGGCGTGTAGCGAGATTGGCAGCGCGATTCAGGGCCTTGAGCTTAGCCATGAGTGCAGACGCCAAAATGTGGGTAGTAGCAAGATCATTTCCGGCGCCATCCTTCTCGACGAGGCGGGAGAGGTCGTCGAAGAGAGAGGTAGAGTTGAAATCCATGTGTGACCGTCACAGGATGTGACCGGGCCGGAAAGGGGTCCAAAGGTGCGCTTGCTGAGTGATGATGATGTTAGTGATTACGCCAGTTACTCAGGTTACTCCGAGTCTCTCATTTACCGCTCACTCTCATCATCCACCTCTCTATCTTCAACTTTCACGACAAAAATGACACGCCAGCGTTCGATGTCCGGCACTATTCCTTCCATGGAGACCTCCCACGAAGAGCTCAAGGACAACACCGTTATCGTCGGTCAGTAATCTCGTCCTCATCTCGACAACGGACAGCCAGCTCTGACTTTGTTCGTATTCCAGTCCTTGGTGCCTCTGGTGACCTTGCCAAGAAGAAGGTGTTTTCGTCCCTCACTCACTCTTGAATACTGCTTAATGTAACTTTCTCAGACTTTCCCAGCCTTGTTCGGGCTTTACGCTCAAAACTATCTTCCTCGCGATGTAAAAATCATTGGCTACGCCAGAACTAAAATGGACTTGCCCGAGTTCCATAAACGCGCTACCTCCTATATCAAAAACCCTGACGACAGCCCCGAGATTGCTGCCAAAATCCAAGAGTTCAAAGACATATTAACTTATCTTGCTGGCAGCTACGAGGACGGTGGCGCTTTTGTCGAGCTGAATAAGTGCCTTGAGGACATCGAGGCCGGATACCAGTCCAAAGAATGTAACAGAATTTTCTACCTCGCTCTTCCACCGAGTGTGTTCATCCCCGTCGCCAAGAACCTCAAAGAACACTGCTATGTTACTAAAGGTGGTGTGAACAGAATCGTCGTGGAAAAGCCCTTTGGGAAGGATCTCGAATCTGCACGAGAACTGTTAGGTTCGCTCAAGCGATACTGGACAGAGGACGAGACCTTCCGCATTGACCATTACTTGGGAAAAGAAATGGTCAAGAACATTCTCGTCTTGCGGTTCGCCAACGTTGCCATGAATGCAACATGGGACAAGAATTCCATCAGTAACGTCCAGATAACATTCAAGGAGCCGTTTGGCACCGAAGGAAGGGGTGGGTACTTTGATGAGTTTGGAATGATCCGGGACGTTTTGCAGAATCGTGAGTCAGATTTCAGTCGGTAACAGCATGCATTATAATGGTGCATAGATTTGTTGCAGGTCCTCAGTATCATTGCAATGGAGAGGCCAGTGTCGTTTGCTGCCGAGGACATTCGGGACGAAAAGGTATGGGGCAACCAATTTGTGGGGCGCGAACCTGCCGACTGACCCTTGGCCAGGTTAAAGTCCTTCGTGCCATACCACCCATCGAACGTGATGACACACTATTGGGTCAGTACGTCGCAGCCAATGGAAAACCAGGGTACCTTGATGACGACACCGTCCCCAACAACTCTGTTTGCCCTACTTTTGCCGCCACTACTCTGTGGATCCATAACCCCCGGTGGGAAGGTGTACCATTCATCCTCAAGGCTGGTAAAGGTATTTAGCTGTTTCTCTTGTTATATATTCTATGCGCTTACCTCTTCGCAGCCTTGAACGAAGCAAAAGTCGAAGTCAGGATTCAGTTCAAGGATGTCACCCAGGGCATCTTTAAAGATATTGCCCGCAACGAGCTAGTCATACGGATCCAACCATCCGAGGCGATTTATCTGAAACTGAACGCAAAGACCCCTGGTCTTTACACCCGTGCGATGCCGACCGAGATGGACCTTACGTACAAGAGGCGATTCACCGATACGAAGATTCCAGAGGCGTACGAGGCCTTAATATTGGATGCACTGAAGGGTGACCACAGTAACTTTGTGAGGCACGATGAGTTGGACGTTGCATGGAAGGTGAGTTTTGATCGGACACGGCTCTGCGACGGTGTGTTGATAAGCCTGGGATGGGGCTCCGTAGATTTTCACTCCGATCCTCCATTGGATTGACGGTAAAGACGGGCCCAGGCCCAAACCCGTAAACTACCCATATGGATCTCGCGGACCGAAGGAGCTGACGGCGTTTGTGACGAAATATGGTTTTAAACGTAACACGGAAGGATAGTGAGTACATTACTACCAATAGCATGTCATATGTCGTAACCTTTTTCTCGCAGTGTGTGGCCTGTCTCAAGCCTTGCGGCATTGTAGACTCTAAAATGTCACATTGAAGCCAAGCTGAAGCATACGTAGCAAATTAACTGTACAATAACGGTAGAATGCGTTTCATAAGTGTATTATTCTGAACTGGAATCGATATTTTAAACCTGCCTTTTTATTACGTGTGATCTCCGAATTCCACGTCGAAATCTTTCTGTGTAATATCCCCACGTTTAACCTTTTTGGCCATCCTCTCCTCCTTAACGAGTTCAGCCCAATCCTCACCATCCTCCTTCTCGTCCTCTATTTGACGCTGCCGCTTTCTATCGTTCTGCTGGGCTTTCTCCCACTCTTTCTTCTTCATCCTCTTTTCTCTCCTCCGCTCCTTCTCTTCCTGCTTTACAGCTTTGTTGCTCCATGCGGCCTTGGCTTTTCTCTTCTGCTCGTTTAGTTCTTTTTTCTTCTTGTGCTCTTCCTCGGATGCCTTGGGCTTTGCCGCTTCGGACAGTCGCTTGGCTTCCTGTGCAGCGTCGAGATAGGCATACGTATCCCACTGCCAACCATACATGAGAATGTTATCATGGCAAAATACAACGAAGCTCACATCAACATCAGCATCCCGCCATCTTTCCCGATCTGCATTCTTGAGCTCTGGCATTCTAGGTAAGCGAAGCAGACCGTAGCTCTTGGCTGCACCAATGAGGTCAAAGTCCTTTATGCGAAAGATGTACGACGCTTCATGCTTAGAGTAAGCGCGCACGAAAGATACAAATGCTTTCATGGCCTTGGAAGGAAAACATTATATAACGATGTGTTGGGTGAGAGAGAAGACCGACATACCTGATCATTTAGCGCGCGATCCGCAGTAACCTTAGTCCAGATTTTTTTCAGGAATTCGCCAACTCCAGGATCTTCAGGACGGGTCTCTTCGTTTTCATCGCTCTGTTCCCCATTGGCTAGGAGAAAGCCATGCTGCTTCAAAGGAATTTTCCGGATAGCCATGAGATCTACGTATCCTACCTCCTTCCCGACTAAGATAACCCAGGCTGTTCCACTTCGACCTGCCCTGGCCGTCCTTCCGCATCGGTGAGAGAATGCCTTTGTATCCGTCGGAGGATCAAATTGAATTACTATATCAACGTGTGGAAGGTCAAGCCCCCTGGCAGCAACATCTGTTGCAAGTAGGATAGAAGGTGATGCCGGTGTAGAGATGGAAGAAGAGAACGCGGCGAGCGTTCGCGTACGAGCAACGGGAGTGAGATGACCATGTAGTGAATGGAGAGTATATTGCGAGGGGAGCAGAGAAGGCAGTACGTGGTAGAAGTAGTCGACACATGCGCCAGTGGCAAAGTATACGATGAACTGTGATGATTCACACTCATGTCGTATGATACGCGTTAGCTGTAAAACTTTTTCCGACGCGCGACACGTCAAGTAAAGGTTAGAGAGTCTGTAAAGGTTCAGTTTCACGTTGAAAAGATAGTTAGTTGACCCACTTTGCTGGTGTCCGCCGTTCTTCTATGACCGTCTGCCCTTTCTTTGACTGTATTTTGACGACCAGACGTGCAGGATTTCGCAGTCCTACTCTCACCAGCTCTGACATCGCATCGGCATCAGTCATAGTCGCGCTGAACAGGCCTGTTCGACGTTGTTTGGGGAGATGAGTGAGTATCTTGGTAATAGTAGTTTGGAAGCCAAGGTCCAAGAGTCTGTGGTGTATAAGGATGGGGGTTATCTCAATAATGCAAGTGCCTCATACCGGTCAGCCTCATCCAGAACCAATACTTCCAGCTCCTTCGCACTGACATGCGACTTCCCTTTACCTAGCAGAAACTCTTCTATCCGTCCAGGAGTCCCAATGACTATGTCTGATCCACATTCTAGGAAACGCTGAACATCTTGTGCAGGTGATGACTCTGTCGAAGATATCAGCAAAAGCGGCAAAGGGAACCCTTGCTGTGTCCCTTCCAATGATTGTGCTGAGAGGAAGGTGGTGAATATAGAATGTATCTGCGTCGCAAGCTCTCTATATAAATAAGATCCAGAACATAGACTAGAGCACGAACACGCACCTAGTGGGACTTATAACGAGGGCACCGATCTCATTCTGGCGTAGCCGCCGTTCTCGTCGAAGGAGACGCTCGAGAATGGGTATTACAAAGGCAAGAGTCTTTCCTGAGCCAGTGACGGCTTCGACAACGACATCCTTATTCTTCATGAATAGAGGTATTGTGGAAGCTTGAACAGGCGTCATTTGGGTGTGTCCCATGGCCTGGATTACATCGAATCTGTTCTCAGTAATCGATTACAGAATGGACAAGGAAGATTAGAGCTAGGACACACATCCAAGGGGTCAAAGAGGTGGGCAGGGAGCTCCATGAGCCTGCAAATGCAGTTGAAGCCATGGCCGTTGGAAGGGAAAATTTGTTTTTGAAGGAGGCGCGGCATTTCCCGCATTGGATAGTACATGGATAATCTACCAAACAATTCGTTTCCTCTTGGGAATCCTTCAGCAGCATCCAAACGTCCTTAAGAGTGCCCTGGGAACCCAGACATTTGCTCCACCCATTTGTAACCCTTTTTTCCAGCACGACAATGTGTTGCCGCTAGAATATGTGTTGCCAAGTTTTTTTCGAATGAGATTCGAGTTGCACTGGCTTGCAGTTTTATGGCTTCGTAGAATTATCATCTAGAACAAATCTGAGGTCATCTTTTATCCAGACAACAAACGAATACGAGCCTGTCCTCGATGATGTCTTGATATCCTTCTTGCCCAAGAGGGCCTCCTTCCAGGTAATTTCCTCCTTCTCCTCCTTCGACGACGGCATCGCGAGTTTCCTCAGCCGCTGTAGTTCCGTCCTTGACAAATGCGTCCCCGAACGTAGCTGTGTGATAACGTCTTCCAGTATCGAAATTTGCCCAGTAACGCGTCCTTTCTCTTGACGCATAGAATGTTTCTGGTAAACGAGATGCACGGAAAGTGACATGATGGCCATGGAGTACAGAACGTGTGGAAGGTAGCTGGTACTCATCGTGGTGCGGAGGGGAGGTACGTGTTTGATGGCACCAAGCATGACGTTTTGGGTATCCATTATTTGACCTACTGCAATAAGATACACAAACATACAACTTCCAAGTCGCTACAAGCACTAATCGTTTATATAATATCCTTCTCTACTACTACTATCTCGTCATGATCGTGAACCATTAGCGTCAATTTTCACCGTCTTGACTCTTGTACGAAGATGTGGCCGCATCTGCTCACATTTAGCATCCGTTCAAATACAAAAAATGGGCAGACTTACCATCTCTTTGAACAAAGGCAGTAAATTAGGAATATACACCAACTCTGGTGGCTTAATCGTCTCGGCGCGTTTCTTTTTCCGCTTCGTCTTGGTCTGTTTGGGTGTACGAGACAGAGCAAACGAATCAATGGACGACCTTGATGACACGGATGTCCGCGACGTTGATGACTTTGGAGAAAATGCCCCAGGGGAATCAATGGACCTGGCAGAATCCATGGAAGATTTTCCCGGCGTCCGCGGCAGTTGCTTGGACGAATTGAGAGATGATCTGGACGAATTGGCCGATCTGCATGAATCAAGCGATGCTTTCAAAGGCATCGCACTCAATGCAGGTGATCTTGCCGGACTTGGAGGAAGGGGCTTTTTCATGGAAGCTGCGACGCTCTTTGGAATCGGTGGAAGGGGCGGCGCATCATCTCTCTCTCGTTTCCTCCCTGTCACCACTCCTTTGATATCGCTCAATGACCGACTCAATGACAATCTCCGTGTTGGTGTGACTGTCCCACCTTCATCTACCGTCTGACTTGTTATGTGTTCAGGCCTAGAGATCGTATGCATCCTGGACGGCCGACTGGGTAGACTCTCTTCTGTACTTCCTGACTCTGAGCCGGAATCAGTTTCGGTATCATCTGTGCTTCCAGATCCGGTCTCTCCAGAGTCAGAGTCACTGTCTTCATCTTCACTGCTGTCCTCAGCCCTCAATTCCTCGGCATCGCCACTGATCAGTTCCCCGAAGCTTATCTCGCCCACAACCCCATCAACCATTCTCCTCGTTTCTTCCTCTTCTCTTTCTCCCTCTCCCTGCACGGCTTGGCCCCCGGCAAATCTCCGCCGAACCTTCTCTTCATACACCACTTTCATCTTGTAGTGATATACCGCAACTTTATCCACTTCGTCCATAATCTGCTTTCTCTCTGCAGCAGACTGCGGAAGCAAGAATTCCAGGCTGATAAGGTTGTCGCTTGTTGAGATCCCTTCGCGAATGACGGTGATGAACAATTCTATCCACCGCATCAAACTGTCAAAAAGGCCCTCTCCCTTGGAATGCACTTTATGCACAAACTGATAGAACGATTGCTCATGCCGCTGGACGAGGTCGATGAATGCTTGAACTGTGCGATTTGGGTCCTCTTGACTTACTGTAAACAAATTAGACGAGGAACGAGACAGATCGGGAACACGCACACTCCTCAACGCCCTCTACAGTCTTGATCAAATCGTTGACAAAACTTTGTAAATCTCCCAACGAGTCTGCTATTGACGCTGCACGATAAACTGTCGCCAGTGGTGTATAGAAAATTGTAATGATATCTTTCAGCAAATCTGCTGTGAAGCCCTACAAAAACTATTTAGCATCGCAGAAGAGAAAAACGGACGCGCACACCTCAAATATCAGCGCAATTAACTGCTCTCGATCTCTTAGTCTTGTGTACAAGGAAGCAAGGACTTTCAGATCTTCATATAGCCAAGCATCTTCGTCCATCGGCCCATCGTCATCATCAGAGTCATCCAGGCTTTCACGATAGCGCATGTATATCCCGTGTGCCCGATGCGCCTTGGCAACACGATGTAATTGAGCACGCATTAGCGCAGGCTCATCCCCAGAGTGTAGCACAACAGTTAGCAGCGGCAGTTTCTCTTTAGTCGCGTCGGCCTTGTACATGTCTTGGATTTCCCTCGGTCCATAAATAAATAGACGAATCTTCTCACACATCATTGGGTCGTCAACCTTGGCTTTGACGGCTTCGATCTCTTCTTCCAAGGCTCTGGTCTCTTCTGTGAGAGAGCTAGAAAACATTCTGTAATGCTTGTAAGAGTACATCCCCTAACCTCGATGGAAACAATTTACCTCTGGAGCAACGACCTACCCCCAAACGGTTGTGCCAGGAAGAGATCCAGGACACTTCGTATCATTCCAATAGGATTCGAGATTTTCAATGCGGCCTTAAGCATGAAATATGGCATAAGACCGTGCAATCGCTTCAGGCTTGCGAATGTCTCGGACGAGTTGTCTGAGGCAACGAACTGGTGGAAGACAGTCGAGGCCAGCGATATTCGTGCCCATTCCAGCACGGCCTGGTAGTTGACCGGCAGAGATCGGATATCGGGAGTTATCTTAATGGTGGCGAACACGTTCGTTAGACCATCTTTGCCCATCACGTCCCCCTTGACACTTTTGACGGCCTCTCTGAGTCCATCGACACGGTTCGCAATTTCCTTAGCGAAGCGCTTTCGCCCATCCTCTCTAACGCGATCTGCCTCTTCACGCTGTCGGGCATCCTCGAACTCGGCGGGAGACAGTGCGGTGGGGCTGGAGAGAAGGAAGGACTGGAGAACGGGAGAAGAGGCTATGACAGATGACGAAGAGAGTAGGGAGTGCAGGTACGCACGCAGGGTCAGTCTGTTTTTTTCGCGGGAAAGTCGGGATGGTGTGGCAGGAACTGAAGATATTGGGAAGGAGGGCGAGTCTGGCGATACGGACTGTGGTACATTAACAGTAGAACGGTCCTTAGCGGGGGGCGGGCGAATGTCTTCATTTGGATGCGCTTTCCGCAGCTATTCAAACAATCAATCAAAGCCGGCGGGAGAAACAGTTACTCTACCTCATTAGCTAGCGTACGAAAGTCTCCATATCTCCGCGAGACAAAGTGATCTGGATGATGGGAACGTCGCGTTCGTATGATGAATTCCTTTAAACGGCTTAGATGTGATCAAGAGCAGATATTCATGCGGCGCACCTCATGTATCCGACTCCGCATACGCCCTTTGTCGACAACCGTACGCACACTGATAATGTTAACTTCAAATATATCTCTCTTGCGCATATTTCTCGCCTGTCTCTTACGAGCCAACTCCTCAAGTCTGTCAAGCTCGGCTTGACCCAGTCTCACTACTTCCTCGGGCTCCGTTAGCTTGGTTGCGGCACCGAGGAACATACTCAGATTTCTCTCTAGTTTGGCTAGAAGTTTCATCCGCGTAGCTTCTTCGCCATTCTCTTCGTCGAAAGGAGAAGTGGATGAGAGATTTCGTGATAGTACAGCCGTTAGGAAGGGCTGTAGCTTGTCTGAGTAGAAATCCTTCGAAGCAGCGGCCATGAACGGAAAAGTAAGTATAAATTGTCGGAACATATATCTCAAGAAAGGCAAATCCAACGGGGTGGCGTCTTTGGGGGGTGGCGAAAACGGCTGGCCAAGATGCGAGAGCGGACTCGATGATGGAGACGACGTCAGTAACGCAAGCTCCTCCTGAAACTGCAGTTGTATGAGGGATTTCTTGAGGTAGTGAGCGCGGATTGAAGACAGGTCAGTGACATTGTTGGCAGAAGTGGGGGGATCATTGACGGGCGATTCGACGGGGACATCCGAAGGGCGGTTGGTGTCAGTGCCAATGTCGAGCGGAATTGGTGGAATGCTACGCGTCGGGCGCCGTGGTCGCAGGGTGTCATTTGGAGTCGGCGACGACGACAACGCCATGGAGAATGACGACGACGAAGGCGAAACACTCCGAGTCCAAGATTACAGTGATTACATCACCACGACCGCGACTATCCCACATGCACAGCAGGCGGGATCATCCCAAAATAGAAGTGCTGCCGACACGTGAAACACAGCCACCACATAAAATACAGTGTATAAATATACAGCTAAAAATTTATTATCTACGGTGCGTACACTCTCTCTCCGCGATAAGTCCTTCCGTTCTCATCTAAGAGTCGTTTAAGCTTTCCCGCAACTTCACGCACATGCTCTCTGCCTGTCTCAAGTCCCTTCCAGGATCCTGCAACTGTCCAGCACTCTGAACAAGCTTTGCTCGCTGCATTGACGGTTTCGAGCTCGAGTGATCCCAATAGGTGGAGTGCGACGACAACGTCGACCAGCCTGCTAAAACCCAGGTACCATGTCTGGAGTCCTGCAGTCTGCGAAGAGGCAGTAGTGGTGTCTGTGACAAGGTAGGAAGATGAAAGTCCGATGCAATGGCGCAACAGTGACTGATCTATGGTGTTAGGCTGGGAGCGAAGGATCTGTAAGACAAAGGCACTGTAGTCTGTCTGCAGATGCATGGCCTAAAAGATAGTATAGGATCAGGATATCAATGCCCAGGACGCATCTGAACACTGACCTCGACGTCTGCCTCCATTGCTTAGAGTAGTACGTAGTATATTTACATCAGAAACGGCTGTACCAAGTCCAAAGGCTGAGCTTGAAGTTGTCGGACTTGAATGTTTTTCACACAAAGGACGCGTCGGCATTTCCCGGACAAATCACACGCTCTTCTTCTCTGCGTGAACGACGATGAACGCTCTCACCAAGGCCCTTACACATATCACCCCACCCCCATTCGTCGCACCTTCAGAGTACCACGGTATCGAGTACAGATGGCGCTTTATGACCTTTCGGCCAGCCTGTATGTCGCACTCACTGCATCCAGAAAGAAAAATTGACCAGAAGCATTACAGACTTTGAAACAGAGGCATATCTTCTGCTTGCATTGGGAGCCTTCGTTTTGGTCGCCATTGTAGGGATCGGCTATAACAAAAACAAAGCCAGTTCTTGGTATGTTTGTCTCGCTAGTATACCGATGTAAATTCAACTTTCCCCCGGCAGGATCGCAAAACAGACGCCGCTATTGACATCCCAATTCAACACTACTTCTCCACTCACCTGGGACGGCTATTCTGATGCTTTCACCTTCTCAACTGGACGCCGTGTCGTCGCTGCTCTTCATACCACCTTTGCCCTCCGTCCCAGGCATGATCCATTCCAGGTCCTGTTCCAGCTTGGTCGGGGCCTGGTGGATGTCCAGTACTCTCCAAGGGATCTCGTAGAGCTCGACTTTACTTTAGCAGAAGGAGCGGTCCCCAATGATTTTGTCTGGGCAGTCGTAAGCAAACGTGAGCTGAGAGGTGTCAAAGATTACCGATGGGACTTGGTACCTCGCACTGCAATTTCTTGGGTAGACCATAGAGCTCATGTGTTGAATAGACTTTCACCAAGACGACAGACCATCCTGCCCTTCCTGCCAACATATCGGTCATGTCCGAGTTCGCAGACGTAACGGAAGCCCTTCTGAAATCTACACCACTTCCCATCCTCCTCAAAGAATTGTCCAATTTGGATGGCTTCCGCTCTCTTAGCGTGACTGATCAGCCCCGTGTTCGACCCGACGTTCCTACATCGCCTTCTAAAAAGCACGTAATCCTCTCTCTCTACGTGTCATCGTCTGCAGTACCTCCCACACTTTTCTCTTTCATCGATACCCTCTCCAGGATCAATTTGAGGCCCGAAACCAAGAATAAGCTACGGAAATCGCGTGAGGAGCTAGAGAAGACCTTGAATCAGGAGGCAGAGAGGGAGGAGAAGGAGAAGAAGGAGGAAGTCAATGAGGATAAGAGGGCAGAAAGGAGGAGAAAGGAGGAGGAAAGAATAGGTAAGCTAAGCTCTGCCGAACAGCAGAAGTACCTCGAACGCGAGCGCAAGCGCAGTCTTCGCAAGTCACAAGGACGGACCGTGCGGAAATAACATGTCAAAAAAGATTGTTCAGATTATTGGAAAGTATTGTGTGTTCTCTCTATATTACAGTAGCATCATCGGGCTATTATTTTTACTAAATTTATTTTTGATCTGTGTCTGACATAAGAACGAAATGACAGACTTGGAGTAAGAATAACGAACCGGAAACCATCTTATTGGCGAACCAAAAATCCGGGATAAAGCAAGCTGCACATCAAGAAGATACAGCCAGGTTCAAATTTCCAGAGAGCTCTACCAGCGCATTTTGTACGCGCCGATAAGAGTGAAGTAACTGGTATTCAACCGGCTACTCCTTAACAATTGAGTAGATTGGATGCATTGAACAGACATAGTGCATAACATAGGCAGATTTCTCAAAGTAGTACTGAATCTAGACCTGCATGTCGTTTCTTGGACAAACGGCGTTCATGATTATCTGCGCCCGAGGACTCCCGCCCACCTTGTTCCTGTCGAGGCCGGCCAAAGCTTTCACCAATCGGTGTGGATGTGCTTAGGGACGACAAAGTGGAGCTGGTGCTAAAGGTAATAAGTGAATACGTGGCGGAGGCGGAGGCAGTTGCAGATACGACGTCTGGGATGCTCCTCTTGCTGCTGGCGTCGTTCCCTAAGAGAGCGCTGATAGGTGTAACTCCGGGATAGAAGCTCGTTGGAATCGTCGGAATGGGAATACTAGATGTGTCTTCAGTAAACTGTACTACTCACCAACAAGAAGACAAACCTTGCGGTAGTACCAAAGTTGGTTGTCAGATCATCAGGGAGTGTCGGTGCGCTATAGGAAGACGGCGCGCTGGTAATAGTCTCAGTAACCACCGCATACGACGAAGCCGAGCCATCCTTAAGGCATGCGCCATCCCCAAACGCTGACCTACAGGTATAGTATATGGAGCTGCCGGAGTCAGTCCACATGTTGAAATCGGTCACCTGTCAAAAAGTGTCTAAGGGAGAATAAACGAGTGAAATAACGCAACGAACGGTCATATCAGTGCATGGTGCACCATCGGCACAGGCAAATTTGATGGGTCCTCTTTGAGTTCCAGATGCACACGTGCCAGACCAGTTAGAGAACGTCATGTTAGATAGCGATACACCGTCCCCAGCGACGGTGCTTATTGATGACCAATACTGGTCCACGTCAAGGGAGTAGGCGTTGGAATGTCCGATAAAGTTTTCGAACACAACATTTGAGACGGATCCAGAGCCACCGTTGCTCTTAATCATCATCATCTGGTTTGACTACACGAAAAATATGAGGTTCTGATCAAACACAAATAGGAAGTTCTCAAGCCTCGATTGTGTATATGTTGCGGTAAATGACATCTGCAATGTCTGTGTCACTTCCCAGGCTTCCAATGGCACATCCGCCGGACCAGTTACAATGGGTGCTCTCGACCAAGATGTTTTTCGCTGGTGACTTGACGGTGACGCACTCATCCTTGTTGGTAACCATGACCTGGAAGTTGCACGAAATTAGCGTGGTTATGCGACTGCTGCTGAGAAGAACCTGCATCATGAATCCACATATTTGTACTCCACACGTCGATACCGTCTAATCCACCTGAGTTTCCACCTCTAATGGCCATGTTGTAGACCTCGCCATTACTACATGTATCCATGCTGAAATGGAATGAAGGAGCTAATGCAAGGTGACGCACAGTGTTAATAAAGACTGGTACAGACTAGATTCCAACAACTTCAAGCTCACCATCGACCAAGGCAATGTCGTGTACACTGAAGTCGCTGACATCATACAGCCGCAGGATGCGCGGCCCGCTTAAGCTTCCATTAACGTGGTACTCGTATCCATACCCTTGCACGGCACCAGACGACGTGCTGCTGAAGAGTTCGAAGTCGCTCGTGTGCTCAATGCTGTGAGAACATGAGAGCCAGGAGAGCAAAATAAGAACGAAGTGGCGGACAATATCATATTTCCTGCATCTGTCCCAGTACGATATATGGTGCCATCAAGCTGGAGTGCCCAAGCAGATCCGCCACTTAAAGTCACCTATAAATGTCGGTTAGAAGGTGTGGCCACATTAAATGTATCACTGACCCATGTTGACAATGCATAGTCTCCCTGGGGAATGACCACCAGGCCACCACTTTGGCAACTACAATGATAGATTTTAGTTTGTGAGAGACGGAACTACAAGTAGGCGCGCACGCTGCAAAAGCTGATGCCAGAGCCGTACCAAGGTCGGTTGATAAGTCGGCAACAGCACCATAATCAGTAACGTCGCATGTCTTGACAGCGGCCTTGGCAGAGTAGGACGTCAATGGACCGACGCTACCGGATAGCTGAGCCGCGATCAACACGGGCAGCAAGAAAAGAAAGGCCAATCCAGAAACTTGTATCATGATGAGACAGAATGAGCGTCTTTAGACAAATGAGCGTAGTGTGCAGCTTGGGGGGAACGAAGATATTTGAGGTACAGTCAACAGGCCCTCAGAATTCTATGCTAGGTACCGGAGATTTGAGAGTAGGCAACATAGCAACCAGAATAGTTACCAGAGCCGCTGGAAATTTGGATATTTCTGGACCGTATCGCACTGATTGAGTGAACTTGGTTCTTTGTGGTCCATCTGACTTTGCTAGTACGTCAAAGAAACGTATAGACACACGATCCTTATAGATTGCCCGTCATGCGCTACTAGAATTACCGCTGTTTCCATGTTCCATGGACCTGGCGGGGAAAATAGCGACACTCTTGGTGGAAACTGGTCCAGTGATGGCCGCCGCCTGGATTACTCGCAAGGCGGAACTAATCCACCTCATGGGTGTAACACCTCCAGAAGGAGAAGCGCAGATAGTTTGATTCCGAGATCCCATGCCTAGCAGTTATACATAGCCTGTCTCTCAGGCTATCTTGCCTCCACGACGATAAAAACCCAGGGCCATTCGCCTATCAATTCCTGGATACCCTGGCACTCCTTTCCCTTCCCTCAGTAACATTATGGTCAAAAGGGTTCTCTGTTCTTTCGGTGTCGATGTCGATGCTGTCTCAGGATGTGAGTACTAATAAGCGCGTCGTCTTCCGAGCTGACTCTCCGGTCTCTATTAGGGCTTGGATCATGTGCGTACCAACCACCATGTCTTGAAGAAGAGAGCGTAAATTTTTACTCCCTAGATGGCGGCGAAGATTCCCCGAACGACATTTCACGGGGAATTTTTGCAGGCGAGGTTGGTGTACTGCGGCTGCTAAAGCTGTTTAAAAAGTACAATCTGAAGGTAAATTAGTTTATGCACTGTCATTTCCGTTTTTGATTAAGTACCAGCGAGTAGACGACGTGGTTTATCCCGGGCCATTCTCTCGAAACCTTTCCCAAGGAGATGGCTGCCGTCCGGGATGCTGGTCATGAAATCGGTCTTCATGGCTACTCTCACGAAAATCCCTGCTCAATGACTGCTAAGCAGCAACAAGAAGTTTTGGATCATACGCATAAGGTTCGCCTAGGCAATTTTGTTCGCGGGCTATGGTACCGCAAATTAACGCCGTATTATGACAGCTGCTGACTGATTTCTGCGGGAAACCCCCAGTAGGCTCGGTTGCTCCTTGGTGGGAGACGTCCAAGTACGCATGTCCGTTTTCTGGCATATTCGTGCCAACGTTATTGTCCGTTTTCTCAGGGAAGGCGTAAAGCTTCTCCTCGAAAAAGGAATTCAGTATGACCATTCCTCCCAGGCGAGTGTACCTTACGCCATGTCGCCCTTTCTTACGAGAGTCTCTTACAGGCTCACGATTGCTTGCCGTTTTGGACCAGAGATGAGGTAAACCGTTCTCACCCCTGCAACTTCCCACTCAACTTTATCGGGTTTCAAGGACACTTGGACAAACATTAACTACTCTGCGGAGTCCGCCAATGAATGGATGAAGCCTCTTCAGAGAGGCACTCCCACTACGTTGGTGCAAATCCCGGCTAATTGGTGTGAGTTTTACCGACTTCGTGCCGTGTGTTCACGACTTCCTCATTCCTTTCTATCTCAGACCTCGATGATTTGCCCCCTCATATGTTCATTAAGAACTCGCATAACTCTCACGGCTTTGTCGATTCCGACGTCACATTGAAGCTATGGAAAAAGGTGTGTACCAAGCGCTGTGGTGTAGAGCATCTGCTGAATAATGTTGTCAGCATTTCGAGTACTTCTATCGCGAGTACGATTGGTTCATCTTGTAAGTCCGACCACTGACCGCCATTTGTCTGTATCTGTTATGTGCGTTTTCTCGAAGCCCTCTCACAATACATCCTGATGTTTCTGGACGTCCTCATATTCTGTTAATCTTGGAAGAGTGAGGAAACTTAATGACTCGAAAGTTATGTCGCCGATCCCTCATTAACTTGCTAGACTTATCGAATGGATCAATACACACGGAGGTGTTGAGTGGGTTACCATGAAGGCTAGCCTTACCTGGAGCCTGTTTACTTTATGCTCATGCATACATGTTCCATCTAGCAAATCAACGACGAGTTTCGTCGACAGAACCCAGTTCCTGATGGTGCTATTGGCGGACCGAGCCAGTAATTGCCTGCGTCGCGTCCTTGCAGACGCAAACGTACTCAGAAGGCATTATATATGTAACAGCAAAGTAGTTTTCAGAATCGCATGTGTTATCACCGTCAAATACATCCAAAAGGTAGAGCTCGTGATCCGATACAAGTAAAATAAAGATTTAAATACGTGCAGGGTAGAAGCTGAGTATGTGGTTTCAAGTTATGACCTCTCCCCCCTCAGCCTGCGGGCGAGAGCAAGATCTTTAGGTTGAATGGTGACACGCTTGGCATGAATTGCGGCCAGATTGGTATCCTCAAACAAGGACACAAGGTATGCCTCAGCAGCCTCCTGAAGTGCCATGACTGCGGAGGATTGGAAGCGAAGGTCAGTCTAAATGACCAAATGTAAGTGGGATCATAGACAACACAGATAACTAGACACACCTTGAAATCCTGAGCAATTTCACGTACCAATCGCTGGAAGGGCAACTTGCGGATGAGTAGTTCTGTGGACTTTTGGTATCTCCTGATTTCACGAAGAGCAACAGTTCCAGGGCGGAAACGATGGGGCTTCTTAACGCCTCCAGTAATGGCCTGCAAGGTCGGCGACCGTTGAGATGCCAATGGATCGATGTAAATGGGGAGCAACACTCACAGAGGTCTTGCGTGCTGCAGATTTCGCAGCTAGTTGCTTGCGAGGTGCCTTTCCTAAACAACGGTGAAGACGCTGCAGGACGATGAAAACGGAGAAAACAAACCTCCAGTAGACTTGCGGGCAGTTTGCTTCGTGCGAGCCATTGCGATCAGGGTGGAGGCGGTGGGTGATGAAAAAGATGGTGGTTGAAGAGATAAGTTTGGTGGCGAATGATCCACGCGTTTTATACAACACGGATGCGTCTAATCACGTGTTCGTCACGGCCATTCAATGTCAACAATTGAAGGTTCAACAATCGAACATTCAACCAAATATTTTGTCAAAAATTAGCAAGTCAAATAGTCACAGCGAAACAATGATTGTCTTCTTACTCCGACATTACGAACAGCGTTATTGTCTCACTTGACTTAAAAGACGCGCACATCTACTGAGCAAACTTATGCGAGACATTTGCGCACCACGTAAGCATGCGAACTAGAAGCCACTAGTCGGCGTAAGTATTACGCACAGTTAATCATTTCAGACGGAAACGACGGAGACTCTTCTCCATAAGTGCTATCTTTCTTTACAATACTGGATTCCACCCACCGGCCGCAAAAGCCTCTCCCACCACCTGGCTTATATTCAACAGGTGTCGATCGCGGTGCCTTGAGGCAACCAAAGATACCCCGATAGGCATACCATGGCTGCCTGTAAATCCTGGGATATTGACAACGGGAACATGCAGTGCCTGTGGTCCGGACGTAAATCATGATAAAGATAGTCCAATTAATCTCAAGTACTTGCCGTCCACATCCCACAAAAAGCAGCACTTCCCGTAGTTGAGATGCCCTCTGGAGCCTCGTCGTGAACACTGGGAGTAAGAATAGCAGCATATCTTCTCGCAATCGCGTCGATCCTTGGTCTCAGCGACGCAATAGCATCGAAACTAGCTAAATAGTCCCTCCTTGAAAGCTTCATGGTGTTTTCAACAAAACCAAGAAGAAGCGGGTCCAATTTATCCTTCGCTAGATTGTACTCCGGGAGGAAACTCACACTTCCATCGCCGTCCAAGACATTGCGCTGCCATTGGGTTATCCTAGAGAATTCCTCCGGAAGTTCGAGCTCCTCAATCTCAGCGCCATGTTCCCGAAGAAGTTTCACCGCTAGCTCTAGCGCGTCTACAGTTCCCTGACCAGCTTGAGGCCATACATGCGTTTTACACACAGCGAATTTAGCACCTTTGAGCTCAAAAGCCCCCGGTTCCTCGTCATCAGATAACTTGAAAACGTCGGCGAGGAGCTGAAGGTCTGCGATGCTTCGTGTGAAGAAACCCACTGTATCAAAGATGAGTGAGAAGATCTTCGATCCTTCACGAGAGATGGACGCCCAGGTGGGTTTAAATGCAAAAACACCATTGTAGGACCCTGGCCGGATGATACTGCGATATTCATGACTTCAGTCCAGACATATTTCCAGCTTTGCAAGTGATGTAACAAACCTTCCGATTGTTTGAGTACCTAATGCTATAGGTACTTGGAAGTCACCCACTGCTGCCCCAGAGCCGGAAGACGAGCCACCCGGCGTACGATTCGGATCGTGAGGGTTACGCGTCTTGGGACCTGTGAATACTGATGCAAATTCGGACGTTGTGGTCTTGCCTTTGTGGGGAATTCAGTTAGACCAAGTACGGTCTAATTATTATTGAGTCATACCAAATATCAGTGCCCCGGCATTCCTCAGGATTGCGACAGGCCCCGCATCTACAACTGGAGCGTCGTTCTCGTATATTAGTGAGTTGTGTTGGGTCGGCATGCCTTGGGAATCGCACAGATAATTAACTCTGTTATCGAGAAGGACTGTCCAAGCTGACCTTTTGTATACATGATATCCTTGACCCCAATTGGAACGCCATGTAACGGTCCCCACTTGTCGCTCGGGACCTTATCTAGCTCGCGAGCCTGGGCCAGAATATATTCTGGATCGAGGTAAGCCCAAGCTTGGACAGCGTCATCGCGAGCCTTGATACGATCCAACAGAGAAATGGCATATTGCTCGACTGTCAAACCAGAGGAAATGAACTCTACTGCTGTTAGACGACACGCCATGGATGCGGACCATAAGAAATCGGAACAAAGTCCGAATACGAATGCAAATTCACGTCCCCCGGCAGGCAGTCGGCCCGGATCGTACCTGCCGATCCTTGGCGTGTTTAACCCTGTTTAACTTGATCAGCCTTGACCACTTACATGCTCCTCATTCCTTCTGGCCACCCTCCTCTGTCCAATTTCTCATTCTCACATACGATTACGCTCTCCGGATACCAACTCTATGCAGTCGAAAAATGGGTCGTCAACAGAAATAGGCCGTTCCCTTTGCTGGTGGTATACACCGGTGATGCAGCACATACCGTTCGCTTCGACGCGCTCAAACCAAACACAGAAGCAGACATGAAGGACGCTGTGCATTTCCTTAGGCTCGATGCTCGACCAAAGAATCTCGATGAGGGAACGCTCATGGTCACAAGTCTGGCGCATTTCCGCTCAGACTATACTATTGTCCTGATTCCGGGAGGAGATTGGTTGGCTGTGAGAGAGCAGCTTTATGTGAATGTCGACTTGCTTCGGATGGGCTGTGCTGGCCGTACTGCACTTACCCTTGAAAGCCCAAGTAGTGGAACAAGAGACCGGTTTGTAGGAATGTACGGCTTTCCTACGACCGTAAAAGGTCGAGGGTTCAATGAAACCGTATTGGAGATGGTTAGGCTAATACAAGGGGCCCTTGGTATGTTTGGCTTTCAAGTCGAGAGCGATGGTCTACTGTGTGATTTGACAGTCGAAGGACTTGGGCAGTGGCTGGCAAGGGTATACGTTCCAGGACTCTCGAAAGAGAGACTGACGGATCCATCTGTCGTTGTTGCTCTCCTTTCCCTTGTGTTTGTTGTTCGCAACAAACTTGCTGCCATAGGTTACAGTCACGTCGTACCAAAAGACCCGTTTCTACATCCCCAGTTATTCAGCATGAGCCTTGCTAACGTCCATGTACAACCTCGAATTTCAAAGACGCCAACTGCGACTCCATTGCTCGCTGGGCAAACACCCGCGTACATCACACAGATCGTCCTTGACACGATTCACTCTGCGTACGAGCACAGCGGAGAAACTGTCTCGCCCGCCTGTGGCCCAGAGTCAATCTTAGAGCCCATCGTGGACGTGCGAAGGTTCGTAGCAGCTGTTTTGGGCACCGAAAAGGGTGAAGAGAGCTTGGGAGGCATCGTTAGAGGCATTGGACGGGAGAAAGGCAGCAAGGGCGTCGGGAGCGTCGTACGCGGACTATGGAGCGGAAGGATTGCCTCGGTCATAAGGCTTAGAGAAGGTGCCGATGGCGAGAAAAAGTCTGTTTGGAGCGACCTTGACACGGCAGGCAGCGATCGGAGCGATCCTCGGAGCACTGACGACGAAGGTGATTTATTTGCCAGCCTAGCCTGGGGCCGAAAAAGAGTGAAAGGAAAATTAGAGAGCTGGGCAGGGTGAGTGATTTTTCTATCATATACATGTCTTCTAATAGCCTATAGACGTCGGAAGAAAGCCCAAACTTCATCCGTTGACTTGCGACCGCCTCCGGAGGATGAAGACCTACTAAGCAGTGGTCAAGCAAGCCCTGTTGTCCCTCCGAACCTTCCTCCAATGCTCATGGTTGAGCCCCCGAGTATCGAAGAATCCACGGTTGATCTAGTTCCGAGCTCGAAATTCGAGGGAATGGCTAATCTTGGCGTCAGGAAACGACCCTGGGGAGACCGGATTAAACAGGGCCGCGTGACAAGCTGGTCGGATCCGTTGAGCAGCAAGAAGAAAGAACGGCCTCCAACCGCGAACTCGACCTCGGAGGTTGGCTCTCGACCCCTTCCCAGATTGACCCAGCGACGCAGTATCGATGTGATCACGGACAAACTTATCAAGGAAACGCCTGTGCTTCGGATCGAGCACATGCGTATTGACGTTGAGCTTTGTGGACAGGTGTTGGTGATGTGTCGACGAGCAACGCATCTCAAGAACGTTGTGGAGGTAGTGAGTATACTAAACAGTCGGCTCACTGGGACGAATAAGCGGCTGAGGGAAGCCTACAGTCGGTATGGCGGAGGTGTTAGCGAGAGCATCCTGGGAGAGATCGACGCCGAGGGTTCACGGAGCGGCAAGATGATGCAGACCGTGAACACGCTGTGGTACGAGGCTGAACAAATGAGCTTGCGAGATGCCTGGCATGCTGGAGTGGGTGGGAGACGCAAAGTGGTAGAGGTGAGGGAAAAAGTGTTCGGACTTGGGCTGGCGAACAAGGAAAAAGGTGGTAAGCATCGACAGTGGAGAGTCGACGGTGTTGAGCGGGTCGTTGACCGGTATGGAAGGACGGAGAGTGAAGCAGAGGAAGAACGGGGCGTTTGGGGCGACGCTAGTGAGAGCAGCGAAAGCGAGAAGGGAGAGCAGACGGAAGGTGCCGACTCGGAGGTCAGTCAGAGGATGAGGCCCGTCTGGCTATTGAAATGGTTCACGCGATGGGGTAGGCAACAAACTGCAGCGGTGCAGACTTGAAGATATTTTTATTTTCGGTATCATGTACGTACTATCATTCGGGATCATAACGCTTTATCCCTCATTTGTTACCCAGGAGGAAGCGTCGGAGAAACATCTCTCGCCACTGGACTGACACCGTGACATACTGGCTGATGACCACGATACTAGATATCATATGGCTTCATGATCGCCCTGGCTAGGTATATCTGGGAAATCTGTCATGTACGTATTCCCGCTTGACTGAAAAACCTCCGGACGCCGTGAGATCTGTCCAGGCGAGGCTAAGCTATTCACGTACATGCTCCGAGGAGGCGCCAGGTTCTTTGCCGTATTCCGACCTTGTTGCGGGGAATACGCTCTTGCGCCACAGAAGATCCGGCCAAGTCAACTTGATATATTTCATCAGGCTCCGTATCTAACTAAGAAGCCAGAAAACGACGACACGAACTCTCCGTCCTGGGACCTATAATTATCACCATTGATGCGATGTGTGACGTTCTGTGCGAAATGAAATAATGTACAATAGCCTAACAATGCAAATGCGATGCGATGTGATAAATATGCGGTCCTAGATGTATGACAATGAAAAAGTGTAGCTGAAGCCAAAGAATGAAGGGTAATGATCAGATAGATAGCACTACAGTATTACACATCCCCGGTCAAACCACCACTCTCTCCTGAGGCCTTCGATCCACCATACACAGAGTCTCAGCCGCATGCGCACGCTCCTGATCGGAAGCAGCTTTGCTTTTTCGCTTTCATCAATCGGGAGCACGATGGCGACGTAGAAGGTAAATGGCCCCGGACGGGCTAGAGCGGTAGAAAGAGAGGGCGGTGGCCCATAAGAAGTTGACAGACGTTGCACGACCCAAGGAGTCGAATGATTGTGTAGATGGGTCAGAAATGACAGACAGTGCGAGATGAGGAGAGAGGTTGGTGAAGAGGCTGTCGGAGATTCAGAAAGAGAAAGAGGGATCGGTTCAGAGTCGTGTTGCATGGTATTTAGAGATGACATTTCCGGCTGTGACGGCACCGGGGTCGAGTCCAAGTTGACGTCGATCTCATCCGTGTAGTCTTCAATCCTGGAAAATTTTGTCAACATATGGAGATAGATGTTGGGGTGAAATTGTACCTCTCTATTCTAGCGACCATATATCCGTCAAGAGACCCCCTTTCTATGATCCTGAAGCGCCACGAACCCCAAGTTTCGACCATGCTCCGTCCGTCCGGGAGCATCTGTATGTTCTTTATTTCAAGCATGGTACCATAGTCAATCTGCGCGCCAGGCCGTGGGGACATTACCATACCGAAACTACGGTGAGGTGACTCTAGACAGCGGCGGAGCATGAGGCGATAGCGAGGCTCAAAGAAGTGGAGGAAAGTAGGCATGCCTGGGAAGCAAAGCTGGCATACAAAGATGGGGGTGTCGAGGCGGGCGTCACGTTCCGCTTGGAGTATAGCGGCAGCTCGAGCGTTGTATTCAGCGTCAAAAAAAGTAGTAATAACACGTAGGATAATGTAATTTGGTGGATGAAACTGGAAGAAGGAGAACGGCGGCAGCGCAGCGCGACAAAGTGGACAGACAGAGGAGTGATCAAGTGAGCGGTGGAGACATTTGGCACAGAATGTCTTTTTGGAAAAAAAAAAGATAAATGACGGAAAACATTTAGAGCAAGTGAACGCACATGTTGACAGGGAGTTGTGACTGGATCGTAGAGTAGCATATAGCATATCTCGCAAGTGAGTTCTGTGAGCAGTCGTTTTTGGCGTAAAGTCATGCCTGAGGGAAACTCGTGCGATGGGCGCAGGAGAGGACTAGATGGCCTGGTCACCTTCTGGCGCGCGCTCTCTGTTTTGAGGTGTGTCAGCAAATCGTTCTCGTCGTCGTCGTGGTTGTGTTTGTCGGGCAGAGAGTGTGGTGGTACGTGACGACTATCATCGTCGTCGTGAAAGATGGTGATAAGCTTTGTGAGAGTGACATCGTGGTGAACGATGAGCTCGGTGTCGGGAGTGCAGGCGGGGTCGGGGCAGGCGGGCGGGGCATGTGCAGCACATATAGAGTGGCCGCATCGCAAGGTGATGGGAAGAGTGAGGATTGAGTTGCAGACGATGCAGGTGAACATAGCATGGCAAGACTGGCAGGGACGATGGCTAGCTTTTGGCTTTTTGCATCAAGCATATACGACGCGGTTTCGGCCCATGATCGATTCTGATCACGTTGCGTCATAATCACAACATTACTCATCCGTCGGCCGAGTCTAGGCCCCTGCCGATCATCACAAAACGTGATTCAGCTCGGTGATAAAATATAGACTTTTCAAGTTGCTGAACCCGAGTAATGTTACAAGGTCAAGAGCAAGAGATGAACCTATTCAACTTTCATCACCGACTCTATCCTTGCCGCCTGAATCCGCTTCCTCAGGTCTACCCAGACGTTGAACCCTAATATCAGTGTGAAAAAGACGTATTGAGCCTGCGCATTCATCAGTGCAGAATATACCGGATCATCTGCATCACGCACACCGACAACCAAACCGGTGTGATGCTTCCTACACAGGTGTAGTGTATAAAGACTTTCGAGGGCATGAATACCTGCAAAGGCCCAAAGCACAGATTTGAAATAGGAGTCCATGTAGGAGCGTGCGAGCCGACCGGGGAGGTAGAGAGGACTCTTAGGATGACTGGGTGAGGTGCCAATGTAAAGGAGACATCCTAGTATGAAAAGCGTGAACCAGGTGTTCACAGTTAACGGAAAGCGGAAGGAGGTTATGTGGGGTGCTTTGATCTGTTGAATGTTAGGCAAACCATGTTGGCATCAAAAGTAAAACGAACCATTCCCAGCCCTTCCTGCGTCAAAGCTTTCATTTCTAGCAGACGTGGCTTAACGTCTTCGTACCCTTTCAGTGGTGGATCCAGTACGACGACGACCTCCTTCTTTGACCCGTTGGCGAGTGTGCACATCAGAGTCATGCTCTGCACCGTTGGCTCAGTTGCATATATCTGACATGCATGTAGAACGGCCACCTTGGTGTCAATGGCGCTCATCTCGGCGCTCTTGATATTCTCCTTGACCTGGCCATAGAACTTGGCATACGCGACCAGCGTGTCCGGGTGAGAGGACATGTACATACGCAGGAATCCAGATTTCTCAGCGACGGGATCAGCCATGGAGCGAAATAAAAACGGTAGCAAGTCAAGGCTGCTGGCGAATCTTTACCATGGTCTGACAAACTCCCATACACGTGGTGGGAAGAACACAGCCGCCACGCACCCACCACACCATGGAACACGACCAACCCAGCCGGCACCCAAGACATGCTCGCAAAGCACCTCACGACTTCGGCCAACCGCAGCCCACCACAGGGGCGCAAAGTACCGTACATGTCCATTACTCTACTCCACATTACACGCCAAAACACCAGGGGAACTCGGAAGGAAGGGCGGAGGGACCGGAACAAGAGGGAAAGAGGATCTTGAGGACCTGTACCTCCACTGCGTCTTAGTAGTTAGCTTACTTGTTGCGGTTAATCAAATGCTGAAAACAAACAAAAAAAAAAAACTCCCGTACACGGCTTCAGAATGGCACTGTCAGCTAGCACGTGCACACGACGCGTCTCATTGTGTCTACCATCGTTGACCGTCTCTCATATCGACATCTTTACCACTTTACGTGGTTTACGATGGCGCAAAGGAGGAAATCGTCAAAAGGCGCGATAAAACCTAGCACCATGCAGGTGAGCGTTCTTGATCACCGTTTCACCTGTGGTCGACCTTGTAACTGTTTCTACAGAAAACTCTGTTCGACCTCTTTCCGAAGAAATCTAAAGGGACGCAGGAATATACATCCACTCAGGCTGATACCTCGGAGCTCAGCAATGATAAAGAGGATGTAAGCGTTGTTGAACAGTCAGGTCTGTCAATCACCACTGCCACCGTTTCTCCTGACACGCCTATGTATCCCAGCTAGCGAACTTGCTCATTTGAACGAAGTGGAGTTCGTCTCTGCGCCTCCGATATCCTCTCCAATCCCATTGGACACTGAAGATGCCAGTGCCGGCCTGCGTGATACCGTGATTGAGAACCAATCCTCATTGCCTCCCCCACCACAATTTATAGCTCACCCTTTAAAATCACAACTATCTTTCGGTGGTGGCTCTCAGCAGGACCCTATTGTCATCGAATCATGGTCTCCTGTGAAACTTCGGCTTGTACAACCGTACCCCATATTTGCGCGTCTTAAACGAGCGGCTACTCCATACAGTCCCCGAAAAGCAGACACCAAACTCTTAGATGTTCCCTACCCCAGCAGAGAGATGCAGCATATTCGCGGACCTCAGACTACATACCACGCAACATCGTCTCAGATCATGCAATTATCACTCCAAGCACAACCCGTAACTAAATCGGAATCCAGAATCTCGCTTGACAAAGCGTCTTATCTAGCAGGACTTCCAGAGTCACATAAAGACCACCCTGCTATTTCTCGACGGTCATCTAACTCGACGGTTATCCAGCAGAAACAAAAACTCTGGACGGATCAGTATCGTCCAACTTGTGCTGATGAAGTATTGGGAAACGAGAAAAACGCCCGGTATCTTCGCGATTGGCTCCGCGCGCTCCAGCTAGAACTCAAAGATCCCCCAGCTTCCATCGAATCTGCCCAGTCTAGTCCAGCCCATTTCTCGCAAACAAAGTCCGCTACAACTAAACCGCCTCGCATTCCGCGCCGAGTGTCAAAAAGGCGGCGCCGGAAGAAGCAAAGAATTGACTCTGACAAAGAGGACAACTGGATCGTTCAGTCCAGTGAAGACGATTTCGTTTACCCTGCCAGCACAGACGAACAGATGAACGGGCTCACGAGACTGAAGCGTAAATCGCGCTACGAAGATGAGTATGTCCCCCCTTCATCACCGCCACAAGCTCCCACCCAGCCACTATTTATGGATTTGATGAATACGATCATCCTCACGGGTCCCTCGGGCAGTGGCAAGACTGCTGCCGTCTATGCTTGCGCCGCAGAGATGGGATGGGAGGTCTTTGAAGTGTATCCGGGCATAGGGAAGCGGAATGCATCCAATTTGGACAATCTGGTAGGAGAAGTGGGCAAAAACCATTTGGTTCAGAAGGCCCGCCGGGAAGAAGACCGAAATGAGAATGCACATGGGAATTTCACCGCAATGCTTTGCGGAAGAAAGTCTGCACCCGAGCACACGTCGACGGAGCCGACTGATGCACCGTCAAACAAACAAGTGAACCAGTCGCTGGTCCTTTTAGAAGAGGTCGACATCTTATTCAAGGAAGATGTAAATTTCTGGCCGGCTGTGACAAATTTCATCAAAGATTGCAAAAGGCCTGTAATTTGTACTTGTAACGGTAAGAGAGGTTTCCCCGGTTCACCTTTGCCGTGTCCTGATTTAGTACTATTTTGGGGTAGATATTACCCTCCTCCCCCTTGATGATCTGCCGTTGCAACAGATCTTACATTTCCGACCATGCGAGAGTAGCTTGGCGACTTCGTATCTGCAAAGCATGTGTGCCGCTGAAGGATACTTTGTCGACCGGAAGTGTATCACCCAGGTCTACGAGCCCTCACCGGAGCACTACGATACCACTCCAGATCTGCGACGAACCATTCACACACTACAGCTATGGTGCCCAGGATATGATGTTGATTCACAGTGGATGCTTCATCATCAACCCTGCAGACACGAGGAATCGGCATCGTCAAGCGGATTCTTTCTCTCTTTGGATGAATCACTAAGCCTGGATGGGTTTGTGGCTCGACACGCCGAATCGCTCTCATTTTTGGACTCCCATCTGAGAAGACGCGACGAGGACATGCCGGAGGTGAGTCTGTGCTACCACATTTCTTATCCTTATCCAGAATTTGATGAATTTGATTTAAGGCCATCGCATTCAGCCAAGCGCAAGCGTCAGGGGATGACGAAGTGGGACACACCATTCTCTTTAGCACGCGAGACAGCATAACCAGACAGGACTCTTATGGGGATGATGATCACGACAGGACGATCATGTCAACGGCCATACGACTCTCGCGTGGTGGGATTTTCGGCAGTATGCGAAGTAGGAATTTGAGTGCACATGCCGGTTATCGAGATGTGATCAAAACACTCGGGAGGAACGTGATGGGAGCACAAGCACTGCGAGAGACGGTATTTGACATTGATTACTTACCCTGGATTCGACAGATCGTTTTGGCGGACGACGAGGAAGAGAAAAAGGTGAAGACGGCAGAGATATGGGTTGGGAGGCGCACACGGAATAGCCAGGGCCAGCTGTACGTACGTGCGATAGAGGTCGACGAGGTGCAACGGGAGGCGCTGGAGCAGACAGCATTGGGCGGGCCGGAGTGCTGAAAGAGGCAATGCGGGCAATATAACCATGTATGTATTTCCACGTGGAGGCCCACGTTGTCAATGGGGGAAGGGAATCAATTGAATATGTACAGTCGGTACAACTGGTTCGTTGTTACCTTTCCTTCCTGGCTTGACGCATATTTCCAAGAATACTGGGCGCATTGTCTGTAAAATTTCTGCCTCTTACTTTCAATGTCGCATGTGTCGACAATGGCAGACCATTCCGACACTTTACCGCATACATCACCCCAGCTTGGACACAAGTCTTCTTCGTCTCCGTCGAACAGGGAGCAATCAAGTAGGCTTTCGCCTGTAGTCCCATTGGCGCCTCTCGAATACTTGCAAACCCAGCGCCGGGGCTCCATTACGGATCCGTCGCTGCATGCCGCGCCTTCAAAACAAAATCCGAGCTCGCATTTCCTTCGGCAGCAGAGCGACTTGGCGAGCTCTTCGACATTCAAAGGCGGTATGTCCGATCCACGTCCGGGCTCGCCTTTTGTGTTCGGAGAGGCGACGAGTCGGTCGGGAGACGGGAATGCGCAATTACGCAAGCTGTTGCGGTCGCCTTCACAAGAACAGGATCGAGGGCCAGGACCGTCAGAGGGAGGTAGTAGTGCAAAGGGAAGTAGTACGCGACACCAGACATCTGGCGGGGTGACAGAAGGTACGTTCTGTCTGTCAAAGACGACCGCTTATGAATCGTATTTCAGGAGCCGGTCAGACGAAGGAACGAGATGAAATGCAGATGGACACGGGAGGGCGTGTTCGAGGGCTACCGCGAGAGGCAGTGCCGTTCGACTACTCGATGCGACGACATTCGATTGCAGTGGGCCAAGAGTCGCCTGGACGACTGCAGGGCACGAAAAGGAAGATGTCGAGCGAGCGAGCAGGGTTTTCTGGGCAAGACATCGACCCACAACTGATTGGGCCAGGCGTCGGGAACAAGATGGATGTGGACGAGGGACCGGCATTCAAACGGCGGGGCTCGGCAGTGGATACGGCACGGATAGAGCAGCTGAGCCTGAACGAGCGGCGAAACTCAACCGATGGGCGGGGCGGGCAATGGCCATGGGTCGACGGCAGACGCGATTCCTCGTCGTTGGGTGGCGGCTACCCCTCGCCGGCATCGGCTGTTTCCGGCACGGACGGCCGGCATCACCCCCCCGCCTCCGGAATTGCATCTTTCGCGTGGCCACATTCTGACCAGAGTTCAATGCAGCACCATTCCCTCGACCACGACCCCCACCGCCAGTTCGATCCTATGTCGAACATTCCCATCATGCCACCCATCAATTTCCCTCCTGACAGGGCTCTCGATAGGAGGATGTCCGTTCCCGACAATCTCAATCCGTCGTCGTCGAATCCTGCTGGCCCGACCAGGGTTCTGCGATCCAGGTCGCGTCCTCCATCGCGTCAAATGCGCTCCCAAGAGGCCTCAGAAGAGCCCACCTCTGCTCCTTCTCCCCCTGGTTCCAGCAAGCTCTCCAAGGACGCTGGCGCAACCCCATACTCCCGCTCTCCCGAGCTTCGTGTTTCCCACAAACTCGCAGAACGGAAGAGAAGAAAGGAGATGAAGGATCTTTTTGATGAGCTGAGGGACCAGTTGCCAGCTGATCGCGGCATGAAGGCTAGCAAGTGGGAAATTTTAAGCAAAGGCGTGTCGCAGCCCTTTTTCTCGCCCTTTATTTCCACTGACGGCCCTTTAGCTATCGATTTCGTCGCTCAGCTCAAGCAAAGCCACCAAGATATGGCTCGCGAGATCGACATGCTCAGACACGAGCTCGATGTCGCTCGTCAGGGCGGTGGTCTACCTCCCTTTCCCCCAGGGGGCGGTCCGCCAGGTCATCCTGTCTACGGCCAACCCCCGCCAGGTGTCCCACCGTATCCATTACCTCCGCCAGGTGCTCTCCAGCAGCATCCGCCACCGCCACCTCTTTCCCGACCGGCCTCCTCTCAGGGTGTCTTCCCTCCTGGCAACGGCCCCGCCGTTCCGCCTCAAAACGGAAATGTCAATAGACCAGATGGTCCTACATGACCACCATGTTTGCTTTCAGTTTGTATCGATAGGCGTGTCATTTCATTCGTTGATGAGGCATTTGTTTCTTTTTTTCCGAATTGGTATCCCAGAAATATTCTGTCAGTACCGGTGATGTTTTCTGCACTTGCTATTACATCTACTCTTGACTGTTGCCTGTTTGCGCATATATCCATGTTGTATCCATATTTGAAGACCGTCGTACTGAGCACAGTGCGTCGCCATTCATCTAATGATGTCCGGTTGTTGAGTCAAGCAATCGAATGGAACGAGAGGCTCGCCCCAGAGCCAGAAGAAGAAGGGGAGAGTGGTGGGAAGAAGACGAGGGTGACACGGAAGACGAGCATGGGTAACCACCGCGCACCCACCACACCATGGAACATGTCTGACACAGCCAGCACCCAAGACACGCTCGCAAAACACCTCAGGCTTTAGCCAACCGCAGAATCAAACTAATCAATTAGCCCACCCGTGGTGGGCTGGGGGGGGCAAAATACCATACATGTCCGTTACTCTACTCCACATTACACGCCAAAACACCCAGGAAACTCGGAAGGAAGAGCGGAGGGACCGGAACAAGAGGGAAAGAGGATCTTGAGGACCTATACCTCCACTGCGTCTTAGGAGTTAGCTTACTTGTTGCGGTCAATCAAATGCTGAAAACAAACAAAAAAAAAAAAAAAAGCAATCGAATGGGACAATCAATTGTTGTCGGCCATTGTCTGATACTAATTGGGATATGTAACACTCGACCTGAGTTGTGACTTCGTCACTACCACCACTACTCCATTCCTTCAGCGATAATATTCGCTCGTAATGCCCCCCAAGAAAGACCTCGCTAGCATTCTTTTTCACAAGAAGAAGCCGCCAGTGGCCAAGGTGCAGCCAAAGGCCGGCCCCTCACCTCAGAAACCTCGACCGCCAAAGGCCGTACCTCCCCGCGAAGAGAAGGACGACGACGACGACGACCTCCACCTTCCAGACGGACCTCATTCAGACTACAAGCTCTTCTCTTCTGCTCTCAATGGGTGGAAATACGATGTCATGAAGTTTGACTCGCGGAAACCTGTCGACATAGCGGCATGGCCGCAACCTATCAAGCTGAATCGGAAAGACCTCAGGAAGGATGACCCCGCAGCGAGCACAGCTGGAGTGCCGGTGAAGGCAATGACAGGCGCAGATGGCAAGCCCGTTCTCCAGGATGGCAAAGTCGTGATGGTGGATGCGGAGGGGCGGGTCGTTCAGGATGAAGCAAGCAAGGCAAAGGTTGCCCCGGCGAAGAAGAAGTTCCAGAAGAAGACAAGGCAGGTCTTCATTGTTCCGGAAGAAACGAGGCTATTAAGGAAGGAGGAGAGGTATCCGTGGGTTATGGAGGATGGCATGGGTAGAGAGACTTGGGTAGCGCAGCTGGACGACACGACAAAGGCCCAAACGCATGCGTTTTTCATGCCTGCAGCTAATGATGTCTTTAAATTTGTCCCTGCTCACCGGTGGTACAAATTTCAGAAGAAGTTGAAGCACGATCTGCCTACTGATACAGCTAATGTCGAGGCTCAGGTATAACATCGTATTTTTATGCTTCGTCTGCATGCTAACAGAATCTATACTACAGTATGCGAAGCATCAGAAACGCGACCCTGGTGCTTGGCTATCTCAGAGAACGGGACGAGCTATATCCACCCAAACAGCTGCGATGTTCAAGGCAGAGGCTGAAGGGACTGCAGTTGATGATCCCAATTCTTTTGTGCACGTGTCCGGGCAGAGTTTAGGTCCCGGAGGGCGCAGGCTTAAGGCCGTTGACAATGGAATGAGCAGCTTGTTTGGAGATGATGAAGACGGCGAGGGTTCTAGACGTAGACGTGAGAGGGAATATGGAGAAGACGGAGATCTTGATGAGCAGGAGTACGAAGAAGAGTTTGCGGATGACGACGAGAAGATGGAGGTTGATAATGACGATGAAGATGCTAAAGAGCTCGAGGTTCGTTCATAGCGTTTCTTCTGCTTTTGTTTCTGACCAGATATTCAGGAACGGTTGAAAAAAGAGTACAAGACCGCGAATAAAACTAGAGAGGGTTACATAGATGATTCAGATGAAGAGGAGAAGCCCAAGATGTCGAAAGAAGAGCGACGAATGCAGAAGCTGATACGCAATCGTGAAGGTGGGGATGCAGATGAAAGTGACGACGAAAAGAATCCGTATGCCAGTTCTGTAAGTTTCCGTAGTTTCCTTGATGTTAGATTGTTTATTCAATCTGTGACAGGAGTCGTCTTCGGAAGAAGAGGAGGAGATATCAACACAGCCTGTCTCACAACCCCCCCAACTAAACGAAACACCTGCGAATTCACAGGCATCTCAGACAGCAAAATCTTCCATGAACCAGCTACCTCTGAACGGGTCCAAGTCAGATGTTCGGGCCACATCACCCCCGAATCTTAGCCTCAGCGGACATTCCGTTGTAGCGAAACGCGCCACTAGCCCGAAGGCTCCGAAACTGAAATCCAGTGCTGGGAGCCGTGGAGGTAGCCCCCTCGCGAGTCGGGCAACGAGTCCCGTTCCTGTCTCAAATAGTCGTGCGACGAGTCCAGTTGCGGGAGCGGGAAGCAGAGCTGGAAGTCCTGTAATCCAGAATGGAAAGAAGAGGAAAGCAGATGAAGGGGCAGCTTCGCCTCAAGGCAGCGGGCAGATGGGCGGACCTTCCAAGTCCAAAAAACGCAAGTCCAATGCGGGACCGGTACCCCCACTTGAAGACCGTATGGTGATCGAGTGGTTAAAAAATACCCCGAACGCGTCTACGAGAGACTGTATCCAGCACTTCACTCCATATCTTAGAGACGAGGGTAAAAAGGCCAAGTTTACGGCATTGGTGAAGGAGGTGGCTCAATTGAAGGACGGAGTGCTGGTGTTACGGGCTGCGTATCGCAATGGAGGAACGCCCGCCTCGCCAGTATAACCCAAGGCGTCTGTATGTTGGCTGATAATGCATTGTTACTTTGTTTATTCTACTGTCAAGTTGTCAGGGCTTTTGTCGGCAAGGGGTGACATGAGGTACGCTCCGTTGTAAAGGGTTGTCTATGATGGTCTAACGGAAACCAAAGTGACTGGAATGTTTTTGGCGCAGTGTCTATCTTAACGTTCCGTCTTTCTGGTTAGAGTCTGGCACTCCGACTGATCTGAAATGAAACTCTCGAGCGGGACTCAAGGCGAAGCAAACGGACTTTGTCTCACAGAGCCCTTCAAAATGAGCGCCCGTCAAGGTACCAATTTCTCCTCATCCTCCATATTCGACCGCCATGTTTACTTCCATCTTCCTAGCCATTAATGTCGCCCTTGCTGCGAATCTACCACGCTCAGACTGTCACGATCATGAGCAGCACAGGCGCCTTCCTGGTAACTGGTATCACGAATGCGATCATCCCGTCCACAATCTCTTCAAGCGAGGCGCACCAGGCGACGGCATAAATTATGCTGAAGTCGGTTCTCCCTGTGCGTCCTCTTGGCTCTATACATACACGTTACTCATTGTTCGCTAGCCTGGTCAAGTGCCTTTCCGACGTCGACGCCTGATACAAGTCAGCTACCTCAGGCATGGGTAGACGCCCTCAACGATGCCGTATCCTCCGGGAAAATACCCAATATTCCCGAGTCGACCAGCACAAGTGATAGAAGTCCTGTTTACCCCGATGGCTTCGACCCTGATGGATCAGAAGTTTGCTCCTCTTCGTATCAATGCAGAATTCCGGAAGACATTTGGGACGCTCCTACAGGCACTTTGGGCATTGGGTTTGATGATGGACCCTTGCCCGTATGTTTTCTTTTGTTCTCGCTAACATGGAAAAGCTGACGGCTTCATTCAGCCTACCCCCCGTCTCGTTACCTTTTTGCAGTCCCAGAACCAGAGCGCGACTCATTTTATGATCGGTTCTAATATCCTTAGTAATCCCAATCAGTTCAATGCTGCATATAACATTGGAGGGGATATCGCAGTGCACACATACACTCATCCTTACATGACTACGCTTACCAACATCCAAGTCGTTGCAGAGGTGTGTTTTAACGCTGCCAAACCAGAATCAAACTAATGTGTTCGCTAGCTTGGTTGGACTATGGAAATCATTCACAACTCAACGGGCGGCCGCGTTCCTAGGTTTTGGAGACCACCTTATGGCGATTCAGACAACAGAGTAAGGGCCATTGCGGCGGAGGTACGAGACATGGTAACCCTTCAATGGCTTGTTCTCAACTCTGCGTTAGGTGTTCGGGCTTGAGTGCATTATGTGGAATCGGGAGTATGTGTTTCCTAAAGTTCACTCAATAGAGGTATTTACCGTTACTGATAGCACTGACGACTGGAGTATGGAATCTGGGGGTACTACGATGCGAGCCATTAGTCGTAAAATGAAGAAGTGGCTCACAGGTAAATCAAATCACAGATATTGTCCATTATTCGCTAATCATTATGTAGGTCCCAAGACCCCGGGTTTGATCATCTTGGAGCATGAGTTGACCACCGACATGGTCCAAGCCTTTATCAATGCTTATCCTTTCATGAAGTCCAACGGATGGAACACTACGTCGGTCGCCCGACTGGTAGGAGACGGTCGTCCCTACCAGAACTCTAATAATGATGATTCGACGGTTACCGCGGACGGAATTTTGGTCGCGGCCACCCCGAGTGCCACAAGCTCCATTACAGGGTAAGCATTGTGTTGATATTGTTCTAATCTCTTCTAATCAAAGTTACAGTGGTACGAGCACAAGTTACACGTCGGCGACTGAAAGTACAACAACATCCGCCTCTGTAAGCACTAAAGCGAACTCGATTGACTTGTCTAGCCAGGGACGTACTTTGCTGGGTATTGTGACATCTGCCTTATTCATGGTAGCATCGGTGGCAACTTTGGCACTCTAACTCCTACCTATTTTGCTCTACTTAGTTGTAAGGAACTTATTTCAACGGATGTCACGACCCTTTCCTTGCTTGGGTTATGCTACCGACACAAAGACATTTTTTATCGCCTTCAATTTGTTGTCGTATTTTGGTTTTAGAAAATAATCACTTACGCACAGACTCTTACTTATATAAATTTGTATTAACCGGTGGACTATTTGTGGGGGTGCAAAATTTGAATATACATTCTGTCCATCCCTGCATGTGCATTAATAGTCTTGGGAAAGAAATTATCTACTATGTATTTCGTACTATATAAACGTCGAAGAAGATGAATACATTGGTCTAGAGCAAGGCTTTCCACAATGAACACATCACGACCGTGAACTGATATGCACTCCTCGAAAACCAGCTACAACCATCAGCAAACATTACCAGCTGTGGCGAAATGAGCACACCGATTCTGATTTGCAGGTTATAAAGGCCGTATTCTCTTGTTATATCCAACATACAGAACGATAACAGAGGCCGGTTTTCGATGCTGCAGAACAGACATTTCCCGATCAGCAAACCATCGGTAACCACCTGGCAAATGAGCCGTATGCTCACCAACCACCTCAAATGGAGCCTTCCCCGATGCTGATGTAGGAGACGAGGACTGGAGACTAAAAAGCAAAAAAAAAAAGCACGAAGAGGAAGAAAAACTCAAGGAAGACGTTTATTCACCAAAGAAGAGGTTACAGCGCGCGTGTTTTGTCGTTAGTACTAGTGCGTAACAGTCGTAAGGCCATAATAAATGCTCAAAAGAAATGTCTAGTGCATGTCTGGAGAGGAAAGCAGACAGGCAACGAAACCAGGAAACAGATGATAAGCTACAGTTAGGAGACCGGACATATAAATACCATTAAATTGCGCGTGTAGTGAGTGAATGAACGTGCCAAGGAGAACAGAACACGGAAAGCGTTACATCATCAGTGGACCTATGAAAAGACGCACCGCAAGGGAAGACTACGTGAGACTAGGCCATTTAAATTTCAGACCTTCTAACCACCGCATGTAAAGCAACTCCGCGATGGGTGATTTACGTGTCGAAGAATCTTCTGACTTGACGGAAGGTGCTGGTTCTGCTGAACCCGGAGAAATGTCTTCCTGGACCTCTGTAACGACCAGACCTTTGGCTGTCATTTCGCTTCTACGGATAACCCGCTTGTGTGGGAACAATGCACGAGAGTTTTGGACGTGTTGCCATACTGCAGGATTCCTGACCGATCCATATCAGTAAGCGCAGCGGAGTTCAACATTGGACTTACTCATTGATGCCCGATAGAATATCAAGTATAACGTTGTACGCCAGTTCAGGATTAGCCTCCTTGAGCTCGCTGAACCCCCGAGATAACATGCTCAGCGATTCAATTTCCCTTGCATCCATGTCATCCCCGATGGCCTGAAATTCGAGCCAGGTGAGCATACGCGAATTATGACGCCAAATTAGAACCACACATACCTTCTGAAGGATGGGTAGAACCACATCATCGATCACAGATTTTCCTGCCTTAGCCGTTTCGCTGGCGTTGCGCTTATGCGTGGGCGTCGTTGGTGCAGATGTGCAGCCCTCCCGACGCATGTTCCCGACGTACTCCGCTGACAATCGCAAGGATCCCGCCGTGTCCAATTTCTTAATGGGTCGGATGGTATCGATGCCGTTACCTAAATCAGCCTCCTTCATTATAGTACCTACGCCACCAGCATGACGTGCAGCATACGATGATCGTCGAGACCCCCGCATGGACCCACTATAAGCAGGTGGTGCACCAAGCGGGGTTGCACTTTCGTCAACCTGGGGAGGTGGAGTGTCCGACGCATTCTGTTCCGCCAACAAGGTGGCAACGTCTTTCCCAGAATCAGGAATGTGGAGAGGCTTGATGATCACGGTCGAATGGCCTGCCTGTGTGTTCATTCCCAGCCCGCCTTCCACGATAGGATCTCCGCTTCCCTTTGTAGCACCTACGGTGTCGACGGATGAATGGCCTTCATCTGCGTCCAACTCTTCAGGTTCTTCGTCGATGTCAGGAGATAACGATGACGACACGAGGTCCTTTGCCATGCCCCTGAACGTTCCCATAGCTGAAGAGCGTAGCGTATCGAAGTTCCAGTCACTCCGCATTGTACCTGTCGTGTCCCAGGCATGACCGTTTCGCACCGTAGGCTGGTAGATTTGGTGAGCTCCTCCTTTGACAGGTGAGCGTGCACGGAAATCTTGGAGACGCTCAATGAGCTCGGTGAGGTATGATGTTTTCCGTGCACCGCGAATGAATCGGTGTTGCAGCAGTTCGTTGGCCATGGGACGCTGAAAGGACATTGTGATATTAGAACGCTACAAACAGGTGAATAACCTACAGCTTTGGGATCTTTCGTCAAACATTGAGTGACGAAATCTTTGAAGGTTGCAGAAAAGGCGCCCTCGAGAACGGGAGGTTTGGCTTTGGGAATGAGGAACAGAACTCTCATAGGATGATACTCTGCAAGGGGCGGTTCGCCCTTTGCCATCTCAATGGCTGTAATACCCAGACTCCACATGTCAGCTTTGGCGTCATACCCTGCCTGCCGGATGACCTCCGGGGCCATCCAAAATGGAGTACCAACAAATGTATGTCGAAGTGTATTCGTGAGCTGAGCAGCGACACCAAAGTCAGCAAGCTTGACTTTGCCGGAGGATGAGAGGAGAATATTGGCGGCTTTAATGTCTCGATGAATAGTACCCTCGGCATGAAGGTAGTCGAGACCGAGTAAAAGCTCCCGACAAATGACCGCGATATGGGCCTCTGAAAAAGGACCGGGTTTCAATAAATCCAAGCATGAGCCCCCAGCGAGATATTCCATTATGATCCAGAGCTTGTAAGCGACGACGAAAGACCCGTAATAGCGCGTCACATATTCTGAATCGCACTGAGCGAGACTAGCAATCTCCTGCTGTATTTCACAGATATCATCATCGGAATCCTCAAGGTCTAAACACAAGTTGAACATGCTGTTGTTGATTGATGCAGCAGACTGACCTATTTGCTTAATGGCTACTATCTGCTTCGTCTCATTGTGGATAGCTTTGTACACAGTCCCAAAGCTGCCTGTTCCCAACTTCTCCAGTAACGTATACTGACTAGCCGGGTTGTTGCTAGGAATCGGATATGGCTCTCGAGGCTGGGATTTAGTATCGACCTCGCCCGATGACGGCGGTGATCTTGACAAGACCATGGGGTGAGGCTTAGAATGGGAGAGGTCAGAGCTGTTCCGCGCTGCAAAACGAGAAGAGGAAAACATAGTGGATACGAAGGAAGCCGTTGGGTGGTTGCCGTGATCTGAGACTATTGCCATTACCAACAGTGATTGGCTATAGCACGCGGGGCACTACACGTGTCGAGTCCCACGTCTTCTATTGAACGAACAACCACCCATTCGCTGCGAATTGCATTCAAACAGATGGTTGTAACCTCACCATTTCGTAACGTCGTGAAATATCGTGTCGTACGGCGATGGTACTCGGAGCTCGTCGGTGTCACTATTCGTGAAAAGTAAAGGACTACAAATTGTCTCGATGGCAGGGTATACTGAAAGATATTGTGGCCGTATTAGTGAGAAACGGCCAGCGTGGTAGGTAAAACGGGCAAAGAGTCAAAGCAGGGGCAATCACGGATCACGATTGCGACAGTTAGCATTCAGTATTCAATACCTGGCCCCAGGCTTGCTGCAAAGACGAGAAGGGCTAGAAAGGAAGAGGGTACGGACAGGAAGGGTGGGTATGGGAGTAACAAGTAAGCATCGCCTGGGAAAGTTACTCTATACACATCCATTTAGGTCGCTTATACTGTAATGGTGAAAAATGTGCCACAATTTATGCAAAAAAAAAACTTGAAGTAATATGCAGAAGGTTCTTCCACCAGTTCATTTCATTGAAAATGACAGTCTAAGCCGCAAACGCATGGCAATGATCCACTCATACAGGTTACAGTATCAGCAGAGCATAGGCTTGGTCATTGAATGCAAATACTGCCAGGTAAAATACGATAGCAGAGCTCCCCGCCCTCATGCCTTGACAGCGTACTTTCGAATGGGAAAGTTAAGCTCCTTCTTCTTCTGCTTTAGGGTCTTTAGCGATGTCTCGTGCTGGAAAAGGTACATGTAAGCGGTAGGATATGGGAGATACAGGGACCTCTTACCTTGGTCATCCGCCGCCTGATTGCCCGAGTCTTCTTGGCCCGCAAGTCCAAAGGAAGGTACTTTTTGTCTTTGTAGTACTCGCGGAGATTCTGACGACCCTTTTGGTTCATGACGGTCATCACCCGTGCTATGGATTTGCGGACGGTGTTACTAGAACAATAATCAGTACGCGGGAAAAGAACAAGTATCCAAACACGCACATTTTCGTCAGCTTCGACGCCGACCCACCAGCAATCTTTTGCACCCGTAGTGTCAGGAGCTCATTCTTGAGCTCGAGGAGTTGTTTCGACAAGTCATTCTTGGACCTAACAGAAGGTAAGCAAAGCCAACTGGACAATGGTCGCAAAATCGCACTTGGACTGGAGCTCGTACGCCTTGACTTTTCCAGGCATGGTGGTCTGAACAGTTGTGTATAAGTATTGTAGCGCCCTTATCGACGACAACGCGAAATTTCTTACCTTGAAGGGATGAATACTAGGTGCTTGTAAGCCGGCCAGGAATCTGTACCAAACCTTATTCAAAACTGTAAAGTCGTTTCTCACGCTCCCAAAGTTGTTTTGATATTTTATTATATAATTATAAGTTCTAATTTCTTTTCACAAGCTCCTCGAATTGTACCAGTGAGCCTCCAAAAATGTCCAGAGCACTGAAGGGAAACAACGTGAGCAGAGAAGGAAGTTATCTAATCATTCTTTGGCGTACCTCCCGTACGTTAGGTCCACTCGTCCTCCAGAAAGTCGGTCGACGAGACCAAGGTCTTCAATATCTGAGGAAAGCATCAGTAAGCTGCCAGAAACTAGCAAATGTATACCTTTTGCGCCGCCAGCGTACGTCGTCGGTATTTTTACCCAATCACCGAGGCCTGGGTTTTGAATTATTATAATCCATTAAATCATTTAGCAACGTACGAGAAACCAGTTCTTCATCGATACCCTGACATAGACCCTCCACATCAGCTGCATGTATTAGAAATTCACTATAGAGTTGTGAGTTCTGTTCATGACCTGGCATATAACAACTAACCTGCAGTAGTCTGAGAGCAATCCAAGGTTTGCTGTGAAGGATTAAAGAGTGAAAATCGTGGACATAGTTGTCTCACTTTGAGAAACTTCCATGTCCGTTATATCTTGCCATTTGTTCATGGCTATGAACCACTTCGAGTCATGACGGCGGCAACTATTCAGGTCGTAAGCATTATCGCACGCGAAGGGGAGGGGGTGCTGCAAACCTGATATCAACCACAAGCTTGTCTTTGCCAATGGCATGGGAGATACGCTTCAGTCGTTCCAAGGAGAATTTCGCGCCAGGGAAAAGATATGAAGTGACGATAATTTTGCTGGCTCCAGCATCAAGCCACTGCTGGGCATTGGTATCATTTATCCCGCCGCCGATCTGTAGTCCGCCTGCATGAGACATAAATAATGCGGTATTCTAGTTCTTACGGCACTCTACCTGGCCATGCAGAGAGTGCTTCGCGAGCAGCATCGTCATTTCCTGGTCCTAACTTTATGACGTGGCCACCTTCGAGATGGTGATCTTTGTACAGTTCCGCGAACTCGGCTGGGGATTGACTAGACCATTTCGTTATTGTGATAAAGGCAGATGGATTTGATAGAACGAGCCTTGCGACGAAATTGATGCGAAGGGCATCCGGAGAACTGTCGGAGAGCGTTCCACCCACAATTTGCTTGACCTTTCCGTCGTGTAGGTCAATACACGGCTTGAAACGACTCTGGCGCGTCACCATTGCTCAGTCACGGTCCGAATTCCGGTCTGAAAAGCGCGGTGCAGAGTGACGAGAACTACCTTCTGCTTACCGTTGCAGGTGTCCTGAACTTATTGCAGGACTACACACAACGAAGGGCACGATGCGGCTGGAGGACCATGTGGTAAGAACAAGAATGATCGAAGTGTGCCTTGGTGCCATCATTGGCAAACAAATAAGTCCACCTGTGAGGTTCACCTCCAGGACTGGTCTTATTGGGCTCTTCGCTTCTGCCACCATCTTCGCTCTTTTACCATCCTGTCGTTCCTTCCAGTATGTTCTTGGGTTCTCTATTGGTCCTTGTAGGCCTCGGTGTCGCTTCATTCGCTCTCAAATTTCCCATACAATCTCGTGCTCGGCGGACTCCTCTTTCTCGACGAAGTGGAACAGAGAAATATCATTTAAATACGTCCCTGGCTGCTGTTGTGAGCACTGATAATGGTTTGGACCTCAGGTGAGTCCTCGTCTTTGAAGCGGTGGCGCCATTTTCACTTCAACTTAAATTAGTACTGTCCACGATCTGATTTATATGGCAAACGTGCGTCTGCGTTTCTTGTAGTTCGAACAATACAAATACTCGTAGTTCTTCAGGTAACGGCTGGAAATATCAGTATGCACGAATTGCTGCACACTGCACGAAACATTCTTGACTCGCCAATATAGCATATGTCGTTCAAATGGACACAGGGTCCTCTGACCTGTGGCTAAAGACTGACATTCCACCTTTGCCGAATTCCGAGCAAACGGTATGCCTTGCCTTTGCTTCTGGTTGCGCTCCTTAGCTTATGACGCGTAGGGATACACAACAAATATCACAGTAAGCCACAGTCGATTGTGGGAGGAGCGGCAGTCTGATTGCGTGTCATTAGTACGGCATTGGCTGGGTGAACGGTACCATATCGCACATTCCAATTGAGTTTGCGGAGTGAGAATACCGTTCTTCTCACGGCAGCCTACTAACCGCTGGTAAAGGATATCCGTGGAATCACAAGCGTATTTGGACGTCACTTCGGCTCAGAATCCAGCGCTAGGTTATGGTGCCAAAGGCATTTTGGGTCTCGGTTTTACATCCCTGTCTTCTATCGACTCGATATTGAACAATACAGGCTCATCGCAGGGAAGAAGTCTATTGTATAATCTCTTTGCACAGAACCCTGCAGAACCCAACTTCATTACCTTTTCGTTCCAACGAAGCACTAGCGCTAATAATGATGTTAATGGCAGCTTTACCATCGGTTTGTACCCGCAAAGTACAGTCTTTTCTTGTGCTAATGCGTTATGGGATACAGGAGAGTATGAAGAGGCGTATTCTGAAGTGGCAGATACAGTTGCCATTTCCACCTGGCCAGTCAGCTCCCCCAAACGATGGAGTCTTCTTGTAGAGGCGCTTTTGGTGGGTAATCAAACCATACTGCCATCTTCTACAACTGCAGGTGCCCCGAGCAACAAGGCTGTGGCAGTACTAGACACGGGAACGTCTTACTCGTAAGATAAGCCATATTCCATCGACAAAGGAAGCTTCTCAACAGTAATACAGTTACACCAGTACTGAAATTTCTGAAGCAATCTATGGTGGTATCAGTGGATCATACTATGATTCGACTTTGGCGGAGTGGTCAGTGCCATGTGATGCTGAGATTGACATGGCTATCCAAATCGCGTTCGTTTGTTGCGTCTTGTCCGTTGTTAGCAGATATTGACGCACATTACAGAGGACAGGTCTATCCTCTGCATCCTTTAGATATCGCCCCCACTGTTGTAGGAGACAACACCACATGTGTCGGCTCCTTTCTTCCGCAAAACCTGGGAATAGGTACAGGCCAATTGTACGTCCGGCGGTTAAGCACTACACAGTTTCTCATATCTTTTAATAGTGACTGGCTCTTCGGGGCCAATGTCCTTCGGTCGTTGTACTCTGTCTATGACTTTGGCGACTTTGACTCGCACGGCAACACGGGAAATCCTTACGTCAAACTTTTATCACTTACGGACCCCGACAAAGCGTCAGCAGAATTTTGTCAGGCGAGAGGATGCACGCCCTTGACCGGAATCACCTATAATGCCTCAAATAACACAGAGGACTCTGCCTCTACCGTTATTACTATTACCAGGGACGTTGCCGATACCCTGGAAAAGTTCAGCACATGGTTCCCCGCCATGCTGGGTATCTTGGCCCTTAATGCCTTGATCATACTGGCCGTGCTCATCTTCGGCATCGTCTACCTGTGTAGAAGAAGGACCAGACCCTCAGCCAGAACGCCCATAGGCAGAATGAGTCCTGTGCCGATGAATCCCAGGAGCAGTTATATCACAGGTGAACCTCCTGTTGGTGCTCACACGTACGAACCGGTATCAATGGCGATTACCGACGATACCGTGTTTGGGCCACCATCTCCTGCTTTCCATAAATTTGAAGGCAGCACGCTGCGGCCGGGCGATAGACCACAGAGTCTGGCAACCCTACCATCCAAGTCATATAATGATGATGGAGAAGAAGTTCTCACACCGCCTTCTCCCGGTTTCCGACAGTTTGATAGCAGGCCTAAAAGTGTCGGAATACTCCCCTCGCAGTCTAATGCATATCAACAAATTGGAGAGGATCAGCCTTTTGTTGTCCCTCCATCAGTGCAATCCCAAGAGTTCTATGTCAAAACGCCTCGGGCACCCTCGCGATCCAGTCATTCAACGCCCGAAAATATTGTGTACCCTACGTCCTCATCTGCTAGTTCGTTTCATCAATCTGTGTACGATATCCAGTCCCCGTCACCGCCTCGGTCCTTTCATCAGTCATACGTCGAGGATTCCAACCTACCACAATCGCCTTCACGGTCTTTATATCAGCCCAGTGCTCACGACCAGCGATCTGACGTGAGTCCCTCATCAATAATTCAACTGTCACAACCCCATGCCCGCCGAGGAAGCACGAGGCCTCCGCCAGTTAACTCCTTCGAGCCTCCTGTGTTCTCATCGACTCCTGAGGACCAGAGCCTTGTACCGCCTTCTCCTGGGTTCCGCGCATCAGAGAATCGGCCAAGGAGCGTCGATCAACTCCCATTTCAAACGAATTCCTACAAACAGATGGGGAATAATCCTACTCTCACACCACCATCACCTGTTTTACAGAGGGAGGGTGGCTCTTTGAATCCTGGCAGTGCACCAGGCGACAGGCCTATGAGCATCGCCTGATGTGATTAATTTTGAATATTTTGTTGTGTTTCTGCTGTATTGCTCGAGGGATATTTAGGACAGGTTTGGTTACAATGGACCCAGGATCTCCTCATACCTATTATCACAATACGCCATCCGCTCCTGATATATATGATCTACTGATTAATCTCTCTCGTACGCAATGTTCTTTGTTGCGGTCGATAACCCAGGCTGCTCCCCATTTCCTTCCAAGTATCTCGTGGCTTCTGCCTTGAGCCTGCGCCATCGCTCTCTGTCCTGTGGAACTATTCGATCACCTTTAGTGCTGTGATTGAAAATGTGCATGAGAGAATCAACAACAGTGGTAGCGAGTTTCTGGCTGTAAAAATGGAGATCTTTGATGGCCCTTTTTGACTTCGGACGTTCTTGAGTGTCTTCATGCCATGAATTGGAAGCCAACTGCTTGATCCCAAAAAAATCCACCATCCGCAATGCTTGCCGCACGTTGGCGCGATTTTCTGTCGCATATGCGGTTCGAAGCATCAGGGATACATTTTCGGCAGTCGGCGGAAGTCTGGGGCGCGCCTTGTCAAGCCGAGGAGAGTTCGACTCCACACCATCCATAAAATCATGACAATGAAAGCCTGTCATTAGGTCAAATGTTTTCGTCGCCGTGTGCCAATCGGCGGTACGGAGTGCCGTTGACAGAGCAAGGTTATAAGTTGACGTCGCAGGTCGCACTTGGGCAGCTCGTGCCTTGATGCTACGGACCTCCTGGTGCATGAGCCATTCAATGAGGTCATATTCGAATCGTGCATTGTCTGGCAGAGGTTTGGCAGCTTGGCGTGCCTTCATCACCTCTTCAATGTGGCCACGATCGATGATGGAGGGGCCACCTATTCGGTCAGGCCTCTTCAGAACTTGTTCAAAGAAATCGACGGAAAGGGAAGTCTTTTCACTGCTTCTGCAGAGCATGAGTACCGCAGCAAAAGACTGTGGCTCGAGAGCCAGAGCACCTGCGGTCGTCAATTTATCTTCAGATGGTGCCAGTCCAAAGTATTCACGAACAATTCCGAAGGCCAATTCTTGGTCAGATGAACGACCGCGAGATAGTGCGGTAATGGCGGCCGTGACTAAGTAAGCGTCCACTGTGAACTTGTGCTTTTTGGAGGCTTTCAGCATCTGGGACCATAACAGTTTGGCGCTGGATGCATTCTGAAGGACAGTTAAGGATTCGTTCTTTCCGTAGGGAACGTGAAGCGGGGATAAAGATTGGAACATGGATGTAAAAACGAGATGATCGGGTGTTAATGGGCCTGTCGGGTCGAGGTCATAGTAAACATCGAACATCTCCTGATAGAGACCAGCGGCACCCAGTATTCGCATATAAGAGGCTAGGGGAACACTGGTGATGTCGGGACTATCTGGTCTCTCTTTGTGAAGCGATGTTACGTGCCGCTGAAAGCTTTCATATAAGGAATGGGCATTTTTTAGCTGTTTGGTATGTGATGTCCAATCTTCGATGCGGGCAAGACCGCCCAGCATTGTCTGGTAAGTCCGTGTAGTTGGACTGTGCCCTCGACGCTTCATCTATGTGAGAGATCTGAATTAATATCCATAACTTAATAAATGCAATAGACACGCACGTCTGTATAAAGTTGATATGAAAGCTGGAATTGCTTCTGCTTCAAACACTCCCATATGACTGTATTCCACACTGGAACGTTCTGCGCGTCTCGGGGGGAGTTTTTCAGCATGGAAACTGCAGCGTCAACTTGACCTTCGTCACATAGCATTTTTAATCTCTTTGAGAGCTGATGAGGCTCCAGCTTCGGCAACAAGGCGCGCTGCTTGTCTGTGAAGGAAACATAATGCTTGGATCGGTATTCTTTCGGAGGGTCTTTGTTGGAGAAGGCAGGTAACGGCCTAGATGGAGAAGGGATAGAAGGTTGGTCCAAGCTTTCTTCACGCCGGGTACGCCTCTCAAGCCTGGACTTTTTCATTTCACGATATTGTTGCTTTTTCTCTAGCACCCGCCGAGAAGTTTTTGAAGGTGGAGTGGTTCTAGGACCGCCTTTGCAAAGACACGCAGTAGTAGAGAAAAGCAGTGAGAAAGACTCCCATGTGCGGCGATGCCGTGCATGCTGGGCTAGGCAACTCCGGAACATCACAGTGGTCGGTGGATGCTTCCAAGGAGCGCGTCGAAAAAATCAGAGCGGTTCACGTGGACGGACCAACGGGCCGCCATCCGATGATTTGCCGAGGGAGGCGGATTGGATACTTGCTAGTACGCATATCTGTACTTTGTATCATGTTAAGTTCGGACTTTTTCAGTACTTGTGGTTAACGTTACTACACTCAGCATGCGATGGTTTGCAATATAATATGCTGTCTTTCGAATAGTCAAAGTCCTGTCTTCGATGTTGTTCGTGTCACTACTGCCGATATATCTCTTCTTCTTCACTTTATTGCACAGCGTTCCCCATCTGGCCAGGCGCACCTGTGTCTACATCTATTGGTAACATACTCCCAGGTGGCACTCATATCGAGGTTCTCGGTCCCTACCTTGTTGGAGACAAATCCAAGAAACATGTATCTGTCCCAGTTGTAGGTACGCCTACACTTGCTTCAGCTGCACTGTAACATCTAACGGACGCCATTCCTTGGACAGCCAGGAAATCTCGCCATTGTCTCAAATGAAGATGCTACGCTTCCGCTATTCTTCATTAACCGTAATAATCCTTGGCAATCGATCAACGAGACTGCCATCTTCCCTGTCATCTTGAGGAATGTCACCACTATTCCCCCTGGAGCGACCCACGTACCGTTACAATTAGCCCTTGATACGAAACATAATGGCGTTGATGGAGGGTCTTGGAAATGGAGAGGCCCTAGACTTCATTACCATCATGGTGCCGCATCCAATGGAGGCACCTTCTATAGTTGTCCGTTGGAAGACGGCAGCGTAGGTTTGTTCTTGTTCCTTCAAGTGTCAGTGCTTTAGGAAGGCCCAACTTTCTCTTCATTAACAAGACATCAGTCCAAGGCAATGTTACAATTCTACAGTCGGTGGGTGACATAGCTTCAGTCGGGCCGACAATCAGCTATAATCATGATAGCCATTCGACTACTGTCAATATAACAATCATGCTATGATACATTCTTCCCCTTCTTGCTTATAGTAAGATCGATTCTACGCGCGAAGAGAGCAAAAGTGAACAGGCTGAAGAATCCAGCAGCAACTGCTATGGGCTTTTTAAGATGAGCAGAGAGTGGCACTCGATAAGACACCTGCAAGGAATTAGGCTCGGATAAAGCATGAACACAGACTTGAACTCACATATATCGATAGGGCGTGCTTATCGGTAAGGTTTTTGTACTTAAAGGTCAACGCGGGTCGCCCAGTCGTGTCCAAGTAAGTGATATGAGTCGATAGAGTATTCGAGACAGTAGGGAAGGGAACAGCGAATTTCACATCGCTGAAAGAATAATGATCAGTGAACACAACACGCATATAGGGCCTTCTTACGTTGCACCTTCCGGGAGGATGACTTTGACCTCCGCATCGTTGACAACAGCACCTACAATTGGCGTCATAATCGGAATCTCTACAGTGTACTTTCCGCCTGCGGAATCCCAGCTAGCGCTGTTTTCCAAAGGTGAATCCCAGCCGAGGGTGAAACTGTAGTTCCAACCGCCCATTAGAGGATATCGCGGCTTCATCTCAAATACGCTATATTGGGCCCTTGTCGCTTTCTTCGCGCTGGGGGGGACGCGAAGATGAGAGGTAGAAACATTCCCGATCAGATCATAATAGTACATGTTTCTGATCCCGGCTGGTAGATGTAAGGTAAGCGATGGAAGAACGTGAGCGGCCGGTCGCTTGAAATAAGATTGGGTCTGATGTTCGAGACGCGAAAAGTGGCCTTTCAAGCTGAGGGTAGAGGCTGTGAAGATGCACATCAACATGGATGTCTGAAGAACTCACGTAGGACCGGCGTTATGAAGAGATATCTCATCCTGGATATTCAGATTTGCACCCCAGTGGCTGATTTCTGCTGCGCGACGCAGTTTCAGGACCTCTAGCACTGGGTAGTCGTAGGAGTAATGCACGACAACTGACTGCTGAATAGAAGTCAAGAAGTCCTCAGCTGTTGAAGGCGGTATGCCATGATAAGGTCCATATGTGACAGTCGCGCCGGACTTGGTGACAGGGCCTCCTTCCTGGATGAATGCATCGAGGTGTTTGGGGGTGGTATATGAAATGATATTTGGAGACTGCGACCTGTAGAGCACCAGAGTCAGCCCTCCAAGATTTCAAATATTTGACGTTGTACGTGCTTGAGTTTTGTCCGTTGGACGTGGGTCTTGTAAGGGCTCGGTACCAGGAGGTCGGTCTTGTACTTGAGCGCCTGGCCATCTCCCTGTGCAGCAGCCTCTGGCCATGCCCATGTAGCATGCGTCTGAATCGTCTCCAGTACGATGGTAATAGTCGAATTGAGGCTCAGCGCCTTTGGAAGCGTCACGTCGAGAAGGTTCATTTGGCTAAATGCCCATTCAGTACTCTTTTATGTAGCTCCAAACCAGAAGACACGCACCTTTGAGGGTCGTATTCTATTGACATCTTCAAATCATCTGGTTGGCCTTTCACTTTGACGTCCAACCAACTAGTTCTGTCTACTTCTTCTTCACCCAATGCAATGGTGTAGACCGAAGCATCTTGCTCAAGAGATTTTGCAGCAAAGGTTGTGGTAACATGTACAAGGGAGCCCCCAAGGTCGACCGTGCGCACGATGGCGGTATTTTCGAAAGAATGGCTGGTAGCAGGAAGGGCTGAAAAGAGCAAACCTAGAAGGACGAAAGGAGTAGCCCGACGTGACATGTTTGGCGGGAGAGAAGATGTGGGAACCCAAATACGTGTCCTTGTTGCTAAATATAGTCACCGCGCAGCGCGTTAAATGATAGAGTACCCTGGATTTATTGCTACACATGTCGTTGAAACTTTCTAAGTACAATTTAATACCACTCCATACTTTGTTGAAAAGTTGAATAGCATGCATGCCTCGTCAATGGCTGTAGTCATATCTTGACGAATAAATGGTCAGTTAGACGGTGATTTAGGAGACAGCCAGCGTACTTCCTGTAGAAGGTCTCAGAGTCCGACGGAACGCCCTACGGGCGTAGTTAATGACGGAAAGATATGGCAACACAAGCGCACAAACCTCATCCTTCCTGGCTCCCCTGAGTTTAAGGCCATTCTTCTCAAGCTCACGTCTATACTCTCGGTCCTCTTTGAGCCATTGTACTGCAACAGAGTATAATGTCACCGTCGGCTGGTCAGAAAAAGGCCACGCAGTGGGGGGAGTAGCGAAAACACCAAAACGCATGTGGGCAACATGGGTGGGAAAATCATTGAGCCCCTCGAATATATGTGTCGCATCCGTAGCAGATGTTAACGGAAGCCGGAAATGGAGAACAAAGAGCTTACAGATAATGGTTGCGCCTCTAGTTTCACTATCATTGCGAAGAAAGTTGAGGAGATCATCTCGCACAAGTGCATCCAGATCTACGGTGACCTAAAGATACATGAGGACTCGGACATGGCTGCAATCACCACATGATTGCGGACCTCATCAAGCAAAAGAACATCCCACGGCATCATGAGGCCGAAACACAGCTGGACTCGGCGGCGCTCTCCATCTGAAATTGCATGCATATGCCAGTCCAGATCGATATCCAGGATATCGAGCAAACGGTCCCTCCTCTCCTTATACCTGTATCCGCCTACAGAGTCGAGAAATGCAGACACGACGATGTCGCCGCGCACGACAGGATTCATGGCCCTGATACGTCCAATTCAACGGCGCTGTCGGTGATAGAACTTGAGCAAATCAATCACAGACCATTCAGTTCCCAGGAAAGAGACGCCCAAAGGTGAATTGCGAAAGACATCGCAGTCCTTGATACGGATGTCGGCACCAGGGGTGCTCACCAGGCGCTTTCCGGCAAGAATCTGCAGTAGAGTGGATTTCCCAGCTTATTTAACTCTGGATCAGATAGAGAGCCAAGATAAAGAAAGAATATGCTCTCAAGACCTCCATTGGCACCAACAAGAATAGTTCTGGATCCCTCTGGCAAACTGAGAGCTATATCCTTGAGAATTGGGTCCGAAGCAGCTGTGTACGAGTACGTGAGCCCGCTGACAGCGATAGTGACTGTAGCCATGGAACATGGAATTTGCCGGAAAATTCAAAGTATGTACGAAATACTTGTGGGAATAATTTTGTCCCAAACCACAGCCACAAAAATCCGCATGTAAGTTATTTCCGTTTTCGTCAGGTTTCTCTTGTCCTCTTTCAGTGAGCAACCGTCGTTTTTGTTTTTCTCGTCGGCTTGCTGGATAGCAGGACCTTCCATTTGCCATTTTCTTCGTCTAACTCTAAGCCACGTTCTTTCCTTCTTCTTATCGTTCTCGATATGCGTCTCGATGCTCTCTTGCCCCGACAGTCCAGCAGTTGCATCGACTGTCCAGAGACACCCGTGTGCAGCTGCGCAGCTAATCAAGAATGCTTTCAGATAAGCAGGTTTGCCTCCTTCAAGCCCACTGTTTGACTTGTGTCGCTCACGCCGTAGTCAGGGACTGCTATACTTGCAGTACATTCACGTGTGTTTCCCAGGATAGCTCTTCGAGCAGCAGCAGTAGCTCTGGGGGTGTCAGCAAAGGTGCACTGGCTGGCGCAATCGTCGGGGCACTCGTTTTTCTTGGCGGTGCCATCTTTCTTTTCCTCTGGTGGCGTCGCTCAACTCGCCGCCGCCGTGCTTTGGAAGAGGCAGAGGCCAAGCCTGATGCTCCTGCTCCAGCAGAGACCGTCCTGAACAGACCTGATCCTACGGAGAAGCCATCACCGACGTCAGTGGAACAGAATACCGTCAGAGTTTATTCATCATCATCCAATACCACTATCGATTTGGATCCCGAGTCCCAGACCTCTTCGCATCCTCACTCACCAGAATCAACCCGTTCTAATCCTTTCGAAGACAGCAATTCTATTCAAACTGCAGGAACTGAAGGGACTAACGTTATACCCATCGCTCTCGTACCCCCTGATCCATCATCCCACGCCTCATCGCATTCCGAACTGTCTAATATTGCCTCCCCTGTCCGACCGCCACGGTCTCCAGACCTTAATCTCGAACACGTTAATGTCTCTCACGACACTCTCCGTACTCCCCAAGGTTACGCTTTATCGCAGCGCTCAGGGGTGTCGGGGGTGTCTTCGCGGCAGTCGTACATGTCCAATGCAAGCTATTCCAGTGATTTCCTCAATGAAGCACCTATGATTATCACCCCCGGCCACGGCACCGTACGACAAGTGTTGGGTGTCGTCAAAGCGGAAGTCATCAATGCTCCTGGGCCCAATGATGGCTTGAGAACGCCTGGGACTGCCTCGCGGCCAATGACCCGGTCACCTTTGGCAGCAACTTCATTTGGGCCAGCAGATATCATGAGCGGTGATGAATTGTTGGAAGGAAACCCGTTCAGTGACAGGCATTCGTCCACTGCGACTACGCATGCCACATCACCAGATTCCGTTCAAACAGCATTTAGTCCGACATCACCGACACGAGAGTCCAACCAGATGAACTGGACCCCCGATAGCCCTCTTCTTCCCTGGGCACAGGACGGCGATAACAGCCGTCCGTCTAGTATGAGCACACAGGCCGGGTCCATTATCGGTATAGAGAATGCCACCCGTGTCAATGTGGGCCTTCTGGATAGGTCACCATCGTACAGGACTACGAAGGGCAGACTGGTCACTCCATCTACTGCTGGTCTTGGGACTCTGGAGGAACAACAGCAGCGGGCTCTTGCGCACGCACAGGCCAGAGCGCAGGCGCAAGGACTGGACAAGAATAAGAGGGCTTCGGGCTCATCAGTCCTTTCTGCTACATCTACCAGAGCCGATTCAATTCTGGAGTCTTTCCCCTTTGTACCTCCATCTCCCATATCTAACAGACCCATGAGATCACCCCCGGTATCACCTATGGGTCAGAGTTTCTCCGGCGGGCCATCTTCTCCCAATGCACAGCAATCGTTCTTGTCCTCCTCGACACAAGCTACCGTTGTCCCTTCTCTTCAGGGTAATAGCTTCTCTGAGAGTGAGACAGATCTACCATCTCCACCCAGCAGGCGCACTTTGGGCCTGTCCACGGGGTCTCAACTGTCGACAGCATCCTCTGGCCTGGGGTCTTTCCCGTTCCAGATAGATACAGGCAACTCGGGAGAGCCGTCGTCGATGCCCTCTGTATACAGTGGGCGTCAACGTGCAAGCTTGGACACTTTGGCTATTACCAGTGACCTCTCTTCTTATCCCCTTGGATTCGACAGGGACAGTATTCTTCCTCCTTCATCTAAGAGGGGATAAAATCCCACCTTTCCATAGTGATGAACTGATTTGTACCGATGTACTACCATTAGACTGGTCGGGTACCGGTACCCTATGCTTTCTTTTCTTCCGTTTGTCGTAACATATCGTCGTTGGGCTCAATCTGTCCTATACTTATATCTTCAACGATTGGCCCTAAACTTGCTTGCGAGTTGCTTTCATACTGGGATTTAGTAAGGAATCGTGTGCGGTGCGTTAGAATTTATGTAGTGGGAGTACTTGGCAGTAATACGCTGTTGTCGTGCTCAGTCTGAAATGATGAGCCAATAGTTCCAATGGTATACAAGTACATGGTCCTGAAGGGTAGTGTTGCATTATCCACCTAGTACCAATTCATACACAATGACGATGATGTTGAACGCGATTAAAGGTACTGCGAGATTGAGTTTTTGACATGCAGATGCCAACAGAAAGATTCAGCGTACTGCGCATGAGTGTCCGTACGGCGCTTATCAGGTCTATCAACTTTGCCTTCATCCCTACTTCCCCTAGAGGCGCGCCGTAGCCATTTTGGTCATACTGGTTGAAAGCAGTGTTCTGAGGTTTGGAAGACGACCAACCGACTGTAGAGTCAAGAGGTCAGCTGTAATTGCCTGTTGAAGAAGACGAGACACGTACTTCTCGCTAAAAACCTGTCTTCGCTGAGAACTGCCATTGCGTTTACTAGGAGAAGGCCGACGTAAAATATTGTCCCTAGCAAAGGAAACATGGTGCAGCAGTAAAGGTTGTGGTGCAGGTGAGGTCGTGGTCGTGACAAGTGTGACGTTCTTGTTCTTACCGCTCTTACCGCTCTTACCGTTCTTTTCATGATACAGAGTCGTCTTAAAGTTCTGGCTAGTACGTCCCTTCATTTACTCTTTGGTTATAGCTAAGTGCGTCGAAGGCTCTCACTTCTCTCGACGCGTTCAATGGCAACGATCCCTTTCCCCTGCACGGCCCGTAGGAGCTCGCTACTAGTATGTTGTTCCCGTTATTTGAGGATCTGTCCACTCAGTGCGATCTGTTGCTAGTGCCATCAACCCGTTTAACTGGGTTCCCAACAAAGTAAAGGAAAAATTTGGTATGAAAATGAGAGATGCGGAAAGCGAAGAAGAGGTTACAGCAGCCAAGAAAGAAGCTGAAGAGCGAGGGGAAAGCAGTATATTCGAGACCGTCACTGTCACCGAACCGGAAGGTCGAGAGCCCTCGTCGCCAACCTCTCCAGACATGACCAAGCCTCTCGATGCCTCTCACAAACAGGATTCCGCCGTAGAAATAGAGCGCAAGGGCGATTCGGTGCGTCACAATAGCAGGAGGTTCTCCTTGGTACTCAAATAACTGGCTCGTCCAGCACAAATACTCAACAGCTGTCTTCAAAATCTCACATCGCAAGCTGAATATGATTGGTCGGCAGATTTCAGGAAAGCCCGTTGGCCATGCGATCCTTCAAATGGAGTTTAGTGAAAAGCGCGCCAGTACACGTATCATGAACATGCTTGCCACAGCTAGAGATCATGCCGTCCGGTACAAAGGTCTTGATGGACAGAGACTTGTAGTCGGTAAGCGGTATATATGGTGTCTGCATCGACCTCGTCTTGATTAACTTTCACGACTCTCAGCTGAATCCTGGGTATCAAAGGGTAAGCACAACCGAAAGAGGCTGGAACCGAAGGGAAGAGGACATGTGGGTGTCCAAACACATCCTCAGGCCAAGCTATCTGTTGTATTGAAAGAAGGAAGGACATTACAAGAACAAAAGGCCAAGGAGAAGGCATTCAAACTGAAGAGAGTCGTGTCTGCGGCGGTGACGAGAGAGGATAAGCCAATACGGAATCCTGGAGCTATGTGGGCGTGGTAGCATATATCTGTCTAGCGTAGGAAACGTTTATTTATTCGAAGTGAAAATCAGTGAAAGAAGCGTGATATTGACGTCACGCGTTACCTTGACTCGCTTTCTCACCACCGCCTCAGCCGTCGCCTCAACATGGAAGACGTTGATACTCGCAAAGTCATCGTTATCCATTCTGACGCCTCAGATATTGAACCAGGCCAAGTGACAACCGTAGGGGAATCTGCCTCGCCTCGGAAAAGGAAGAAGAGAAAACAAACCAGTCGAGAAAAAGAGGGGTCTACTAGAAATGAGGGACAGGCGGAAGGTTCCTCATTTGGTCGAGAAGCGAGGCGCGAACGACGAAAAAAGTCGCGGCTCGAAAAACAGGCTACTGGCTCTGGCTCGCGAGATCCCAGCTCGGAACGACACGCTCCCAAGAGCCGTAGCCGCTCTCCTGGCTCTTTGGACAACTCGAAGCTTTTCTACTTTGACCTTGCCCCAGTTGTTCTACCCAACATAATTGATAAGGTTGCAAAGACGGATGAGGAGGATGGTCCTTCAAAGTTACTTCTACCGTCTCATGTTCAGGTCCTGGGATCTGTTCCCGTTGAAATACTTCCACCATCTCCTTCAGACTTTGAGGACGAGGATTACATTGACTATCTGGATTACGATGACCGAAAGGTGCGTTGATCTTGAATTTTCAACAGGGTACTGTCTGACGAATGCCAATGTAGGGTTTGGTCCGGTATTTTGAGAAGCCTGAGGATAAGTCAACAAAAGTTGTGTGCAAGAACTGCGGTGCCGAAGGCGAACATACAACCTATAAATGTCCTGTGATGATAGTTCGTTTCACATGTTCTTGCTCGTCCGCTCACTTGATTAACGCGTTGCTCTTAGTGCCTTACCTGTGGGGCTCGTGATGAGCATCCCACAAGATCTTGCCCGATCAGTAAGAATTGTTTTAAATGCGGGATGAAGGGACACATCAATACTGTGAGTAGATCATAACCAGCAGTACGATTTTGTCGTTCTACAAGATTCTTCTATTAGAACTGCCCTAATAAATATCAAAGCCAAGGGTCCATAGGTGATACCTGTCGTCGCTGTGGATATCGCAGTCATATCACATCTGTGAGTCTATTCATTAAGATCGTCAACGAAGCTTATAACTGCTGACTTCGCTATTGTAGGAATGCCCAACATGGTGGCGTATCTATGCTTATATTACAGAAAACGAACGCGTCCAAATACTCAATGCACGTTGCAATAAATCCAAAGCAGGTCTCGGGAATGGAGGAGAAGGATACATTGCCGAAGATGAATGGTGTTACAATTGCGGAGTCGAGGGTCATTGGGGTGATGTAAGTCAAAGTTCGCTAACTGTTCGCTTCCCCTTGTTGATAGCCTGTTCAGGACTGCAACAATGCTCCTCATGCGTACGGAGTACCTGAAGACTATTCTGCCTTCGGATCAAATAATCTGCACACAGGACCGTTTGCAGACGTCGAGGTGGATATGAGCCCAGCAATACCGCGGCGTGGAGCCCGTGACTGGGAGAAAGAGATCGACGTCGTGGACAATGTAGGAAAGAAGGGCAAGCGAAAGGCCATCGAGATACTGGAAAGATCTGCTCAGCAACAGTTAGAGAACGATGGTGACGATTGGTTCAGGAACAGAGGAGGAGGAAAAGAGTCAAAAGCGGCCAAATCCCGTGCAAACTGCAAACCCGCGAAGAAACTCATGTTCAGCCAATCAATCAAATCGGGTCTCTTGGATCGCATGGGTGATACTGCAATCGACGTGGAACCGTCTAAACGGGGGAAATCGGAGAAAGAGGAAAGCAGAAGACAGAGAGAAAAGCGATCCCACTCGGACAAGCCTTCTTCATCTCGGTCAAGGCAAAGCAATCCATATGATACTTTCTCGAATGCTAGGCCTGTTAGAGGGTCAAGTCGATATTACGAGTACAGACATAGAGATTACGATCGCCGTGGGCCTAGATACAACGGCGGGTATACTAGATAATTGGTTCTATCCTCTATATAACATGTTAATATTGTGATGTGGTCATCCATCAAGTCCATATGCACCTTGATAGGTTTTCAACTTGGAAAAAATTGTACTAATAAATCACATAATTGAAATTCGGCCAAGGGTCGCGATCACGTGAAGTTTCTCTCTTGAATTTCAACCACCGCCGTCACATTTGTCTTCCTTCATCATGCAGTCGAAGACCCCAAAGACATCTAGTAGGCAGCGTGCTCGCTCAGATGTGAAAACCCCTTTGACGCCTTCCGTCGTATCTGGTCTCAATGCCGTTTCGTTGGCTTCATCGCCGTCGAAAAGACGAGCGAAGGCACGGTCAGTGACGGGACCTTTCGACGTGTCGAATCCTTTCGTCGTGCCACCGACCTCATCATTGTCTCGTTCACGCGCATCCTCGCCCGTCAAATCTTTTGCATCCTCTGGGGCATATCCTATCAACGCCGAGTTGCAACGACAAGCGAATTCAGGTCTCATCAGAAAAGGTGGGATCGAGAGCAAGCTAGATGTTGTGAAGATCGATTACATTCCATCTTCGAAGTCGGAGCTGAAGCGGTCTAGGTCGACACCAGTGAGTTACTACCTCTTGCTTTCATCCATCCTTTTATCGTTTCGCAGAATCGGATCGGTGACCAGCAAGATCGCTTCATCACCACTACGCGGGAAAATTCAGGGTTCGATATCGCTGTTAGTATGGATAAAATGAATCTCAACTCACACAACTCATCGCCTGGACATACTGCACGTCTTGCGGAAGCCACTGGAATGCCACTCAACCGTCGCATCCTGGGATATCGTGAACCACCTCCCGCTGCTTCATCCGACAAAACACTTGCTCTTCAACGCGAATATGCAAAACCTTTGTACGCTAGCTCGCGTCCTGGCTCTTTGGCATCGTCAACGGGAGCAGTCAAAAGCAAATCACGTAAACTCCCTTCTCAGCCAGAACGGGTGCTGGATGCGGTCAATCTTCTGGATGACTTTTATCTCAATCTCGTGAGCTGGTCGTGTCAGAATACTGTTGCTGTCGCTCTTGGCGCGGCTACGTACATCTGGAACGGAGAGACCGGCAGCGTCATTCTCATTTCTGAAGCAGTCGGTGGCTTGTACCCTTCGAGTGTGGAGATGTCGAATGATGGTGCATTCCTTGGTGTTGGGCTGTGCAATGGGGATGTGGAGCTCTATGATGCCGAGACTGCCCAGAAGCTGCGTACGATGGGTGGACATCAGGGCCAGGTTGCTACTATGTCCTGGAACGAGCACATCCTAAGTTCGGGATGTGCAGATGGTAGCATCTGGCACCATGACGTACGAGTTCCTCGTCATAAAGTGATGGAGCTACTAGGCCACACTGGTGAGGTATGCGGTTTGACATGGAGGAGTGATGGAGAGTTGCTGGCGAGCGGCGGTAACGATAACGTGGTCAACATATGGGATGGAAGACTTGGTGATGTTGGAGACGGTGCACAAGGAAAGGCCAAGTGGGTCAAGCGAAATCACACAGCTGCCGTGAAGGTACGTGTTCCTCGTTCCGGCTTCGTTCTCATGCGTATTAAACTCTTTTAGGCTCTAGCATGGTGCCCATGGCAGCCATCTTTGCTTGCCTCTGGTGGAGGTACGAATGATGCTTCGATTAATGTGTGGAACGTGAACACTGGGGCACGAGTTCACACCACAAAGACACCTGCTCAAATTAGTACTATTCATTGGGCACCGCACAAAAAAGAGATCCTGACCACTCATGGCTATCCAACCAATGCGATTATGCTCCATGCATACCCCAGCATGGAACGTGTTGCAGAAATCCGGGATTCGCATGAATCGCGAGTTTTGTTCAGTTGTGTTGGTCCTGCTGGAGATCTGGTGCTTACTGGTGGTGGTGATGAATCTTTGAAGTTTTGGAGGATTTGGGAAGTTCCCAGTGCGTCAGGAAAGAAGAAGGGGATGGAGTATGACGATAGGCGGCATCTCAATTCGACCAGGTCGGATGTGCTGTCGATTCGCTGAGCTTATACCTGTACCTAGGAGCTTGCTTCAGGGTCGTGGGTTCTGTATTTAACATCGCGCAAACGTCGATAAAATAGTTCATTGCGACAATTTGACCCTTCACTTACGCATTTTTCTTGCCGGCCCGATGTTGCCGGCCATTGAAAGCTTTCCCTGTTTGTACTTGAACATTTCGCGCTGGCATGAATTCCAGGATGAAAAGTCGAACGAGTACATCCGGGAGTACGCCAGACTCAAATTCGATAACCGCCGTTGCAAGTGCGGAAGTCTCCTTTGAATATGCGTCTCTGTGTCACCGGTCGCACTGTCCTCTTGGTATCTATGTAGTGCCGTCCAAAGACTCACTTTTTATCTGGGACGCCATATTCTTTGTCCATCAAGGTACGCGAAACGGTATTTATAAAGGACTGATGTGTTGACTGAAATACAGGATACTACGCTGATGGCATCTTCAAGTTTCGTTTGTTGTTTCCCCCCAACTACCCCGAACGTCCCCCAACTGTCCAGTTTATAACGGACATGTTCCATCCACTGATCTCTGCCAATGGGATATTCAATCTTGCCCCCCGCTTTCATCCTTGGCGGTGCGTTTGGCGCCAATAATCTATGTAGGCCGGCTTCTGATACCGAATTATTTAGGCCCAAGGAACACTTCGTCTTTCATGTCCTTCACTACATCAAGGCTTCTTTCAAAAAGCCTGTGTTAGACAGGATCACTGAAGCTGATTGCTTGAACAAAGAAGCTTATCGGTTCGTGTATTACCAGTCTCGTTACATATTCCTCATTATCATTGATATCTTTCAGCCTGTAAGCCTCTGGATTTTGATTTTCGAATCGTATTCACCTATACCTGTCAGGTATCATCACTCCACAGGATCTTTTGCCTCCCTGGCTACTCAGTCGTCACTTTTATCACAATCTCCGTCTTCGTTGTTTGAAAGGGATCTGCCAACCTCTTCGGACAAGTCCCATGGAATGATACTGCGAGAGCTCAAACCGAAACAGCTTCAAGAAATGCGGACCAAGTTGGGACTGGCAGAATGGGACGGAGAATAGACGATGGTAGTGTATTTACAAGTGTCTGGGGTGTACATTATATTATTGATTACCGTTGTATGTTTTACTATTAGTACTATTAAGCATGTCTACAAATCGTCACTTCCGCTGTCTAGGGCGGGCAAGGCTTCCACTGTCTCAAAGGGCGTGTCCGGACCGGTATCCTCATCTTGGAGCTAGGATTTTGACCAGTCAGTTCTTGCCAGATGTGATGGGAGAATCACGTACTTCACTTAATCTATGGAAATGTTTGGATAGTTTCTCTATAACGAGGCTATACGGTAGATGTTGCGACAATTTCCTGGTAATGACAAATCAGTGAAACCGCATTACATCAAGTAGAAAGAATTATTACTTTCGTGACTGGACATTCAGGGAATGGCGGGCATCTAATGTCGAATCTAGTACATTCGACGAGTGTGCACCTTCGCTTAAAGAGATCTTGATAGAATACTCCTTGTCCGACTTGCCTCGTCCGTGATTACGCTCATACAGTTCAAATGTGATATGAGACTAGACGAAAGGATGTCAGAAATAAGAAGCTGCAGGAGAGGCCATACGTACAGCGTAATCTAGTTCTGGGATGCGGCGATTGGCAATCGGGAGACCGGAGAGTAGTACAAGGTTGACCAAGGTATGAATATGGCTTTCTTTGGTGAAGTAGAGCGTCAATGAACTACCGCCATTGTTTCGAGCTGCTTCCAAATCTTGGACGACATTGTGAAGCAACGGTAGAGATGTTAGGACGCCAATTTCTTCTCTATTGTATAACAAGGGTGAAAAGGGCGCCCTCGAGAGGGAACGTCGACGTACTTCTCATCCGGATCTATGCCATACTCCTGAGGAGCAACTAGATCAAAGAGGGCCTTGGCTCTACCATACAACTCATGTAGTTTACGGTCGTGAGGCTGAAGAGGATCTCGGCGTCCGTTCTCGTCGAATATAGCAAACAAGAAGGTTCTGTGGTGCAAGGCACAGTACTTGATGGTATCGTAAAGCTCCGATACCTGAGGATTAAGCGCAGTTAGCGTAGCAGAAAGCGCTATGAATGATATTCGTACCCGTGAGGGGTCAAACTTCTTCTGTTCAACATCACAAAAGTCTTCGAACAACTTCTCCCATCTTTCTCGAAATAGCCATGGTTCATCATCGCAGCACCTGTTGAAGGTCAGATTAAATCCATCTACGGGTCAGAGAAGAGGCGCGCACCATCTTTCCTGAATCCTGTCGACATCCATGGTCTCAAAATTCCGACGCATGATGTCCCTGAAGGATCCTAGCAGTTCTATCACCTCCTACAGCACGATAAGCACCAGCTACGTACAATACTCATATACTCACTTTGACTACCTCAACGGGCTCTTTCTTCATGCTCTTGGGCCACGTAAGCTCAGGCCTTTTCTCCGGCTCACCAGGTCGCAATAAGATCTTGAGACGTTTCTTGACATCATCCATCAAATCTTTTGCAGCATTGGAATCGTCAAGCAGGTCCTTTCGCACAATGAGTGTGAGAGGGGGCTCGGGATGGGGAGAATTCATGTAGCTCCCATTGCCGTTGGTCGATCCGTCCGTTGAAGACCGTGAGCTGGAGTTGGAAGGTGTGTTCATTGGGTAAGAAGGAGATTGGGTGTCATAAAGAGAAGCTGCGAAAATTTCCGCTGAAGCAATGACACGTCTTTCGGACGATGTAAAGATCTAGACAGAGGTTATTGGTGTAACCAGTACGAGACAATACGGAACCGCACCTTCACATTTTGCAGGACTTCCTTGTCTGCAGGAGTTCGGGGCTTAGTAGGCGCGCTCAGCGCAGAGGATGTAACATACTCATAATGGAAATATCCTTCTTCATGTTCTCGCCCAGATCTCTCGATTGATAGCGGGCGGAGTGTGTGAACTAGATAGGGAAGATCAGCGTTTGTCCAGTGGGCTGTAGATGCAAATAACCTCTCCACCCCATTTGAATACCAGTGTCAATTTTGTTAGTCTTCGCACATGTCCCGCCTGACGTTTAGAGTACACTGGTTTGAGTTGAGCTTTTGTTCCAGGTAAATCAATCTTGCTGAAGAGGGCGTTGTTCAACTGCGTCAATTTGTTCAGCTCTTCACCATCTGCCCCCAGTCTCTTCGCTTCCTCAACAGCGGTAGCAATTAGGTTCAGTTGGTCTTTCTCTCGAAGAATGATCTCTTCCTTCTCTCCATTCAAGAGGGCGACGAAAGGTTGTGTCCAAGGCTCGCCAATCGGGAAATTGCTGAAAGAGAGATAGTATCCATATTAGTCTTGTTCTGCATGATGCAACATGTCTTTCCCTACAATTTCAGTTTCTGTTTCGGTGTACGATCGGCGTGTCTGTATACCGTCACGTTCGCCTTGAGTAACCAGGTCGGAGTTTCGAGAGACGTGTTCTCGGCCCCAGGCAGAGCGCGATCAGGCGATGACGATAATCGCATACACAGAGCGGCAAGAATGTCCGCAGCTTTGTCTGCAATTTGAGTGTTATTATAGCATGTACAAGATACAGTAACGGAAAACCTCGGCAAGCCACATCACAGCGATCTGCCCTCTCTGCCCACTGGGAGGACCTGCGACTCAATGATACAATACCGTAGTGCATGCAGACGGATGATCCACGAAAGAGAAAAGCAGTACCATAATATGTGTTATTGCCTTTGACAAAACTCCAGCCGTTGACGTCGATGACTTGACTTTTCTGCCCGTTGTCACAGCGGAGCATGTCAAAACCGCAGACGCGTTGGCCGAATCCTTCGCATATCTTAGTAGCCCAAGCTTTTTCTTCTTCACTAAGTCTCGTGATAAAGCTAAACATATGGGCTCAATACCTGTCGCCAACAGACAACAAAAATGTACCGGATCTCTTTGCCTTCTGTGTTCCGTCGAACAACACCGTCAACGACGGGGGATTTTCGGGTTTCGGCGTGCGTGTACTCCTTTCCGACGGTATATACCTTGATATCTTCGGAGTTGTCGACATCTATAAATTTCTCATAGATATAGGAACCGTCCGTCCGGGGATGATTTAATGTCGGGTCCAAGTCGCTGGATTTGTTACCAACCTAGATCATAAAGTGAGCATAATTTGTTGTGGACTGACTGAACAACAACCTTTCTGAAAAGTCTACGTCCGCCGCCTCCCTTGAAGTAGATATAGACGTTATGGTCCTCTCCGCTCACAGGTTTCTCGACAAATGGCTTTTCCAATACTTTGTTGTCTATGATGATAGCATCACCATCCTCTCGAAGGGTGACTTCTGGAGTGACTTGATAGCCTCCTAGCGTGATACCATGACGTTGTTTCATCAGACTGATCAGTTCGGAGTCAATCTTTGGGCCGCCGTCGCGGGATATCTCGAGGCGAGGTGGAGTTGGTACTTTGAGATGATCAAGAACTGCACCAACTAACCGACGATCCCAAAGCAAAGCCTGAGGAGCAAGATCGTTGATACAGAACGGATTTCGAAGTTTGACGTAAGATATCGCCTTGTCAAGAGGGAAATCCGTGGAAAAGAAGGAAATAAGTATATCACATCTAGGCCAGTTTTCGACGTCTTATGCGAAACTCTTTAGTCTAAGCAGTTTGAGTAGCGGATGACTTACCCTCGTCTAATATGACTTTGTCACCGAAAACCTTGACTTCTATGGAACCGCGAGCCCGCTCGACGAGTCGAATAAGAATTTCACGCATCGCCTTCGACCTTGCCTTGACATCCATAGCGCATACACCCAAGACTACTGGATTGGCATTTTGATGGGCATCCAAAGTAGCAGGTAAGTCAGAATGGGAGGACGACGGAGACGAAGACCTTGTCAAAATTGAGCTCGAACGAGGAGACGCCCTTTCTGGAGAATTGAAGAATGTAGAGATCCGGGAGTGCCTGTCCCAATACATAGTGGACGTCGGAAGGAAAGCCGACAAAGACCGAAATTGAAAGCGTCGGTGGCAGTGCCAAGGAAAAGCCACGTGAAGGCAAGAAAGGCAACAAACTACAACAAGCCTTGGTACTCGGATTATAGCGCCTACCAAATAACGTTGACGTCGGTGGCTCGACACGCCTCTCTTTTTTACTCTCATGACATAGCTACAATATGGAGCGCACAAACTCGGCCTCTTCTGCACCTTCACGCTCCGGTTCGTCGTCAGGCGCATTCGCCTATCAGACTCGCCTTCTCGAACGGACTGCATCCACTAGAGGCGGTACTTCGGTGTCGAGGAGCAACTCCCAGTCGAGTATGAGCATTTTGACGAATCCTACAGGCTCATCTGCAGCTCCCAATACCCGTCGCTGGGTTCCATCTCATCGCGTCGCCAACAGCTTGGACGCTGTTCGTGGCAGATGGGAAGAGCGTTCGCGGGATGCTGCGATGGAGGATCATACGGTCTCCTCGTCGTCTCCAACTAGAAGCACGCCAAATCCTCAGCTCTCCGCTGACAACCAGCGACCTCCATACATTCCGTCTTCTCCTTCCCATTCCAGTTCCTTACCCGAGCAACAGCGGACTCCGCCATATCTCAAACGGTATACAATGCCGGCACCCATCATTGCATCCCCTTTGTCGCCCAACACTACAGGAGTTTCCGTAGAAGCTGACCCTCTGCCTTCTTCTGCTACCACACATCGAATTCACTTGCCTTCTTCACCTACGTCTTCTTCTGCTTCTGATAAGACCAGAGATACCGATCAATACCTATCTTCTACCATTTCTAGTGCAGAGTCTTCCCCTTCCCCGTCTCGTCATCGCGCAACCACACTGGGTGGCTCCAGTTCGCCGAGCTGGTCGTTATACGATCGCGAAGTAACAGCTTCACCGCCGCATGAAGCTTCGTCTTCCAACCATGATCCTTTCATTTCAACCCCGCCATCTACGCCTCTGAAGAGACGTCCTATGTCCTATTATGGCGGCATGTCGTCCTCCGACAAAGCCACAGTCGGGCCCTCCATCTTCGATCGAACAAACTCGTACAAACGTTCCTTAGAGGCTTCAACACCTACCAACCCATCTTCCGTCATGTCACCTACCCCATATCGCAGTTCATATATGAACAATAAGAAGGCAGCAACGTACAGTGAGAGCTTGACTGCCGGAAGGAGACTCGGGAAGCATTTGCCCCGTATTGCCAGTGGAGATGGGGATGATCATTGGGAGGAGAAGAAGGACTTTCCAAAAGAGTGGGTTGAGGCGAAGGAGGTCAATCTACCAATGAAAGAAGTGAAAGTCGTTGAGACGACGCCCACAAGGAGGGAGATGCGGGTTCGCGATCTCAACGTTGGCATAGATCCAGGCTCGGAGTCCAAACGGAGAGAGGAGATGGGTCTACCCGTCGTAGATGAGGGCGATGGAGTGGCAGGTATCCCCGGGAGACTGCGTCTGTCGCGATACAGGGCACCCAATGCTCAGACTCCTATGCCTTCTTCACGACTAGCGAGAGGCTTATGGGCAGACACTCAAAGGCATCTCATACAAGCTTATGAGTATCTGTGTCACGTAGGAGAGGCTCAACAGTGGATCGAAGGTTGTTTGGGAGAGGAGTTGGGGTTTGGTGTCGTCGAAATGGAAAGCGGTCTACGAAACGGGGTCGTTTTAGCCAAACTGGTGAAGGTGTTCACTCGGGATGCCATCGTCAAGAGAATCTACGAGGTAGGCAAATGTTCTTGAAGGGCATTTGGTCGACGTTGATGTTGTGTTGCAGGCGCAAAAGTTGTCCTTCCTTCATTCAGATAACATCAACTACTTTTTTGCTTTCGTTCGTCAAGCCGGTCTACCAGAAGTATGTAGAAATTCTCATGCATTTACCCAGCATCCACTCATCAAATCTGACAGGGCTTCATTTTTGAACTCACGGACTTGTACGAAAAGAAGAACCTTCCAAAGGTGATTTACTGTATCCACGCATTGAGGTGAGAATATGGTGTTTAGTGTGATGCATGCCTTTTATGAACACTTTTGTGCACTGTACAGCCATCTTCTTGCTCGACGTGGTTTGGCAGAACGTATCGGCAATCTTTTGGGACGGCTGCAATTCTCTGACGACCAACTTCAGAAAACTCAGAAAGGCTTGAAGGATGCAGGCGTTACGATGCCTAATTTCGGCAACGTCGGCCGGGAGCTTGCTAAGGAGATCAACGAAGAGCCGGAAGTTGAAGTAGAAACAGAGGATGAACGTTCGTCCACCATGTTCTCTCAATTGCCACCTACCTGACCGGCTTTCATCTCAGGGCGAGATCGTTTGCTGCTTGAAACCGAAGGCTCGATCATCAAGCTTCAATCCCAGTGTCGAGGATACATTGCTCGCCAGGCTGAGGCTGCGCAGCGGGATCGCATGCGACTTATTGAGCATTACGTGGCAAAAATACAGGCACGCTGCAGAGGACAGCTTCTTCGCCGAGAACTTTCTGAACAACGCAGTGAACAGCGAGACCTCGAACCGTGGGCTGTCGCACTCCAGGCATCTCTGCATGGCGCATTGTTTCGAAAAGAGTGGCACTCACACCTTCTTGATATCCGAAGCTCTTCATCCTGTGTAATCAAGATACAAGCCCAGCTGCGCGCTGCACTTCAGCGACGTCGCATGGTCGGGCTCATGGCTGCTCTAAGGACAAGTCGATCTTCCTTTGTCAAGCTACAGTCAATGGCACGCCTACGTTTAGTGAAGAGAAGCATCAACCAGGTTTCAAAAACCTTTGTCGAACCTTCTGTCGCAACCTCTGTGATGACAATGCAGGCATTCTCTCGGGGTGCCATTGCTCGGCAGCGGGCTATGCAGCAAGTCAAAACGCTGCATAATTACGAAGGAACTTTTGTTGCCCTCCAGTCGCAGTGCCGGGGTATCCTTGTTCGGCGGCAGATGCGTAAACAAATGGCGAAGTTGGAGGATGTCACGCGGACGGTCATACGTATACAGGCTGCTTCTAGGACCTACCTAGCGAGGAAGCGCCTTTTGTCACTTATACGAGGACTTCGAAAGGCAACGGCATCGGTTGTCAGTTTTCAGACCATTGCGAGAACAAAGATTGTCCGGCAACAGCACAAAGCGATGACTCGGGCCTTGATGACCGTCACTACCATCAAAGCTGTGGGGAGTTTACAGGCTCTAGCTCGCGCCTCCCTAGCCCGAAGTAAACACCAGGAAGTCACCAGAAAGTTGGAATTTGTTGCGCCTGACATGGTCCGCTTTCAGGCTGTCGCACGGGGCGTACTTGCGCGGGATGACTATTTCGCTTGGCGGGATCATCTACTTGCTAGTCAGGATGTTGCCACGTTTCTACAAGCCTTGTCACGAGGTGCCATGGTACGGCGCAAATTCCGTTCGAAAATGGATTACTACCGCTCGAATCTAAGCAAGGTCATTCAAATCCAGTCTCTCATGCGCGCCAAAGAAACTCGGGAGCAATATCGACAGCTCACTATGGGTCAGAACGTCACCGTTGGAACAATCAAGAATTTTGTGCACCTGTTGGATGACTCAGAGGCCGATTTCCAGGACGAGATCACGGTTGAGAGGCTGAGGAAGAGGGTTGTGCAGCAAATCAGGGAGAATCAAGCATTGGAAAGCGATCTAAACGATCTGGACACCAAGATCGGTTTAGTTGTAGAAAACATGAAGACAGTTAAGCGGCGACATACTGACAATGCTGCTGGTCATGCTGCCCGGACTTCATTGCTTGCTGCTCACGGTGATCCATTTTCCGGACCCAACACTCTGGATCACACTGCTCGACGGAAGCTCGACTTGTATCAGCAACTATTCTATCTCCTTCAGACGAGAGGAGAATACTTAAGTCGCCTTTTCTATCTTATCTCACAAGGGAATGCCGCCGAGTCGAATCGCCGATTCGTTGAGCGAGTCGTGTTAACGCTATTCGGTTACGGTCAAGATAGCCGGGAAGACTATTTACTACTCAAGGTTTTCCAAGTAGGCGAGGTGCTGCTTTGTTTTATGTTGGGATTTACAGGCTCTTTCTTCCCAGCTGGCCATTCGAGATGAATTCGTCTTGGCGACTTCATCGAGCGACATCGTACGCGGGCATCCGATGTATATCAACATCGCCGTGCATTACCTTAGGCAGAAACAAGCCGTTTATGTACGAGAAGCCTTCCAAGATGCTATTCAGAAACTAGTCGATCATCCTGATCTTGACCTGGAAGCCGATCCTTGCACGGTACGTGTCTGAACCAGGTTGATTATTTTGCGAACTGATACAGGACCCTCTAGATCTATGAGGAGAGAACTAGACGTGAAGAGATGAGGTCTGAAATCTCAATTAGCAAACCGAAACAAGTCAACTTTCATGAAGCGTTGAGGGACCCCGATACTAGGGCTATTTACATAAGACGTGAGTGCAGTAAGTGTATCATCCTGGCTCCGGGTATTAACAATTCCAGACATACAAATGCTGCAATGGGCCACAACTGTAATGGTGCAGGCGATCATGGAGTCGACGAAAAAGATGCCATACAGCATACGCTATCTCGCCCGTGAAACTCTTCACATGGCTCGCGTAAGTTTCTCATCTATAGCTGATCTTGCTGTGCTTTAAAATCCATTTAGGAGACGTTTCCGGATGCTCCTAATGAAATTTATGCTGCATGCATTGGACGACTGGTATTCTATCGCTACATCAATCCCGCTATCGTGTATGCCTCCTCCGTATCACACTTTCATCTATGCTGAGACATACTAGGACCCCTGAAACGTTCAACATCATTTCTACAACTCTCGATGTCCAGTCTCGTAGCAACTTGTCCGAGGTTTCTCGTGTACTCACCCAGATCACGAGTGGGTCACCGTTCGGCGAGGATAATCCCAGCTATGTTCCTATCAATGATTATGTTCGGAAGACGATCGACGAAATGATGGCGTGGTTTCTTGAAGGTGCTTACATAAGTGACACTGACGATTCATGATGCTAACTGTCGGTCCACTAGTCGCTAACGTGCCGGATGCAGAGATACAGTTTCATGCTCACGAATTCCTTGACGCCACAGTGCAACCCAAGCCGATTTATATCTCTCCAAATGAAATTTATTCTATGCACGGATTGTTGTCGCAACATCAAGACAACCTGGTAGGTTCGATTTGCTCAAATACAACCTTTCTGAAGTCCTTCGTCTAGGGTCAATCATCTGATGATGCACTCAAAACCATTTTGAGAGAATTAGATGGTGTTCCTCATTTCGGTAATGAAGAGTTGAAAGATGCCAGAGATCATGTTATTACTCTTGAACTCACGAATCGCTTTGCTGACGTCAAAGGTAACGATGACATGTAAGATAATGATGTTTACTAACACCCAATTAGATCCGCATGCAGAGGAGAAGGCGCTCTGGGTACAAGCTAAACGCGGTGTTTTGGCAATTCTTCGTGTACAACCAGCGCAAGATCTAGTGGAATCACTATTACAGCCAGTAACAGATGACGACGAGCTGATATGGGAAGGCGTCCTGGACGCTGAAATCATAAACGAAGAAGCTAGACATCATCCTGGACGCCAAGCCTCTCAAGCCGTTGCAGATTCTGCCTACCGGTTGGAAGACATTCGATCGTGAGCCTGCCAGATTTCAAATTGGTCAATGACTGACTTCAATCAGTTTAACCTTTCGAGCTGTCAAAGCTCTGGCTATTTCGTACTTATTGAAGCTGGAGGAGCGAGGAAAGATATCTCGTGGTGATGGCTTCCAAGGCATTCTAAATGCTATTGCTGGTGATGTGCGCAGTAAACACCGCAAGCGTATCCAGCGACAACAAGAAATGGAAAGTATGAACGAGGCGCTAAGACAATTGGGCGAGAGGAAAAAGCAGTTTGAGGAGAGAATTGACAGCTACCACCGCTATGCTCAATCATCCATGGCTACCATGGTCACAAAACCGTACGTCCATCACATTGCACTCTACAGGTTACTGAAGTATATCGACGGTTTTCTTTAATAATAGGCGCATTAAACGCTTCACTTTGCCTTTCACCAAACAATATTTCCATCTTCGTGATCTCCAAAAGTCGGGGCAGACCCCCAAGTTTGGTTCATATCTGTACACTGCCAAGGATCTTTACGAGAAGGGTATCTTATTATCCATCGATCAGTACTCTCCTCGTCAGTTTGACAAAATACAGCTGACAATGTCGTCTAATTCTGCTGGTGTCTTCAATTTACTTCTGGAATCAACCTTGATTGGTGGCATCACTACCAAGATGGGTACGGATGAAGTACAGATGGAAGAGCTTCTTCAGGCGAAATATGAGCAACGGTTATCGTTGACCTTATTTAAAGGACAGGCCAAGGTGAACTTGGATCTTTTTGTGCGTCAGATTAACAAGAAGTAGAATTCAGTCTCTATCTATTTTTGAATTGAGCTGACTTTTCGCTGACAGGTTCTTTGTGTAATGCTTTATGATACTAATGACCTCTAAACGACGGACTACTTCGTTCTCCATTTCCACCGCGTTCTTTGAAAGATTTTCTTCGCAAACCTTGACTCATACATGTACCTCTAGTCCGAACTTTGTATCCTCTCTTATATAGTGCATCAACTGAATAATTCGTAGCATAATGTACTGAACTGATAAACGTTACAACGTGAACCTGAAGTCGGGATGACGATCTCCAATACTGCGTCAGCAAAGATAAGTAGATGATTCTCACGTACAAGAGATGAACGAACGGAGCACGAGTTCCTTCATCCCACAATTCTTTGTATTTGCGTATGTTCTCTGCTCGACGCCCTTCCCTGCGTGCTTTATTTTCCCACAAGCAGTAACATCTAAAGAAATCAGTCGAAAATGACTCCTTTTTACAGCGCTGGCAAAAGACGAACACATTTGCGCCGATGAAGAACCAAGCGAGTACCAAGCAGGCTAAATTAATAGCATGGCCACGGATGTACCTTGGGGCTTGGTCTATGGTCATGTCAGTAAGAGCTAGCAAGGAACGTAGCACCTTTAACAACCTTGGGTGTACGAAAATGTGGCGATGAAACCTCTATGGTATTGACAAGTTTAACTATGTCCCTCTCAGATGCTGAAGATCGACATTACCCTGTATTTGCGAGTGCGAGTTGAAGCGCCGTGGTGGTAGCCCTTTTGTAATGTCCACTGCTGTTATTAGGAAGAATGGACCTTGTGTTTCAGGAATCAAGAAGTTATGTCACAAAATCATATTGTGAACATGCTCACAAGAGGCAAGGGCCACTTGGATAGCTGTAACATTGGGACATCAACAGACAGACTGGCTCCAAACCAATGGAAATGTACACGCCGGCTGCAATGAGAAATACAGCTGCATATCGGCCCATATTGGTTTTGGCAGTGATTGCAACAGTATACCCTAGTAATTCTACAGTCTAGAAAATCAGTTCTGATGGCAGAAAACTCACCTATGATTGCCACAGGTAAGAATATCAAGATAAATGGTCCGCGCCATTTCAATCGGTCACTCAGAAACGCCACGACAACTACAGAGAATTACACGGTAAACATGGGAGCTAGGTAGATATCCAGGTGAAGAACCTGTGAGAACAGTTGCGGGAACGTAGGGCGGTACTAAGAAAGATGAAACACAAAGATTGGAGTGGATGCATTGATGGTCTCACCAGTATGCAACTGGGCCCGTCCGCCAGAGTACCCCAGCTGCGCCACGATAGAAGGCCTACGAATTTTCCTGTTAGTATAACAATAATAACAAAAGGGCAACTGAGCAGCACAAGAAAAGCGAATACGAGTAGAGGCTGACGTCGAAGCCAAGATATGCGATGGCAGTCAACCAGGTCTGTATGTCAGTCAGACCTTGGCAGAAATTCAGCTATCAACTTGAATGTGATCATTAGTGCATCCAACCTCGTATAACCTCTCTCCACTCAAAGATCTCTTCTTCACGTTCCATGCGACTGCGGGCAGATATCTGAACCTTTTCCACGGTGATCATGTCGACCTTGGGTTCATGAAGTGCTGACGCTTCTGGCATAGGATCAGACTTGGACGTCATGTTCACAACGAAGTCGTCCGAGTGCAAACGAGAAACTTGGACATCATCAGAATGTGTATGGTTTTGATAAGGAACGATGGCATTCACGAGCAAAATCTCTCTCTTCTTCAGAGAGAAACGAGGCGGAAGACACATCGGCTGGTAAAAAGATAGCAGCAATGATGCTGAAAATTATCGTTGCAATGCCCTCGAGGATAAAAATCCAGCGCCAACCAACAAGATTTCCTATCCCGTCCATCTTGATGATTGCCGTTGCAAGAAGCCCTATATAATAATCATTCTACGGGCACCGATGCAATTTTTGAAGATTGAAGACAAACCTCCAAAGGCACCAGACAATGAGGCTTATGCTTATAATGAGCCCAGTTGAAATTAAGTGGTAAGTCCTTACCAGACGCGTAAAAAATTCCAATGCTGCCAGGTATTTTTGTCAGATAATGATCTTGAAAAAGAGACATCCAAAGCATACCGAAGCTGGAGTTCGTGTCGCTTGTACATAGTGCTCAAATACAGGACCTGAGGATAACTTAGTGCTCTGTGCGTCATTGGGTGCATTCGAATGGAATGGACAGACAATACCGGGAAGCAAGCCTCCTTCGCAAATACCGAGGCACATGCGGATGCCCACGAGACCTCCAAGATTCTGAACAAGAGCCGTCAGTGTCGTTACGATTCCCCAGACAAATACCAAAAATGGGAGCCAACGCTGTGGATATAAAGTGTATAAAGTGAGCTACAATGGTTCGTCAAACATAAAAACCTCACGTTCGCCTTCATTCGCTTGAGCACCCAGTTAGAAGGTAGTTCGACTAAGATATACCTAACCCTCAGTCATTGGATTAAGTAGTAGATGTTGTTTAAACAGCGTACGTGATATAGAAGACTAAATTCGTAACAGATGTAGGTCAATGATGGCATAACGCATAAAAGCCCTACCGGCTAGTGTCGTGTTGAATTGATTTCCATGCAGATGGATATCAGATTCCAGACCGGCAATCCTAGGTAATAATTATAGATTCTCGTCGTCTTCCAAAGAATAAGACGTGCTAACCTTGCATTTCCGACGTTACTTCGGTCAATCTAAAGTCGTACATGAGATATGGCCCTCTGTCACATGTGGTAAATAGCACGAACAAAGTTGGCAAGCCAAAGCTGTCTAGATATGAACAAGATCAACGTTCAGAAGCACAACGCTGCGCACCAGAGCAAGGGGAGGCAGAATATGACAATCTACGAAGATGGGCTTCAAGAATGAGTCACTGGGAGGATAGCGGTTGCAAAGACGTACCGAGTTTCCAGAGGATATTTCTGGTCATCCGACGTTGATAATCTGGATTTTCCGGCATAATTTCAGGAAAGTATGTCAGGTGAGATGGTAGGGAGACAGATTGGAGAGCAGATGCTTTATATTATACAAGCGCGGCGCCCGCGGCCAAAAATAAGTATTACACACATCTAAAATAACGACGAAAGATAAGCCTGACCAGCAACTGACCAATGCCAGTGCCAGTTGGAGAATGCGTGTGAAGGTGGTTCAAAAATAACTTGATCTTCGGTCGCAGTTTTGATCGGACCAATAATATGACAAAATTCCCAATCTGGCAACTGTCGGTACCACTCGGCGTGACTTCATCCGGCTTCGGCCTTAACGGCTTCACCAAGTCATAATTTTTGATGCCAAGTGGCTGCCGCATCAGCCGGTCACGCTATTGCCTCTAATTGGTGGTCTCGTTCCCATCCATCCTAGATATCCTCCTGCAAGTGAGAGAGTTTGAGACATCTCTTACTCACTTAGTCAGCACCTTATGTGTGCAAGCTTGGACTGCTCACAATGTTCACCTCGCTAATGCTCAGAATGATCAGACCATTTCACATGGAGTGGAGTTAGAAATGAGAATACTGCTGGGGTTGGCTGCTTTTTTGAATGTAAAAACATATTCTAAAAATGTCAGAGCTTTTGATCACATTTTTGCAACCAGCATCTTAGAAACATAATAAAAAATTCATAGTTTTTGTACTGTTTTTATATACTAGACAGATTAAGTAAGTTTAAATTTTTAAGAAAGAGAAAGCAGTCTTCATTGTTCAGAACAATGGAAACTGCATTTTCTGTCTATTTTCTGTGTTATTTTCTCTACACTAAAAGAAGACTAAAAAGTATCCTTTTCTGCCTTGTTTTTAAAATGGTCTCTCTCATCAAAAAATACATCTGTCTCAGTAGTGAGAAGGTTTCATAAAATTTACATCTGAAAAACATGAGAGCCATGTGAGAGGAACCACCAAAAGAGATAGGCATGAGACTACTAGTTAGCAAGTCTTGGCATTGTTACTCATTGTGCTAAGCCAGAAACTGTAGGCTGACTATATTATATAACTCAGCTAGATAGATATACACTAACTCATTGGCTCATAGTAAAGTAAGAGAAAGAGAAGAGAAATATAAGAAGGAAATAAGTAGCATAGATATAGATGGATAGAATGAAGCATAAATGTGAATATAGGTGTAAAGTAAGCATAGATAGTTGTCATGTGATAACCAAACAATCACAAACATCTAACACTGCAATTGCTAAGGTCTGATATTTGTTATGATTTTTTTCTTTTTCTGATTCTTTTAGCTCTTATTGATGCTTAGTCAGAGCATCTGAACAAGTGCTTAGGTTCATGGGACAGTCTTAGTCATCACAATCAGCCATTGTGTTAGAATGCATAGTGATACTCTGATAGCAGGATAATTTTCCTTTTGTAAGTAACTGTTATGATTTTTCTACTTCTATCCTTAGACTTTATGACTTAACCCCTATTTATGCTTAGTCAGAGCACTAAACCAAAGTGCTTAGGACCATGGGAGAGGCTTAGTCAGCATAACAAGCCAATCCATTATTGTTCTCTGTGTTAAGCCCAAATTCTATGTGACTATTAATATATGATAAACTGTTCAGAATCTTGCACTTCAGGTTAGACTGACAGAGTTCACTGATGTGTCAATAGAGTTGTGTAGTCAAGGCATTGCAAGTAGCTTGAGATGAGATGGTGAAGAATAAACTTTAGCTTAATGCTGAAGCTACTACAGTGAAAACTGCACTACTTAAATACTGTTCTGTTATTTAGCTATAAATAAACATTCACAAAAGATATTGTCTGTCATAGAGCTGTTACCCCTGCTGTTGCCAGGCTCTCCACAAAAGCTGTTGTCTTGCTGTTGTGCTATTACTGCTGCATTAGGGTTCAAGAACAAAAGGAGCATTATCTCTCCCTTTACAGCATACAGCAATGTGATAAGACTATGACTGACTAGATTGCTGACTAAGCCCTCTCATGGTCCTAAGCACTGGCCTTAGCACCCTGACTAAGTGAAGATAGGGGTCATTTCTAAGAGAAAAGAAAAGAAAATAGGAAAAATCATAACATTACCCTCTCCTTAAGACTATCATTCTGATGGTATAGTTAGAGATGAGTCTGCTGGTCCTCATGTGATTGCCACACCATTTCTGGCTCATCCATCACAGCATCAGTATCTCCATCCTCTATAATCTGTGTTTTGTTGGCAGGTATTAATGGAAGCTCCTCTTTGGCATGAACATTGCTCTTTACTGTATGTCCTCTGCTGACCACAGGTGGATGTATTTGCTCAGGGATAATGTTGAACATGACCCTCTCTGCATCCACCTTATTGATTCATTGTTCATAATCATGGATCACCTCCTTTATATTCATGTATTTTTCATTGACCCATTGGTTTGATTCTGGTCTGTACCCCTTTCAGCTGACTAGGTAGTCAATGGTTGTTGTCATTCCACCACTGTGTGCTTTAACCTTTCATAATTTATAGTTTAGCATCTTGTCAATTTTATAATGTTCCTCATCATCAATGAGATTTGGTAGTGGTAGAGGTGGTTATTTCTAGTTTGAAAAGGCTAGTGCGATGTATGGTGTTAATAATATTTTGTTAAAAACATTATGAATCTTCTAAGTTGTTGGTAATTGCAGTTTGTATGTAGAGTTGCCAATCTTAGCAATGACTTTGAACAGCTCTGTTTATTTGTCTGCTAACTTCTGTTTGAGATGAGAGAGATGCAAGTTTGTTGTGTCTAGCCAAATCTTATCATTTAATAAATATTCATGAGCTGGTCTGTGATGTTTGTTGTACTGTTTCTTCATAGTTGAAGCAGTCTTTTCAAGAGCTGTCTTCATTTCTTCATGGATTTTTGCCATTGTTGTTGCAAAGTCTGATGATGCTGGTGTTGTTGTATGTATCTGTCTGCTTTGTACAACTGATGGGTTTTATTCATAGTTGACAAAGAAAGAGATCTTTCTGGTTGCCGAGTGAATTCTATTATTGTGTTGAAAAGTGGCTAGTGAAAGCCACTCTGTCCAATCATCTTGACAATAGTTGATAAAAAGTCAGAGGTACTTTTCAACTTTCTGATTGACTCATTCTGTCTGTCTATCTGTTTGAGGATGGTATGCTGTCAAGACATTTCGTTTGATGTTGAGGAGTTGATACAGATTGTTCAGAAATTTAGAGATGAATTGTGGTCCTCTGTTCAAAATCACTACTTGAGGCATGTTGTACTTTACATAAACCTCATCTTGTAGGATTTTTGCTCATTCTTCTAATGTTAATTCTGTTGAACAGGTGATTAGAATGATCATCTTTGAGAAGCGATCAACTATGACAATGATTGTATCATAGCTGTCACTTTCAGAAAGTCTGGTTATCATATCCACTGAGATATGGCTCTATGATGATGAAGAGACCTCATTTGGGTGGAGTGGTGCTGCTCAGAGTTGTGTTGAAGATTTGCTATGCTGACAAATCTCACAAGCCTTGATATATTAGGTGATATCATGATCTATCTTGGGCCACCAATATTCTCTCAAGACTAGTTCCTTTGTTTTAGCAATCCTGGAGTGTCTAGCAGTCATGTGGTCATGATATGTGGTGATGATATCACCATAAAGTCTCTGATCTCTTGGAATATAGATCCATCCATCATAGTGGATTAACTCTCCTTCTTTCTTTAGTCCTCACTCATGATTGAGTAAAGAAGCTATTCTTTGATCCCATTTATGAGAATTCTGAGTAGTGCTTTTGATGCACTCATGCACTTCCTCTTCAGTGGGCATGATCATGACTCTGAAGTGTTTGGGTCATAGTAATACAACCCCTTTATTATCAGTTCCTCCCTAGTCATGGTCCACTCTGCAACTGAGGAAATCGGCCTTCTTGTTTGCTATGCCAGCCTTGTAGTGTAGCATATATTTGTATTCAGACAGTTCCATGACCCATTAGGCTTGTTGGTGATTTAGTTTTTGTAGGAGTCAGAAATATCAGAGATTCTAGTGATCTGTTCAGATCTCAAAGACTTGAACAGCTCTAATAAGATAATGCTACCACTCAGAGAGTGTGAGTATTATAGTAAGGAGTTCTTTGTCATATATTTCATAATTGTGTTCTGTCACTGTAAGTGCTTTTGACATGAACATGATAGATCATCATTTGTCATCCTGTTTCTGAGAGAGTACTGCTCCGATGGTGCTTTCACTGGAGTTGGCTTTCACTCAGAACTTCTTATCTTGGCTTGGTATAGTGAGAATAACATCTTCAGCTAATCAGCATTTGAGGTCATTAAATGCTGATTGTTGTGAGGGCCCCCAGTTCCATGGTGCATTTCTGGTTAATTGTGTTATAGGTCAGACAGTTTTGCTGTAGTCCTGGATGAACCATCGGTAGAAGTTGGTAAACCCAAGAAATGATTGCAGTTCCTTCTTCTTTGTCAGCTCCAGCCACTCAGTTACTCCTGCCATCTTGACAGGATCCATCCTGATGCTTCCCTTACTGATAATGACTCTGAGGTATTCAGTTTTTAATACCTCAAATTCACATTTCTCAGCTTTGAGAAAGAGGCAGTGCTTCCTTATCAATGCTAGTACCTGTTGTATCAGTCATTAATGTTCTTTCTTGGTTTTAGATATAATGAGAATGTCATCTAAATAAATTGTGACCTTTCCAGTAGCAATGAGATCTTTGAAGATATCATTCATCATCCATTGAAATGTGGTGAGCAAATTTGTGAGTCCAAAGAACATAACCATCAGTTTGAACAAACCATGGTTTGTCTGAAAAGTGGCCTTCCATTCATTGCCTTCATTGATGCACATGTTGTTGTATTTCCACTGAACATCCAGTTTAGTGTAGTACTTGGTGCCTCAGAGTTTGTCCATTAACTCTGAAATTAAAGAAAGTGAATAGTGATTCTTGATCATCATCTCATTGAGCTTCTGATAATTCTGTACTGATCAGAGTTTGCCATCCTTCTTT